TAAGTTAATTTATTATAACTAAGATACTATTATAAAAGATTCTAGTTAAGGGTTTTTTTAATAGGGGTAGCTTAGTTATGTAGTCTATTATAATTAAGCTTTATAGTCTTTTTATTACTTTTAGTAGTTGTAGTAGGCTATAAGGTTTATATTATTATACTTTAGTTTTTATATATAAGTTATATTATTTAATAACCTTTTTTACTATTTTCTTAATTCCTCTTTAATTATAATATATTTAGATATGTTTTAGGGTTTTTATAATACCTTAGTAGCTATATAGGGGATATTTATATATATCTTATATTAGTTTTTTTCTAAATTATTTTAGTACTTATAATTTATTATTATAGGTAGGTATTTTAGCTTTACTCCTAATAAGGTCTTAGATATTATATCCTATAATATTATTTTATATTTTCTCTATTTATTCTTTTTAATTCTTAGACTTATTATTACTTATAAGTCTTAGAGTTTTTACTTATTAAGTAAATTAATATTCTCCTTTATTGTTTTTCCTTAAGAGTTATTTTTTTACTTTTATTATATTAGTATTATAATCTAGTTATTAGCTAATAATATTAGCTTATTTATTATCTAAACCCTTATAATAAATAATTATAAAATTAAATTTATATAGGTATTTGATATACTATAGCTATTATTAATTAAGTTCTTATATTATAGTAAAGTATAAGATATTCTAATAGTTAGTATAGACTTTAATTTAATATATACTTCCTATAAGGTAGTATCTAAACTCCTTAAAGCAGTTAACAATTACTAGGAATTCTTTATTATAAATAAGGTAATTTAGTTCTGCCTTATATAATTTATCGGAATAGAATATAATTAGGTAAAGCTTTTGTTTTTTTTTTATTATTTAATTTATCCTCTTAAAGTAAAATCTAATAAATAGGTCTTTAATTCTATTTCCTTATTAAGGTTAAATATAATTAATATAGGTTTGCTAAGGATAGCTTATTATAATACTTTAAATACTATTTATATATTTAGCTTTTATATAAATTTCCTATTTTTCTTTATAAGTTCTATAAGGGGGTTTATAATTTTATTAAAATCTCTAATAAACCTTTAGTAATAATTAGTAAATCTTAAGAAGCTCTGAACTTTTTTAATTATTATTAGTAGGGGCCAATCTATTACTATTAAGATTTTCTTTTATTTTATTTTAATTTTACTAGGTAAGATTATATATCTTAAAAAGTTTACTTTTTTTATATAAAAATAACTTTTTTCTAATTTAATTAGTAAGTTAGTATCTTATAAGGCTTTTAAAACCTTATAAATATATTCCTTATATTCTTTTTTATTATTTAAGAAGATTAAGATATTATTTAGGTAATATATTATAAAGATATTTAAGTATTATTAGAGTATATTATTAATTATCTGCTAAAATATTATAGGTATATTAGTAAGTTTAAATAGTATTATTAAATATTTAAAGAGTTTAAATTTAGTTTTAAATACTATCTTTTATTTATCTCCTTCTTTAATATAAATTAGGTTATAAGCTCCCTTAAGGTCTAAAGTAATAAAGATTTATTTACTTTATAAGCAGTCTTTAAGTTTTATAATAAGTAGAAATAGGGTCCTATTTTTAATTATAAGGGCATTTAACCTCTTATAGTCTATAATAAGTTATAGCTTCTTATTTTTCTTTAAGATAAATATTACTAAAAATCCTATTAATAAGTTAAATATCTTAATATTTCCTTTTACTAATTCTATATTTAAGTAATCTCTTAGGGTAATAAGTTCTTTTTTATTAAGGTTATAAATCTTCCAAAATAGCAAGTTATTTATTTTAAGCTATATTTTATAATTCTAGTAGCTATACTATAATACCTTTATCTTAAGTTCTTTTTTAAATAGTTTTTTATAAATATAATACTTCTCTAGGATATTTTTAAGTTAATCTTATTATTTTTTTTTTTTAAGTTATTTTTAGCATTTTAATTACTTATCTAGGTTATATAGTTAGTATTTAATAAGGCCTAGGGCTTATTAGTTTTATTATTTCTTGCCTTTTATATATTTATATTATGCTTTTTTTAAAAGTAGTAAATTTTTTACTTTATATATACTTATATTATTATCTTTAGTTAGGGTTTAAGATCTCTTATTATTTATTATAATTATTTTATTATTATTATTTAAGTTATTTTAAAAAGTAACTTAGCTAGTTAGCTAGTTAATATATAGGTTTGCTTATCTAAGCTATAGTATACTAAGGATAATATCTATATCTAGTAATAGGGAAATAATATTTAAGTCTATTTTTTAATTTCTCCCTTAAATAAGGACTTTAAAGTAATTAATCTCTTAATTTATTATTTTATTATTATAATTAAAAGGTTATCCTTTTATATTAATAATTAGATATAAGACTTGCTTTTTTCTCTATAATAATCCAAGCTCTATAACTAGGTCTAGGTTAATAAAGTTATATTTAGCTCTGTAATTAATTTAAGCATTTAGCTATCTCCCCTTAATTTAAACTTTTAGTATTAGGCTATTAGGCTTGCTATTTTATATAGCTCTTAGAGCACTTATTAGTCTAAGTTATTCTTATCCTTATATTTTATATATCTATAGCTTTATTATAAATAGTATTTCTTATATCCTAATATATCTTAGTAAATTTATTTATAGTTATTATTATAGTATCCTTTTTTATTAATATAATCTTTTTTAAACTCTTTATTATATAATAATTACTAAAGATATTCTTTTAATTCTATATCTTATTTATCTAGTATAATTCCTTATCTAGGTTATTTATTATTAATTATATCTTTTATAATTATAATCTTATTAAGTTATTAGAGATTTATAGGGTTATTACATAGGTAGAGTCTATTAGCTTCTTACTAGTATACTAGTTCTTTAGTAGTTTCCAAGCTAGTATTATTAACTAAGGTAAAATTTTTCTCTTAAGTTATATTATTATTATCTAACTTAGTTTTTTTTATTAGTTTCCTTAGGTAATTAAACTTTCCTTTAGTAATTACCTAGAATTCCTTTTTAGTATTTTTTATAAGCTTTTATAATTATTAAATTCCCTTATAGAGTCAGTTTACTTTATAGGTCTGTTAATAGTAGGCTATATTAAATTATAGTTCTGCTACTCCTAGGTTTTTATACTATATATATACTAAATATCTTTCTATTTCCTTCCTTAAATAGGGTTTACTATTAAGTATACTAGGGATAGTTATTAAGAAATAATTATTATTAAGCTTTTCTTATTTATATAATTTATATTAATAGTATTTATAAGATAGCTATAAGATCTCTTTATATTATTTATTTATTAAAAATATTTAAATATTATTTTATTTATTAAATTATTTTTCTTTATATAATAAGTTTATAGTATTATTAATATAGTAAGCTTTAATATTTAAAAGTTTAATTATATTAGTATTTCTATATTTTCTAGCTCCTTATATATACCTTTCTTCTAGTAATATTTACATCCTGTTTCCTACTTTATTAAATAATAGCTTATAATATTACTTTTATTTTTACTTAAGGTATTTATCTTCCTTATAGAGGTATTATATAGTTACTTATGCTGCTCCTCCTCTATATCTTATATTTTAAGAGTATTAATAATAATAATTATAAATTCTAGCTCTTGCCTCTTATTCCTTATTAAAGGCTATTTCCTTTTCTTAAAGCTTATTTATTATTATAGTTTTAATAGGGATATTATCTATTTTACTAGTTAACTTGGTTTTTTTATTTATATTAAAGATAGTTATTATTTCTTATTATATTATTCTTAAGACTTTTAGTTATTATTACTTATTACCTTTTTTATTATCTTTCTTTTATTATTATCTTTTTTTTTTTTTATTAAAAGTATTCTTTTTATTTTAAGTTTTTTATTTTTTAATAGTAGTACTAGTTATTAATTTTATTTTTATAAAGTCTTTATTATTATTTCTCTTTTTCTATAAGCTCCTTTTTCTTTTATCCCTTATAGGTCTTTATAGATAGTTTCATAAAAGTTAATTTATAATATAAGATTATATTATATTTACTTTAAGTTATTCCTAATAGTTAAGTTAGTCTAAGAGGTTTTTTACCTTAGTTTTACTATTACAGTTTTTATAGTTTAAGGTATTATTATACTATATGCCTAAATTAGTTATAGTTATAGTATTTATATTAGGATATATCTTATTATCCCTTATTACCTTATTAAGTAGCTTTAAGTGCTATAAGCCTTACTTAGGTTTTATATAAGGTATTATTTTAATAATTACTTTATTATTATCTTTAATTTTAAAAATTACTTTAATTATTATTATTATATTATTAATTAAGGTAATATAAGTTAAAGTTATTATCTTATTTATAATTTACTTTTTCTCTTTTATATTTATATTATTACTTATTTATTTTAATTATTATAGTAATCGCGGACACGCTGCTGCTGCCTCCGGTTTAGCAGCACCGCCCAAACGGGCAAGGCGCGCTCGCCGCACACCAACCCGACCGCACATCACGTGATTCTCTGTATATAAGACATCGACCTCCTCCAACCCTGGCAGCATGTATCTTTGACCTCTGCTTCTTCCTATGCTCTGCCCGCTGGCATCCGCTATTCTCCCTCTTCTGCAAGCATCGCTGCCTTCAGCCCAGCCCCCTTCGCCCATTCTGCCACGTCATCGTTCTGATTTGGAACGAAGTTCTCTCGCCAGAGGGATTAACCAACTATCGCGACGCCTGCATCGCCCCCAACGCCTGATTGCGGAGGGAATGAGACATGTTCTAGTATTCGTTTTCCATTTTATCCTCTGATGTTATTACTAACTCTACTCTGTGTCTCGTACGGCTTCCTTTCCCGTCCTCTTCTCTCAGAATCTAACAACGCCAACAGTCTGGGGAGCGTTCCCCAGGTTGGGCCGCCTCACAGCGGTGTGATGCTTCTCAGGCAGCAGCAGAGCATCTCACGGCAATGTTTTCCCTTGTGAGGCCTCCAGTCGACGCCCATCCAATGGCAGAAATGCCGCAGTGGCTTATCAATGCCCCCCTGCTGCATGATGGAGGATGGTGCCATCTCGGACTCGCCTCCTGAGCCTGGGACGGGTGGCCCCAGAGGCCTCTGGCACGAACTTGCTCCCCGATTGGTTCCCTCAGCGGGTAGAGCGGGTGAAGCGTCTGATCACGGGCCGCTCGACGGGGTCCGAGTCACCAATTCCCTGTTCAGGGGTTGCCAAGACTACCCGCCGCTTGGGCGGAAGTTCCTTGATTACTTCTTGTTGGTCCTCGGCTCACTTGTTTCCGTGTAGATCGGGATGGCTCAGGCGCTTCAGAAACGGGGCAAGCCAGCATGCCGAAAGGGATGATTGGGTGAGAAGGAGGAGAGGGCCGGGCGCACTACGGCGAGCTGTTGGTGTTGCACGCGTGCAATCTCCGTTAGTCTCGCTGTTGCGGGATCATAAGACGTTCATGGCGGCATCTTGAGCTCTCTGAATGGCTCAAAAGGTTCCTGGCTGTGACGATCAACATGTGCGGGCGCAGCGTCGAGCTTCATCACGGTCAGACGAAAGAGCTAATACTGCCGGAAACTCCCGTCCCCCGTGCTGTCTGACCAACTGGAGATCATGCATTTTGCGTGAACAGCCCAACAGCCATCAAGACCTGCCTCATATGGCATCTCGAGGACTCTGCCTTGCCAGCGAGTGACGTGGATCCCTGATGATGTGCGAGAAGATGAAGCGAGGAGGGATTCATGTGTCCAGCACAGCTGCATCGGTGTGGCCCGGCAGTGGATTATTGGCACAGAGGAGAGCGGTTACGTTCCTGCCTCCATCTGACTCAACCTGGACTTGGAGAAAAGGGGAAACGGCAGTAACATATCCGGCTAAGCTCCTTCGGACAATATGACTTGTGTGGTTCAGCTGCGAGCATATAAGCTGGACAACTCCCGCCCATTTTCAGCTTCACCATCCTGTCAGAGCAACCGCCTTATCGCTTGACTTCCAAACACACGGCAACTCAAACATGTTTTCGATAACCTCTGATGCTGGACAGCACACACTGCTGCAGAGCTTCACTCCCCCTGCTTCTCGAGCAGTCGCTGTATCCCTGAGCGACAAAGAGGCAGTCTTGTCGGCTGATGGAAAATCCAAGGGCGATGCTATTTGGATTTCTTCCGATGACGATTCTGATACGGAAGATGAAGGTGACGATGAGTGTCAAGATCTCGACCACTCGCAATCATGCACAACACCTACGACCAGCATCGCAGACCATTTGGGTAAGTTTTTTTAACACTATCATCCTTTCTGGCGTAAGCCCTAACAGCCTGTTTATAGATAGCACGAGTACCAAACACAGTCCAATTGAGTCGGAGGCCGCCATCGGTGTGGACACTACGCCAACAGTATCTCCAGCTGTAGGAGAGGACGACCCAGATTGGACACACAACTCACATATGGGTCCCCTTACTGATCCTGAACCGAATCAACAATCTCCTTATCAGACGAATCGCACGTCCGCTGGAGACTCGACGGCCTGTACAGATGCCGGCCTTGACGTCTCGCCTACTAGCCCCGAAGGTCAGCCATGTCTGGGTGTGTCAGACGAAGAACAGCTTATCACCAAAGCTATCGGAGCCACCAGCGAGCCGGGCATGATGATCGATGCTCTCTCTGACGAAGATTCCTGTCATGGGGCACAGAATACTCCCACGTCCCCTTCAAGGCGCACATACAGTCCTATTGCTGCCGGCCCCGAGGAGATGGCTCACACCCTACTACACGGTAGCGAAGTGAGTGCGAGCACATCGCACGATGATGCCGTCTCTGGAGCCCACACTTCATCCCCCGCAGTAAGGCTGCCACCCAAATCACAGCAAGAGCAAGACTTCGACCACACCAGCTGCGGATCCAGCGATGCTGAGTCCGAGTCCTCGGAGGCTGAATCCGGATCGCCATCTGGAGCCCGAATGTCTCCCCCGTCTCAGGAGTTGCCGTCCCGGCGCCGTTCTCGTCGCAGATCCTCACATGCACATAGAATGGTGCAAGATACGGACAGTGACGTAGATACTGAAGGCTCTGGCAGTGAGGATGGCCTCGATATTCCACAATGCGTGCGTGACGAGGACTATTGTCCTTCGCCTCCAAAAGTTCAGGGATCTGGCTCGGAAGACGATGATATCGACGATGAAGAACACCAAGATCGCAAGCGTCGCAAGGTCTCTAGGTCCCCTTCCTGTTCGATACGCAATGCGGCCACCAGTGCCCGGGATTCTCGCCAAAGGAGGCGATCTACAAGAGCTGTCGCTCACTCATTAGGTGAGTGTGACACGCCGGCACTCGGCGTGTTGAGTCCAACACCATCGCATCCAAGATCTGTTTCCTCTGATGCCAGTGCGTTTCTTGCTCAGTTTCAGGAATGGCAACTCAAGAATGTTTCAATGAAACGCATTACCGAAAATGGCCAGACTACGTTTCAATTCCAGTTTGAGTGGCCCCTTTGCACAAATCATCCGCAGGCTGCCGGTGTGAGTCCAGATTCGACCCGCTCGGTCGCAGCGAAAAAAACAACCAAGCGAGCTCCCGTACGAGGGGCAAAGTATTCAGACGATGAAGATAACTTCCTCATACAACTGAAGGAAGAGGAGCAGCTTGGGTGGGCGGAGATTCGTCGGCGTTTTGCTCAACGTTTCCCCGAACGAGGCGGCTCGGGCCTACAAGTGCACTACTGTACGAAGCTGAAGGATCGTGGGAGACCTTGATATCATCATGCTCCACTTGGAAGGGGGGACTTGGAGACGGGTGTGATGTATGCTAAACGAGCTAAGGAGTGCTGCAATACATATAGTTCCTTCATGTTCCTGACTATATGCGTGTACGATATGAGTACGCCGAGCCGGCCCGTAGCATCCGGCGCCCGTCAGTCATCAGCGGGGTTCCGCTGACGGGGTCGAGATGGAACAGCCGCTCTACGCTCACGACCCACATGGGTGCCATTCAACAAGGCGACAAGGCGACTAGGAGATGGGCGAATCGTGAGACCAGAGCATTCTTTTAGGGCGACTATAAACACAGAACGATTCCCGTGCTCATGCCGGCACGAGTATTCTGTGAGAACATGAACGTCATGCATAATTACGCCAAGATAAATAGACCAAGAAAATAAAAGGATTATCGCTCTTCGCTTCCCTACTCTCACATTTATTTCCCCGTATAGTACTTTAATTGCATGCTGCGCCAGGGGAAATAGCCTCGAGCTGCGATTGCTTACTGAGTCCACAGATGTAGTGCTGGGCCTCTGCGGCGAGGTAGTCATGGATGAGCGAGCAGTCGCAATCGGTATGTTGTAAAAGCTTCATCTTGAGCTCCTGGACCTCACGAGTCAGGTTGGCTAAGCAGTTGGACAGGTCGTGATTGGTTCGTTCCAGCTCTTGCTCCTCTGACTGGACTCTTAGCATATGTTCTCGCTTCTTAGCTCGGGATTTGCCAGCCGCAATACGATTCTTTTCTTTTGCATGTTGGCTATGGCTCTTGCCCTGTTGGTTCGAGTGCTCAGTACCATGGTGGCCGTGGGTACCGCAAGGTCTGTTTGAACAGCCAGTACCTCCTCCTCCTGTTGCTGTACTGGCTTTGCTGTCTCGAGAGGAATCTCGTCTCAAAGATTTGCAAGTTGAATTTTTATTTAAGCAACGCTTGCGCTTTTGACGCTCCTCCTTTTTAGCCGTTAGGGGCGGAGACGGGATGCCTAACTGGTGCGAGATTTGGGGAATTAGCGTCGGAAAGACTGAGGTTGTAGCCGTGAAGGTGGCGGAAGGGTATGGATCACTCCAGTGATCCAGGGATCTGGTTGGGGAGGTAGGTATGGAATCATTAAACAAGAATTCACTTTGCCTGTAAACGCTCGCCAAAATCCCCCCTTCCGTCGACTGTGGAAGGGCTCGCTGATCAATTGAACACCATTGCCCCCAAAAGGGATTGGAGCAAATAGGTAGTGTATTGGAGATGTCGACACCCAGCTTATTTTTTATAGAATCGACTGCCATTGATCCTCCTTCATCCATAATGTAGTCGCCTGGTAGGTTGATTAGACATAATAACTCGCAGACGTAAAATGAGGAGCTACGGGAATCATACCCTACCTTTTTAGTTCTTCTTTTAAGAATTCAGAATAATCATTGATAAGATTTGTTTATAGTAGCGTCTTTGTTGATTTGGAAACCAACTTCAAGGAAGTTGGACAAATATTTAGTTCCTGAAGTCGGTGGCGGACGAGCCGCGATTGGGCTGGAGGGAACAGACGTAGATATGACGTCGCCAAGAGTAAGTCGTGGCAAGGAGGGGCCATTACCCTTCTTGATGATGACCTCACCGCTTACGTCGCGGGCCGGCTTGATTATATAAAATCTCGCTGCCGGAATAGCAGTGAATCCGATTGCTCGATTCGCAGATTAAACTAGTATCGACCTCTCGCCCTGCCTATGCCGCCCTTGGTGGCACACAATCAATGGGTCGGCGAAGGTGATGGTGGTGAAGGAGCCGAGACGGATTCTCGGGGAGCGTCCTGCAACAGCTTTTGGCCTTGGGTTCGACTTTCTCAAACCAGCGAGGCGTCATATTGACTATGAAGGGGACACTTTGGCCTTATTGTACGAAGTGGAGGTATCAGCGAGGCGTCATATTGACTATGAAGGGGACACTTTGGCCTTATTGTACGAAGTGGAGGTATCAGCGAGGTGGCTTCTCCTACGATCCATAACGTCCATCTCCATCATGAAAGCCTTCCGGCACCATTGAAATGGAGCACAGCGCCGTCGCAGGTGCGTTGGGTAGTCCGCTAATCGCACCAGGCGTGACAATCGCCAGGGCCCAGCCCCAGATTTGAGGTCGAGGAACGGGCCGCTCGGTCGGGGGCTAATCTACCGGCCATTGAGCCCCGAAAGTATTCGGCAATCTGAGTGTTGAAGAGTTCTTGCATAGACTATACGTAGATGGAATCTATGCCGGTTTCGTTAGTCAGCGGCCAGTCGAAATAAGCTATTCAACAATTACATACTGCGCTATGGGAAATAGCCTCGAGGTGCAATTTCTTACCGAGTTCACAGAATAATTCATTCGATTTTACTGGCAGAATCAGTAACCTTCATGGTTGTCCTATTTTTAGCGATATTACATGTCTAGCAGTCTAGTAAGTTTTGCAGTCTTAACGGGAAGAGGCCTCGCTTACCGCTGTGTTCTGAGGGAGCCCCAGGTGCATGGAGTGCGCGCAGACCTGTGAAGCGCCACAACAATCCTTGTGGGCTACAAGAAGGTAGTTTAGATGGGCTATTTCCGCTTCTAGTCGAGATCGCTCAGCATTCAGTGCCCAGTTCTTAGAATATTACTCTCCATAAGAATCCAGTCCGGCTAGCCGGCTAATGTCGCGCTCCTCGCTGGTCATTATAAATGCTTGCTAGCTCGATATAAGCCTATCTTTATTAATAAAACATAGCTTTCTCTTCGAGCCCGTATACAGATAAGTTTGGGTCGATTTTGCTGCTAGCCAACCTCTTAGTATAGCCTCGTAGTTAAAGGGGGAGATGGTGTAGATTGCATACTGGAAAGGCTTAGGCACATAAAACAATATAAGAAATCTTTCCTGTAACTACTAATGATTTAGAATGGGAAATGGGATTAGGATTAAGAAATAAAGCCGCTATAAAAAGAGGGGCGTTATGATGACCAAAGCTTTGCTTCATAGGGCCATCATATATAATATGGGTTCGAAAGATGGGCTCTATCGGCCCAATCTTAGCTTTTAGTGTGGGGAAGGGGAGAAAGAAAGAGAGAAAATAGTTAGTTCTTTGACATTGAAGATATATCACGTCCTTATCATAGTGACTGGGTAAGGTATTCTTATTACAATAACTTGGTGTCAATATTGATAGGGTCCCAGTACACCCGAGGCGCCGGGTAAGCATCTTGTCTGTCTCATCAAATCACGATAATCGCTCTCCTCGATTATGTAAATATATAAAGTATACCAACGATATACATAGGACTTTTCACGTTTCGCTCTGCTTGGCTGCGGCGCAACGGGCTGACCTTAGAGTTGAGGCAGATATGATATGTTAATCTGGTTTATATAATCAATGGTGGAGAAAATGTGTGTAAAATTGTGACATGCGAGGATCATCCTTTAACTACCATGACATCATTCTTGTTGAGAAAACAGCCGCTGCAAGGGGCGGCATTTATCTGATCATGAGAACATAGTGGATAATACACGTTGGCTTTACCCGTAAGCTTCTTTAAGGGTCTAGCTAAAAGGCTATGTTATCATTTCAGTTAATAGCTAGAGGCCGTAGCCTTGCATATATTTCAATGCCGCAACCAGTCACTAAGAACGTCAAATATGCCGCCAAACAGAACTTCCAATTTCTCAGATTCCTCGACCTTGTCAACACACGACTCAAGTCAGAAGACTAATCTCCGACTTTTACTCCTAGCTCCGCGCACTCATCCGGTAGAGACCCATGCCGGGCATCAAACAGCTCCCTTAGCACGAAGAAGAGTTTCTACATCTTTAGCTTGCGAGTCCTGTAGACAATGGAAAAGCAAGGTATGCCACAACCAAACTCTATCTATACAACCTCAAAGTAGCGCTTTTCTTGGAGGTTTAATTAATCGTGGGTTGAATGGTTTGCATAGTGCAACGGTGCTCGGCCGACATGTTCTCGGTGTCGAGAAAAGCACATCGATTGTGTTTACCGGCAAACACTTGAGGCTAATTTCAGAGAGAGGTTAAAAGCGCTTCAAGTGTCGCACCCGGCTGCCGTTATCTATCGCGCTATACAGACTCGGCCAGAGGCCGAAGTCCACGAGATTGTCCGTCGCATTCGTGCCGGTGCCGATGCTGAGAGTATCGCGCGTCAACTCAGCACAGCTGATCTCCTTCTTCAAGTTCAACTGGAACCCGAATCAAGATCAGTTTCTTTACCTCACCCCTGATGCCCTCATACTTGCAAACTCCATCGAACTCTTTTATACACACCTTGATTCACAAGTGGAATGAGAACGATCACGCCGGCAATGTCAGTGCCCCATGGCTGTCGGAATCTGAAGAAAGCTATAAAGCCTAATGCTTGAGGCCGGTTCACGCAGCCTCTATGATAATTGGATACGTCGTTTTCCAAAGTTGGCGGTTCGTGAGGAATCTGGTAGCTCAATTTTGGGCATGATATACGGGGGTAAGGATGGCTAGGCTAGGTAGGACCAGATGGGAGACTCATGACTTTTGACTAGATGATGTGCTTGTTTGAGAAAAAGAATATCGACCACAAAACATCGTCGCTTTATGGATGGTGGCTCAGGTTCGCCTCACCCTCCTCACTTGAACATCCAAAAGTCCCATCCACACAGGCATGGGTGTCTGACACCATAGCCCTCCAACTCCAGTCCAGTGCGCACAATCGTCAACCCAGAGGCACCTGCGAGATTAACCGGTTAATTATAAGAACTCAGATATAGGCAAGTTCAACAGGAGCCGAAATGATCAAAATCATTGCCAAGATTACAATCAACATTACTTCAACGCACTGAAGTATTGCAACCCATTTCAACCAGGGTTCTTTTCTTGTCGCTCTATTTAAGGAATTGCCTCTTAGAAATGTTTCTTTAAAGCGCATTATCAGAGGAGTAAAGGCGACGTTTCAACTGCAATTTGATTGGACTCCTGATCAAAGTCAGCCGCATGCTGACAGGTCTGTATCACATTCTCAGAAGGACAGAGGGCCCCCTAAGGCTTCGCTTTCGGCAAGCAGATCATTCGGTGGTAAATGGACGTTGGAAGAGGATAATAAAGTACGCACCATGAGGCGAGGTGGATGTTCTTGGGTCGAGATACAGCGCGCCGTTCCACATCGTTCCCAGGGTTCGATTCAAGTCCGGTACTCGACTAAATTAAAACAGTGGTCGCTGAGGGATAATGAATACTAGCTAGCCATATAGGTTTTAACTTTTACCAGGAAATATACGTTTCTGTGCAATCCCTATTCTTCCTTGGTAGCCTGTTACGGTATAGATACTGTGATGGCGCTTAGCATTCTGCCTTTCCCCCCGAAGGATAAATATTCAAGTAAAATTCATAGTAATATAAAGAGACTATTTAGTTTAAGCCTAATATAAGATCTACTGCAATATGCAGTAATTAGAGTAAACTATACAAGTGATTTTAACTCTTCTGTCCTCCCCCCGTTCCAGAGATCATACTTGGCCAATTCTTCTATACTTGGTTCTCAGTCTAACGAGTTAAGTATATGAACAGCTTCAGAGGACCAATGGAAGATATGTTGAGGGTTTATTCGCATGAACCTTTCAGAAAGTCATATTATTTATTCGACTTTACCGGTAGAATCAGTAACCTTTACGATTATTCTAGTTTTGGCGGTCTAGTAATTCGCTAAGCTTAACAGTCTTATGGCGTCCTATTTTTATAATATTGGCTCCAAATTCTGCATCGAGAATATCGTAGAAGTGGCGTCTAGGCGCTCCGTGTGCTTTGAGGTATTCAAAGCTCAGCCTTATTATTACTACTCATGTATGACACCAGGAAAAGCTTTCCGAGTCAATATTGCACCTCGGTGCTCTTCCAAACTCAAACAAGGGTGTGAATATCTTCTGTAGGTCTGGTCCTCAGTCATGATAAAGTGTTTCGCCTTACTTGGAAGTCTATTCCCGCCTGGCCTGTACCTCCATGCCTGTCTCTTCGGGCAAACTCCCTTGTAGCAATAGTTCTGAGGCCTTGACCATCTGCAAGACCTCAATGGGATCACTGCTTGTCCTTATGCGGTTGAAGATCTCTTGTGCCTCCTCCATCGACCGCGAGTGTATCATACTGTATAGCTCACGTAGATGTTCCAACTCGGTCATCAATTCGCTATTGCGCCCTTCCAGGGCTAGTATGCTCTTTTTCTCCTCATCGGTGCGGTAGATGCAATCTGTCGTGATTTCAATACAGCGCTTGCACATAGGCCTGACACCATTGCACTGCATTTATGTTAAGCTGCATGATTCTTGCATAAAGTCAATAACCGCGTTCAGGGAGGTCTTACTCGTATTTTCTTCTTTCGACAGGATTCGCAGGCCGTACGAGTTCCCGCTCGGGGGATCCTGATAAGGCCTAAAAGCGAAGACTGAGGCTGGGAGCCGGAGGCATCTTCTGTTGAACTCGATACTAGTGTAGTGTTGGGTAGCAGTGGCCGGTATTTACTCGACATAGGAAGCCTGGACGGGATTGCAGATTTTGTGTTGTTCAAAAGAGGGGTCAGATCCAGCGGGGCAATACCTAATTAAGCTACGTGGCTGGAACGCCGGAGGTTACCCTCCGGTTTTGGTGACCGTCCTCGTTTTCTGTTGCTGTTTTGTCTCGCAGACGGGCTACAGGAGAGGGCTAATTTATCTAATTAAAGCTTTGGCTTTACGTTATATACACATTAGAGTCAAGCCTAGACCTCTTTAACAAGAAGACTAACTCGTGACTCCCTGGCAAGCGCTTAATCCAAATAAGATCATCTGCTAACAATGTTCCGAGTGCACTATATTCCTTAATACGGCAATGTTGTGTGTGTTTGTCAATTTCATTCAGATTCACCATCGGCGACTGGGTTTAGCGATGTTCCCCGACGAAAACATCAACCATAGCCGGGAATAGCATGATCCCGCCTATTATTACCGCAGACGCATGAATTTTTTACTATGCCCTATGTATTGTTGGCGTCACGTTCATACCGAAGAAGAATTGGTGACTAGAATAGTAGATACATAGGGTATTAATTAATCTTGACAGCGAATTTGTCGGAATATTTATGCGATTATAAGTTGTTCAGGAACTGTCCTGGCAACAGCTATTTTATTGGTTCTCTACTACTCCAGCAGTAGGCAACAGGGCTATCATCGTCTCACTGGGAAATGCCTGTAGCGGGTTTCTTGCTCGGTTTAGCGGCGGCCTCCTGAATACAGTTAGGCAAGATCTTTGTTACAATTTTTCGATTAATAGAGTGCATATTCTATGTCTCAAGACGATTCGTCTGGAGCTTCATCAGCATTGACGCTGGTGCTAATATTGACGCTATAGGGGTAGCTTCTGGAATAACATGAAATCGTCTGCCGGCCCATGTGCTCCTCTGACGATCTAGCGTTATCTGCATCTATAGATGGATCGTCATCGTCGTCGGATGTGGAATCATCAGTGCTAAACGGCGGAAAGAAACTGGCAGGGGATGGCAATGGAACTGGTATCAGTCTCTTTGTGCGCCATGATAGATACTCAATCTCGATAGGCCGTGATTCTTCGATCGCTTTTATTTCTGAACCGCCGACAATAGGACCAGAAGTTACTGTCGCCGCGCGGTGGCAAATGATCCTTTCTGTGCCTTTATTCGACCTCCCAATCTGAGGCTTACAGGCCCATGGGAGAATATCTTGCTTAGGCCGCTTAGTATCGACAAATATCATAAAGTGATCATCAGGGCGAACACCACCAAGTCCGCAGGGTACCAAGGGCTGCTGACCCATGTCTTGCTGAGCGTCGTTCCAAATCAAATCCAGCTCGATATCGCTGCTTTGTTCCCTGTCATCGTTTATCAGGCCCTGAACTTCATTGTTATCCTCGCCCATGGCTGAAATCTGCTGACGCAGGTCTTGGCATCTATCCGTCAACGGCCTGTAGTTGATGAAGGACCCAGATGTTGTTCGTCGAGGAGACCGAGCGAAGTTTGGTAGTTGCTGAGAGTCCCTTCTGTTTTGGGCGCTCGAGGGCGTGCGAGTGGTTGGTGATAGATCAGCTGGATCACCCGATAAATCAGTGCAAAAAGGTGCGCCACTGTAGTATGTGATAGCACCTTCGTGGTGTTGCCATTTGCCAGCCGACCCTCTGGAGTGATTCAAGCCGAAGCCCGACCCGCCAGGGTTATTGTCGTCCACGGCTATAGACGAGCAAACCGACGCACCCGGTGAAGTGTGCCCACCTGACGAATCCTGCTGAGCAAACAGTGGCTTGTAGTGGAAACTTTCAACTCGAGCGCAAAGCCGTGAATCAAAGTTAAGCGGATCCTTACTTGAGCCGCCGAATTGGGATTCAGTACTAGTGTAAGGGCTAGTCTTCGGACGCTCTCGTTTCTTTTCCGAACCATCGATATCATCGGCAGAAGGAATTTCTTCAGATTCGTAGCCAGAGCTGTGACTATTGAACTTGGTATCTTTAGATCCGCCTCGCCATCGAATTTTATGGCCGTCAGGAGATAACTGCAATTTGGTGCTGATTTCTATGACGGCCGAGCGAACGAGGTCTGGTGTCACATTGATCAAGTGGAGCTGGGCCAAGTTGTACAGCAGGTTCAATGACACCCAGCCTTCAGCGTCTAGGTGGACGTCCTGGATACTCTGCTGTCCAGGCAATAAGTCAGGCGGCAGTAGGTCCAAATGTTGGATGTAGTTCATATTCTCAGACGGATTCTGAGCACGATCAGGGTCCAAATCACAAGGTCGCGTTGGTCGCTGTTTTGGCAGAAACGGGAGTGGGGGAAACGGCTTGGTACCAGAGACCAAGCCTTTATCATTGCCTCCTGTCTCCATGTTATCCTCATTGGGATCAGAAGCCGACCCAGGGTCACTTGAATGACACTGATTTCCCCAAGGGCGAGATTGTTGTTCTAGAGGGAGGATTCTTGCTTCCCGGATAGGCTCAGTTCCATGAGTGGGTGGTTCGTGGGCGGATGATGGGTCCGCCACCTGTGCATCCAATACAACCCGCGCCATAATGAAGCTACCACCCGGCCGCATAGGCGGCATCTTAGAGATATAGGCATCGTTACTTCTGCCTGTGAAGAGCTGTTCGAGGCGACGAACAACGAGACTCTTCCGCTCATTGTCTGTCATGATTACGTGTCGTGGGTACAGGCCGTCGGGAACATCTCTTAGATAACCCTCAACCTTATCCTTTGATGATTTGGTTGAAGTCAAGATGGGGAGGTTAGAAGGCGTGCTTGAAGACTCGGCACCGGCCGATATGGAGGCGTAAGCAGAGTCAGCTGGCTGGAGGTTGGAACCTAGAGAGGAAGGGGCATGTTTGCGCTGAATTCCAGATTTGGAGTATGTGTTATCGCGATTGAGGGAGGATATCTTTCTCCTTTTCTGCGATGATGACACCTCTGCATGGCCATTGAGATCAGTGGCAAAGTCTCTCAGTGTGGCCTCGAGTTCTCTCTTTTTGTTTTGGGGCAGCCTATGAACCTTGATCTCAAATAGCTTGCCTTTATGGAGCATAGCAGGGCCCGGTTGCTTGTAGCGCTTAAGTTCCTTCCTAAGCTGTTGAATCTCGAGCGTTAGGTCGTCAATGACGCTCCGATAGTCATCAGCGCTACTGCTGTGCGCCGTGATAGGCATAGGAGGGGCGACCTGGCATTGAGTATGCAAGTTTGGCTTCTCTGTATTCCAAGAACCAGATTCTTTCCGGAAGAAGGGGACATTAACTATAGCTTTGCATCAGTTTCCTCTAAACCATCAGGAGTCCGCTAGTCGTAGTGCATACCCTCTATGGCATTGTTGTTGGCTGTCGCGTTCTGGCTCAAGTCGTTATGCCACTCTGGTGGGTCACTTGGCACCGTCTCATGGCTGCCGCTGGGAGAATTAAGATGGAGAGAATGATCGGTTGGTGGTGGCGGGGTTCTATGTAAAGTGCTTTGATTTAAAGGCATCTTAGCCCCATAAGCATATGGGAAGTAAAGCAAGACCCTAATAGGACTGCTTAATTGTCGATATCGCAAGAATTCCGAGTATGCCCATTGTCAGGCTACATTATAGTAAGATTTCTACGGTTCGATAATCGTGTATACGATCGAGAGACCTCTGGCAACAGTCAAGTGTCCTGTACACCAACAAGGCGGGGGGTTAGCAATACCAAAGAAAAACTAGTCATAAATGAAACCACTTGAGAGCAAGAATCGAGCTCTGGCAAAAGCATCGCAGAGTGTCGCCGGTTACGTAGTTGCTGGTCATTGGATGAGAGCGACTGCTGCAGTATGCTATGCTAGCTTGAGAGGAAAGACCCAGCAGTTTTTAATATGCTTACCAAAACGAAAGAAGCTACAACCAGCAATAGCGAGTTGCAGATAATCCCCAGGTTATGCAAATTTGTTCATAAGGAATTTGTTAGAAGTCAAGTCTTCTTCGGTTCGTTAGGCTGACGAAATGTCCGGAACTATCAGGGCAGGAGATCGCAGGGTGAATCTGCTCCTCTCAATTGAGGCTCGGTTGCGGAAAAAGTGATGCACTTTCGGTGTAGTGGTCCGAGCCTGGCTTCCCAGTAATGGAAACGGAGAGCTCGAGTCGCTGCGAGATGACCCAGCAAGAGATGTATTTGACTGCAATGCGTTCTCAAGGACTCAACTAATTTGGCGGTCGATAAATTCGAACAGAAATGGGAAAATAGCGTCGCGTAGAATGCTTTTTTGCAATTTGCCACGTCAATGGTCCGGCCCAGAGGTCGAAGCTGCTACAGTAGACGGTTGAATGGTTCCTGTACCTAGGTGTTGAACTCAGATTGTCGTATGGCGGCGAATAATGATACAAACGGCCATGCCGCTCTGGTCGGAGTATCGTGCGCGGTGCCTTAAGAACGTACGACGAGTACGGGAAGGATGTGAGGTCGAGGGGGCATGCCAAACGTCGCCAGAAGTAGAGACGGGGTAGGTCACTTGCCAGGTACTGGTAGGTGGGGGAGTGGAATAAAGGTGGAGGATCCTGAGGATCCAAGAGCCCGGGTCCGCGAAAGAAAGTTCAGAGACAGGACAGGCCGCGCTAGAGATGTTCTCTGCAAAATGCTCACAGGGAATATCGTAGCGCTCCGAGAGCCTAACTCCGTTAACCGGGTGACTTATGTATTAATGCCTCAGGTCTGAGGTCACCAGAGCATGGAAAGTATCCCGGAACAGGATCTCCGGCTGAGGGTCCGATTCGTTTTTATCGCTTACCGCGGTTTGGAGCATCACGTTTGCGGCCTACTTGCACACAGCAGACCTACCAGAACGCAAAACTCAACAATAAGGCGCAGTCTTAATGGTGCACTTTGGTGGCTACCTAGGCCGGAGAGCGCCCAGATATATATCCTTACATCATGTCCCATTCTCATGGCTCCACGAGAGCAATGCGATATCTTGAATGATATCTTAAGCCAACTCCACTTAAAATCATAACAGATAAGGTATTATCGCGGAAATAAAAAGAGGGCTCTTGCTAGTGCCGCAACGCTGAGTCAAGCTACAATTGCGAGGCCTATGTGTTCTGGGCTCCGCCATCATTTTAAAATCAGACCACTTTTCCGTCATGATTCCATCGTTTCGGCCACAAGCCATTCTTGAGAGGGTGGGGTTCGCCCCACCTTGGGTCGAATTAGGCCTTAGTTCTATTTTATACTGGCCTCGAGGAGTCAGACGCCCTTGCTAGCCAGCGGGTTAACATCGTGGCGTACCCCACTCACCGTTCTTTCATCGACAGGATGGAGTACAGCTTGTCGCCAATTTCATAAACTCCCCAAAACTAGTCGATCCTAACAGCTTGGTTCATAGCTGATCTGGTCGCGATATGTTGGATATACCCATGAATGTTGTTGTTGATTGTTGGATATTTGGCTTGCGCCGGAGCGAATTATTGATTTGGCGAGAAGTCCAGGCTTGTTTTGCCAGCAATCAACGAGCGAGCGCCATTTGTCTGGTTCTCGAAGGCCCCCGCCCTCACCTCCCTCGTGAGTCACCTGCTCATGAACCCCAACCCTAAGAAATTCTCTGCAGCTCGGTGGTTCGAATCCCACTCCACGTTATTCATAGACATGCACGAGTCTTAGGGCCAACTTCCCAGTGGCATGAACAGGTATAAAAAACACATCTAGTGTATTTTCCCAATAGTTGGACTAGAATATCTCTATAATTGCCCCCCATTGATGGAGTACTATGCATGTCCGCGTTTTGAGCATCGACGATGGCCTGCACCGTTGAGTAGGAAGCATGAAACAGGAATTGGAAGGCTGCCAGATTCGCTGGCAAGCGCTGATCCTCCTCGTCCTCCTCCTGCCATTCCATATGGCCTTTTTGCTGCTCTGATTCCAATGCCTTCGCCGTCCTGGTTGTTTTATGCAGGGGACGATGATATCCCCGCCCCGAGCCTCCGGTCGCGTCCCATGACGATGGATGACATCTGAACCAGGGTTTGCAACGCCAGATGCCCGCCAAGCGGCTAATAGGTCTTCTAACAGTTATAAAGAAGATAAATTGAAAGATTTAAGAGCTTTCAAAAGATTCTTCACCCTCTGCTGCCTTGTTATTAACTGTCGTCTGCGCTAGCACCTAGGACGCAGGTCTATGTTAACAACCGGTGGGGCAGACATGACGTCGCCGATGTATCATTTCCCCCGTCATCGATTTAGGATCCTTCTGCATAAAAAGTAGTGTTTCCCCTCGCTTGCAGTTGGGTCATCGCATATTGTGAGTTGCTGATTTCAACGCATTGTCGCATCATAATCAGCAATCCTCGTCTCATCCCTTTTTCAAACATCAGGCTTCACGTTAATCGCATTTGACATGTCTGAAGGACATACGAGCCGATACCGCCCATTGCTCCCTGGCTTGATGCGTGGAAGTCCCCCTGAGGCCCCATCACCAAGACTCGCAATTCATAAGCGTTCAGCTGTCAAGATAGCCTGCGAAGGTTGCAGGCAACGCAAGGCTAAGGTTCTATTACGCAGTCGATTTTATGGAGTCAAAGAGCAACGAACTAAGAAGACATTATAGTGCGATGGAAAGCGCCCCAGATGTTATACGTGCTTCGCGGCCGGACGAGAATGTCGATATGCTGCTTCTCCAGATAAACTTCAGGCGGCTGCCATGCAGCGAAAAAATGATCTGCTTGAGGAGCGGATAGTTGAACACGAAAATCTGTACGAATCGCTCCAGACGCGGCAACCGGAGGAAGCGCAAGAGATACTTCGCCGGATCCGGGCTGGGAAGGACATCAAATCTGTGACTGAGAACTTCCAAGAAGGGGGCCAACTTCTGCAGCTGACTTCTCCTATGGCATCCCACGCTCCGCTGTCGACAAGTTCAGGCGCTACACCTTCGAATCCTGTGACTGGGAATACTGAGACTGGCAGTCTTGGCTTCGTTAGTTTGCAAGCAGACTATCTAGGGAGCGGGCAGCGATTTATCCATTGTGACCCTCCACGCGCTAGGCTTACTTCACGGTCAGTTCGATGCTCGTCTGTCGCCGGACTTTACTAAGGTATATGACTCGATGCGGTGTTTTAGATACGAACATCCCGAGTATATTTTCGAAAAGTCTTGGCGAAACACGCAACATAGATACGCTGAGAATAGCGTATTTGTCGACTTGCCAGGATATACCCTTCCAATTTCAAAGTGGACAACAGTCTCAAATGACGATACACTCTTGAGTCACCTATTGCTGCTATTCTGGACATGGGACACGATTGGTAACCGGGTTATTGACCGGATTATGTTCGAAGAGGACCTGAAAACCCTGAATCCTAACACACCAAGCCAGCCTAATGAGCTGCGTTTCTGCTCTCCATTTCTTGTCAACGCACTTTTAGCCGTCAGCTGTGTCAGTGTCCCAATATGGCCACCCGTGAAGTGCTGGCTGACGAGAATTTAGGTGTACACGACAAACCAGGCGACCTTTCTCCTGTCGAACGATCCAAACACCCGAGGCCAGGCTTTTGCCAGAGAGGCGGCAAGGCTATTGCCTCTAGAGGATACCAGCCCATCTTTGGCGGTAGCACAGGGTCTGGCATTAATGAACACCTACGAGGCAGCCCTGGGCAATGGGGAGACAGCATTGAGTTATCATAGTCGCATGCAAGCGAGATACCTGGCGCTTCGATTGGACAATGTGAGGCGTTCCACTGACGCCGCTATCGCAGGAGCACGCCAGCGCAGAGAGGCACATGCCTTGTCATGGATTTCATGGGGATTCTATGTTTGGGATTGGTATGCTTCAATTTCCGGTTGGGTTTGGACAACGGGTTTAACCTATATCATAGGAAGCTAATGCACGGCCTTTGTCGCCGTCTCAGCATCAAGAAACCAAACAGATCAAAGACGTGGCAAGACGAAGCCACGTCACCATTATGCAGCAAAGACAACCCTGATTACTGGTGGTTTCCCTACCCCGTTTCAGTAGTGCCTCAGAAGTCTATGAAGAGGGAGATCTTTGCCGCGGAATGCAACCTGGCGGAGATCACGGAACAAGTTCTCGAGTTCCTCATATCGTTAGAGGACGGTATTGCGCCTCGTTGCAACATAGAGAGAGCCCTGGAACTCTATACAAAGATTGTTAAATGGAAGTTTTCTTTTCCGGAGCGACTCAAAGTGGAGAATGTGGTGCTGCCAGCCGCTATCGTACTTCAGTAAGTTGGTGATATGGTAGAGTCTATTGCAAGTATTCACTAAATCCTATCAGCCTCACCGCCGAACTCATAATCATCAGTATGCTCCGGCCATTCGCGGGTTTATCCAAGGAAGATTTTGGGCCATTTGATCCAGTCACAACGTCTTACGCACACGCAAGCAATGCCATATCGGCGATATGGCATTTCCGAGCCCTGTACACCCTTCGCAATGAGTACTGGATGATTCAAGCCAGTTCAGTCTGCGCTTTCCGTGTAGTATTAGCCATAGAGTCTAGCCCGATCCAACTTGAGACGTTCGTCAAGGCGTACCAAGCGTTGGCCGAGCTGGGGGGGTCGTTTCCGGTCGCTAAGGACGTCATGCTATCGATAAAATCTGTTGTGAAGAAGCAAAGGCTTAGGGTCCCGTCTTGCGCGCAAAAGCATTTATCTAACCAAGTTGAAGATAAAGAAGATAGTGTGATAGAGCCTACAGTTGTCAAGATTTTAGATCATAGTGTTATCGTCAAGAAGGCGGATCTAGAGGATTATACAGGCCAGCTGACATTGTCAGGTTTGCTTTCGTCAATGGCACCAATAGATATAGGTCCTGATTAGGCAGAAGGCCAAGGCATGAGAGTACTGATTTCACCGTCTTTGTGACTAGCTGTGCAACCTCGGGTGAGTCCTGCCCTCGAAGATCCTCCGCTGCGGTTTCCTTCCAATAGCCTGTTTGAATCACCCTAGGTCCTGAACAAGGTACCCGGATCACCCGATAAATCAATGCAGAAAATTGCGCCACTATAGTAGATGATAGCACCTTCGGATTCGCCTCTCTATCAAATTTTGTGCCTGTCAGAGGGTTAAAGATATTCATGTCAACGAAATCCTGGGCATCAGGAGATATACCGAAATGATCCTTGTAATAGTTAGCACATATTGAAGATGAGATAAATCATGGAAAAAACACCCCGTGAACCCTCGCATTCGTATCCAGGGCGGCATAGTTCCATATTCGCACGCCGGTTCCAAGTCATATCCTCTGTCCATGGATGGCTTGATGCTTGAGTTTCGGTCTTAGAACGTGTCTGCACCACCAAACCATCATCCTTTGGCGTTCAGCCCTGTTCATTCTATGCATTCACAACTTCTAGCTCTCAGATGAGTACACCGACCGGTATACTCCAATTCAGGCAGCACTTCTTTGACACCCTTTCCGGTTCGTCATCAAACTCCTCCTCGAAGTTACTGTTAATTACTTCTCAGAGGACCTCTCACTTGCGCTTCTCGCCGCCCTATTCACCGCGTTCTTTCTCCCATGTTTCTATCTCTCCTGGATTAAAAGCACCAACAACTTCCTGGCCTAAGGCTTTGCCAAGTCTCTCTCGTAGGCCTAGAATCGGCCAAATGGGAACCCTTGTGTATTCGATCTTGAGGCCTGAAACGGCAGCATCGTCATCGTCGAGCGGCGCCTTGAACGGGTCGTGGAATTTTTCCAAAAATTCCTTTGTTACGTATCCAGTGTAGACAATAAACTCCAATGTGTCCGTGTCGTGGGTGAGGATCCTCAATTTGAGGTCGTGAAAGTTAGGGCACGGGGGAATGCCTTGCTCTGGGGATATTCGTAAGTCACGTCTGCCAGTGAAAGGTGGGGAAGGGTAAAAGTGCTTCTGCGCCATCCCTAAAAATACGCCCACGAAGTGCGCATCGTGATCTGAATTTGAAGGCACGAGCATGCGAGCCCTGAGTTGCTGGAGACGAAACACGGGCTCGTTCCATGGTCTCCCTGGGCCACATGCAAGGCGAAATGAGTTGTTTCGGACTGACGCCAGCTGGGTCTTGCCAATATAGCAGATCATGGGTAGATTAGCAGGGCTTTGATTTGGAGGGAACTGCGTTGAGACGTTAGAGGATTTGGCAGGCCGCGCTGAGACTGATCTGAAGGAAGAGTAGGAAGACTTTGCCTCATCAGAAGGGAAATTCCACAAGATCTGCGCGGGCACAGCATTACGATAAACGAGACCGCCAAAGTATAGATGGAATTCGGGTAAGTAATGCGGGTCACTAAAGGCTTTAGGCCATAGCGTCATGAGGGCTGTCTTGACGGCATTGGAAGTGAGGATAGGGTGCATCGGGAGCGCGTTGTTAAGAGTGATGATTGTATTCGACGGATTGAGGTGCCCTGGCGAAGGTGGCGTTGATGGGGATATCGTAGGCTGAGGTGTATCACATGGTGGTAGTTCCTCCCATTTCACACCGAGGAGTTGAGCATGTAAATCAGTCCAGCAGATGGGGCGCACAAAGAGCGCCGTGCCAGAGTGTTGCTCAAAGATGTCGTAAAGGGAGTTCTTGGCTGGCTGGTAGATGCGGTGGGGGCGCCTCTTGGGTCGGGTCACGACAGGCGCTTGCGATGTGCGCGACGTCGTGTCTGGTGATGTGACGCGACGGTTGCCGTTGCGTGACGGAGTGGTCGATGTAGCAGAAGAATGTGAGGTCGCCATGTCCACCAAATTGCGCAACTATTCGATGAAGTTACTATTCGGCAAAGGTGCCTTATCGCGAGGAGGATTAAGGTTCTTTCTAAGTGTTCTTTGCAGGGTATTGTGTGGTATTTGATGGAGACACAACCAGTTCAGAACGTGTTCAATAAGATAAGGGATGGCGGTAAAAAGAAAACCATTAAAAAAACAGAAGAGGTGATCGAAAACCTCTAGATATTCACGACGGGGTAAAAGACGTCGAAAGGTGAAGGAGGGGAGAGAAGGAATAGGTGATGACGCTTGAATGAAAGGGCGAGCTACGTGCCATTGAATGTTTTCCACAGCTATAAAGAGACCCCTGCGCTTTCCCTGAGGCTTATGTGGGGTGGGTAGATAATCGTGGATTGGAAAATAAGACAACTAAACTTAGAGCATCTCTTTGAGTGTCATAAGCCTACACTTACGTACCGGACAGGGGGGTCTAGCCAACCAGAGGACATCAAATAAAAGGTACATTCAGCCCCACCTAATTTATGCGGTGATAGAAGTCCCAACAATTCCCGTATCTACATAGGGGTACTTTGCACTCCTGACAGCCGTACCGTGACTGAACCCTTTTGCCCCTATTCCCATTATTTGTATTAGCTTGTAAGGGCTGCGGCTGACCCTCTCCAACCCGTATTCCTTTACAAGCTTTACAAGGCGAAGGGTTTTTATTTCGGACCCAATTATGCAGTGTTACAGGCGTAAATTCGTCTCCAGTACGAAATCTCTGCCTTGACTGACTGTCAGGTTGATACTTAGCAATGAGGCTATCCACAATGTGTTGCCGCCAGTCAGCTTGTGACTTTATAGGCTTCCACTGTGGCTGCCCTTTAAGCTGTAAAATGAAGCTATTGATCAGGGCTATTTCTAGCAGGAAGTCCCAAGCTAAGGCCTTCCAGCTGCCCCTACGGACACGACGGTCAGGGCTCCAATAGGCTCGCCTTTGGTCACCTTGGTCCACAGCATTCATCTGTTCATTGTAGATAGCAGCAATTGACGGGATAGAAATAACCTTCACAGGCTCGGCACCAAAAAAACGCTTGATTGGCCGTGCTGACGGTTGGTCTGTTGTTGGTCTCTTCCTCTTGCGGTCAACACGTTCAACGCCTGTGAAAACCGTAGATAAAAATAACACAAGAGCGTTGTCTTTCCAAATGATCTGATTAACCTAACCAAAGACAAATTAGTAAGGGAAATCATAGAGATTCTGTCTTTCTAACTGACCAGGTTATCCTTCGTAGGGACTGCCGTAAGGTAGTTGAACTCAAGGTCAGCGGCTGCTGTGTTGTCAACCTTCTTCAGCTTGACTAGGGGTTCATGGAAGCCACAGTTCTGACGGGCTGTGCCTGTGGCTCCGTGCCCTAGTTGACGGAGCCGGCGGAAGAGGTTAGGGGAGGAGAATAGGTTATCTAGGAATATGTGATACCTGGCTTTTGGCAGCAATTTTACTAGGGCAACAACCACAGCTTGGGTAGGATTTAGATGCTCTGCTCTCTCTGACTTCCTAGCTGGCCGTCTTTGCCGCTGTTTCCGTACCTGTGGTGATTTTCGCCGGTAAGCAGGCCTGACCCCTACGGGCCCGTATTTTCGATGTGGCCGGTGCCAAAGCCACCGCAGGAAATAGCCTTCTTGGGCCACAGCCCAAGCTTTGAAGCCTCGAGGGATAGGTTTGTTAGGTACGACTGTTGTCTCTAAGTCTCTCCCTAGGAAGCGGACCATACACTCATCTATTGCTATAGATGTGCCTGGTGTGTAGAAGTCTAAAGACGCCTGCTGTATATGGTCAGACCAGGCCCTAACCCGGATAAAGGTTCGGCTATAATCCTCAATAGAAGCTTCCTTATCGATAGTTGTGTGGTCAAAAAGGCGAAGGTTCCGTGACAATAGCTGGAATCGTGTGTAAGTCATCCATTTTGTAATTGGATGAAGAGGGCGTTGCTTCCCTAGGGGCGAAGCCTTCCAATAGTCCTTGATCTGCTTATCTGTGTGTAGTCTCATATAAATGAAGATTGCAATCCATATATAGATTTCTGCAGCAGAGGTTGATTTCCATTGGAATAGCCGTGACTGTGGCTTCAATGTACGACGGCCACAGCGAGCCTCTTTAAGCACGTAGCTAGCCCAGCTATTCGTGTAACAGGCCCAGCTTTCTACTAGCGAAATAGGTACAAATTGCTGGAATAGCAACAGCGGCTCCTGGGGCAAGGCCGTGATCTTAGGGGCCCGAATTGGAAGCTTCAATGGCCGAAAACGGTAGCCGCGGGAGGAATCCGGAGCTTTGATTGGTCGGCAGGTATTATCAGCCGGCTGCTCACGGCGGCTGTTAGCAACAACAATACAGCTATCGTCATACGCGTTGACCGCTAGGTCGGAGGCTTTTTGAGAAGCCATGAGGCCGTAGGGAATGAAGAAGAAGAAATGTATGATGAAATGGGCGGGGTTGATTCCTCTGGCCCTCCAAGTCACTCCATGTACCTCAGCCAAAGCGGGGGTCATGTGGGGCTCGGTACGGAAGTGTAGGCTTATGACACTCAAAGAGATATGCCTCAAAAGATTCCCAGTTTATCTTAGTCATTTATGTACAACGTAAGGCCATTTTGTCCACTTCAGTCGATAGGTCGATCCATATATTTGGAATCGAGTTTTGGTGTACTATACGTGCATCTCAACCCCATCGTAAACTTCTAGTTCTCACTTCAGTTCTTGCAACACTTATCGCAGATTCAAGAGAATTCTGGGAAATAGGGTGGCCGCAGTCGCAGGTCACTGCTCACGGTTGTGTTGGTCAGCGCAAAACGTTTAAGAAACGGTCCAGGTGTGTGATTGGCTTGTATAAATCATGCAGCCCAAATTCGAAAATCACATGCTAGGGGTTTTCCCCCTAGCTGGCACTACGCCATCGTCACATCAACCCTTCTAGCTGGTCTTAGAGTTCGATGACCATCACTAATAATGTTGGGGAGCGATACCTACGTCCCCAACGCGCGTTCTACGTTGAGTGCAATCAGAGGGAGGAATCATTGCTTTGGAGTAGAAGTGACTCAGCAAATTCTGCAAGCAAGATACTTCGTTATCAAGGGGTTGCATAGAGCCAACGTCGAGTTCCCAAGGCCAGCTTCCCTCACCACCCACCCCCGGAAAATGGAGAACCCTCAATGATAGTCCATAGGCCGCTGTCCTTTTTTGACGCAGCTCCCAACGGCAGCACCAGGATATTACGCTGCCGAAGCGGCACTCCCGGTTGGAACTGGCGCATTGGGAATATGCCAGCTATTGGTCATCATACTGCTGCCGTTAGAAGAGTTTCTGGGTCGGAACCAAGGATATTTCCAACGAACTATGATCTTGTGCCCTCAGCATCCTGAAGGGATATTATCAGTAAAACTTTAACAGATACCTACAGGTACGACCTACCACAAGCAATCGAGACTTGGATCCATTTCGCATTACAGAACATACCAGCACTATTCTGGGGTTGTCTTTGTTCTTCCGAGGTGTTGGCAGAAGTAGATGCATGACTTGATCGTAATTATGGTGTAGGCGCGGTGATCCACTTAGGGTAATGAGTAGGGATTTATAATGAAGAAATAACAATTGTAGAACCAAGATGAATGAATGTAATGAAGGATTTATATTGAAAGTACATGATCGGTCTCGGCTGCCTTGCACAGTGGTCTAAGTAATAGCTCTGTACCCCGCTAGTGACGGTTTACTGTCCACCCATTGGTTGAAATGCAGTATTGGGTGGTTGGGGAAACCTGATTCGAGCCCGGGAATACGGGGAATTCCTTGTTTGTTGGGGCAAATAGCACTCCTCCAACTTCCACAGCCAAAAGGCATGCCCACTTTCTCTCACAAAAGATTTCCTTCTTATCCTTTCCGGTTATCTCTTTGAACGACACAAGGCTACAAACGGGTCACGACCGAGGTCTAGAGCCAATGAAAATGATCGCAACAAATGGTACTTCCCCACGCACCTGATTTTGCGTATGATAGAAGTACCAGCAGTTTTCATTGTTACAATCGCATCCGTGCTGGTAGTTGGGGCGCCCAGATATGTTTGTGCCAGCTTAGATGCACTAGCACATGTGTGCTAACACTTGAGCCCCAGCGCAGCTGTACCTGGATACAGGGGCTGGGTCGGAATAAACGAGCATACCTTATTTCTGGCACATCAAGGCTATTTGCTCTCTTGCGTCAGCACACGCCGCTATACGCCAGTCGCTTTATATTAATAACATATCCCATTAGCGTAGTTTTACCAGTGCAATATTCTTGTTCTTTTTTTGTGTCCATGTCAGCTTGCATGCATCTTTTCGTGCCTCCCAGGTTGAATACAATGGGCTATGTCGCCTTGTTGGGACTTAAAAGCCTGGACTTGTGTTGGGCCCGTATGGCAAGGCTTGTCACAGCTGGGCTTTGTTTCAAGATGGACAACATGGGACAACAAAACCCAAAACTAGCCTCCATGGCGTGCACAAAACAGAGCAAGGAGCCAAAACCAGTCCGTTTTACAAAGATGACCTATATATAGCGTTCAGATAGTATGTACTTAGCTATGAACCCGATTTTGGCATCTTATTTTCTTACGTTTTCGAAATGTACTCCTCTGGCGGGGCGTGCATCTACCCTAAAACAAGAAGCAGCTTCCTAATACACAAAACTTGAAAGCAAAATTATCACCCCTGCGGTTGCTAGAAGTAGACTAGGGAAGGGTTGCTATATGTATTCTATCCCTAGCGGATTATTCGATCAACTTCCTCTCGTCGTAATAATAATAGTAGTTATTAAGAACATACGCGTGAGAAAGAGAGTCCGGAGTATTGAGAACTTTAAGAAGAAATAGAGCATACTTAAGAATAATAGCCTCATTATCCACTAGGTTTATGACGCTGAAGTATATGTTTATATACGCCATAAGGGCGACAAGTATGAGTTTAAGTCTACTGATAAAGCGTTACCGCTATCTGACGTTAATGCTGCTATCAGCCCTTTGAGCAACCACTCACAACCACTCACAAGCGAGAAATTCATCCAGGATCAACGGCATGGCTTTTTATCGCACTGAGCGTGGTTAAAAGGCTAAAGTGAATGTGATAAGCAGCAGCAAATGGAGCGAAGCCGCCGCTCACGGTAAGGCCAGACTCTTTTTTGCGCGCAAAGCAGGCATACGACGGCCTGCGAACTTGATGCAAGTTGCAGATTCATGTTTCTGCAAAAGCGCGGTCAGCCCATCTCCTTCAGCTCTGAGTCGCCGAACTTAACAACTGATCCTCCAGTGGGCTCGAACTCTTGCCCAACGGTATACTACTACGCGGGTACGCCTTGCCACGTTATTTAGTTGAAAGCTTTCTACGCTCAGCTGTGCATCACCTCTGCCCTTGGATGTTGCCCTGGCCATTGTAGGTAAATCCTAACATATGTATTGAGTCTATTACTATCCCATCTCCGACTAATGTTCTTCTCACGCCTGCCTTGTGAACTCGTCTCTACGCCGTCTCAATGTGTCAATGCATCAAACGAAATTCTGTCTGGGGAATTACCCGTGCATCTATATTCGACTGCAGTAGAATAAAGATAGGAACAACATTGACGCAATTACTTCGGTACGAATGACAGGTAGGGACCATGGCTTCGGCAGCATAAAGGCTGGAGATTTGGTCGTAGGTTCAACCGAAACCGGTAGTTTAAAGCCGAGGTAATTTCGTTCGTTCCCTAAGATTTGTCGAGCTGGATCACTTTCTGGACATCATCTTGGCGCTGTTCAGATTGAGTAATTGCACAACCTCTCGGTTGCCCTGATACAAGGCAGTCTGTAGAGCATTGCCAAAAGGGCCGCCCCACGCATTAACATCGGCTCCTTTGTCGAGGAGCAGTTGCACAACCTCTCGGTTGCCCTTAAATGAGGCAGTCTGTAGAGCGTTACCGTACCTGCCGCCCTGCGCGTTGGCATCGGCTCTGTTGTCGAGGAGCAGTTGCACAATATGTCGGTTGCCCTTCCATGAGGCAGCTTGCAAAGCATTGCCGTACTCGCCACCCTGCGCATTAACGTCGGCTCCTTTATCGAGGAGCAGCGGTACAACATCTCGGTTGCCGTTATATGAGGCAGCTTGCAGAGCATTACCATACTTGCCGCCCTGCGCACTAACGTCGGCTCCTTTGTCGAGGAGCAGTTGCACAACATCTCGGTTGCCGTTATATGAGGCGGCCTGTAAAGCATTGCCGTACCGGCCGCCCTGCGCACTAACGTCGGCTCCTTTGTCGAGGAGCAGCTGTACAACCTCTCGGTTGCCGTTCAATGAGGCGGCCTGTAAAGCATTGCCGTACTCGCCGCCCTGTGCACTAACGTCGGCTCCTTTGTCAAGGAGCAATTGCACAACCTTTTGGTGGCCTTCATCTTCATTCAAGGCAGCTTGCAGAGCATTACCATACTTGCCGCCCTGCGCATTAACGTCGGCTCCTTTTTCGAGAAGCAGCGGTACATCTCGGTTACCGTTATATGAGGCAGCTTGCAGAGCATTACCATACTTGCCGCCCTGCGCATTAACGTCGGCTCCTTTGTCGAGGAGCAGCTGTACAACCTCTCGGTTGCCGTTATATAAGGCAATATGTAGAGCGTTACCGTACCTGCCGCCCCGCGCATTAACGTCGGCTCCTTTGTCGAGGAGCAGTTGCACAACATGTCGGTTGCCCTTCCATAAGGCAGCTTGCAGAGCATTGCCGTACTCACCGCCCTGCGTGTTAACATCGGCTCCTTTGTCGAGGAGCAGTTGCACAACATCTCGGTTGCCGTTATATGAGGCGGCCTGTAAAGCATTGCCATACCGGCCGCCCTGCGGACTAACGTCGGCTCCTTTGTCGAGGAGCAGCTGCACAACCTCTCGGTTACCGTTATATAAGGCAGCTTGCAGAGCATTACCATACTCACCGCCCTGCGCACTAACATCGGCTCCTTTGTCGAGGAGCAGTTGCACAATATCTCGGTTGCCGTTATATGAGGCAGCTTGCAGAGCATTACCATACTTGCCGCCCTGCGCGTTAACATCAGCTCCCTCTATCGCCAGATCTCTTGCGGCCCCTGCAAGGCCACCTAGACAAGCATAATATAGTCTGGGTGCTCTAGGAGGTCCTGGTGTACGGTCCCATGCACGGTCGGCCTGATACAATCGACACCAGCGTTGAAATGTTGTCTCGTTTCGTAAAAAGCTAACTGTGATTCGAACAATTTCTTCAGAAGTCTCGGCCGAAGCGGCGTAGTCCATCCAGGACTTTGCTGCATATCGTGCCATGGGAAAATCGGATCTGATTGTGCTGCAATTGTTCTCGATATCACCAAGATAAGTCAGGCAGGTTCTGGTGATGACAATGCTGGCACTTTCAAGATCGAACTGGGCTTGTTCAAGAAGATACTCTTTGACAGAGAAGTGAGCAAGATGAAGTTCTTCCACGGTCTCGGTGTAGTTTGTGACTTTGGCGATTATCACCAAGCTGGGGCAGTATCGTAGGACGTCGGCTTTCAGAGATAGTCTGCCATCAACATCGAAGCCCCGAGGTTCTTGATCTATCTCGGTAGCTATCACTTCGATGGCCTCTGCTAGCGTCAGAGGCCTCTTGGTGTAGACGAGAAATTGCAGGAGACGAATAGCGCTGCTCTTGTATTCCGCTGGTATGTTTTTGAGCATGCGGTAATATGTCTCATTCAGATCTCGGGGCAAAGCTCTGAGAGCTATCTTGATAGCTTTTGGGCTCAGACACCTCGCAAGACTTTCCAGTTGACAAGCTGCCCATCTGAACCTGCGACGAATGTCAAAAACGTGTTTGCTTTATATAGATGACCTAGGCCAAAACTTACATCCCATCGGCTCCATCTCCGATTTTGTCACGAATCTCCTCTAGAATACTTGGAGATAACTTCTTATCCACGAAATCAGGCTTCTGCTCAAGCGTTGCCTCAACGTAAGAGCGTATGTCACCGTTGACAACGTTCTTATCAAGTTGGACACAGTTTAGCTTGTCGAATGACTGAGGGATCGCGCTTTGGAACTCTATTTCAGGCCGGCCAGTAACGATGAGCTGAGCCTTCGTGGATGCTAAATGCTTCAGCCATTGCACAAGTTCTTCCCTTGCTGTACACTCATCTAGGGCGTCAATGATAACGAAAACCTTTCCAGCAATTTGTATCATTGTATCAACACAGGCTGATAAGGCATTTGTATCTGGTTGTCTCCGTCCATCATCATGCGAAGTGAAAAGACTATCAAGTCTTCTCGCGGCTTCATTCCCGGCATGATAAAGCTGAATTGCTAGCGAGCGTAGGAGATCCTCCAATTTCTGTTTCCTGGCATCGTTAAAGTCGAAGAAGAAGGCAAGGGTGGTGTAGGTGTCTAATTGCAGAAGATGATCTAGAATCGTCGTAATCAGAATGGTCTTGCCACATCCTGCCAAGCCGTAGAGCCACAGATGCCGGCGTGTTCCAACTGTCCATTCCTGGAAGACGGGACTGTTTAGAAGCCAGGTCCCAGTGCCGGGATGACGGCGTTTTCTTGCCAAGTTGGCATTGGTTGAACAATCTGGCGGGGACAGCCATCGCTCGATTTTGGCGAAATGATGGTCAGATGCCATACTCATCACCGCATATTTGGTTTCATTTCCCGTGGATTCGACTGTTCAAGGTTAGAAGAGAAAGCGTGAGCTGGCCTTGTGATACTAACTAGAACCGAGGACTTCGCTAATAGGCTTCTCAGCCTCGACCTTGCTGGGAGGAATCTGGCGTAGGAGATCTTTGGCATACGCCGCTGCCATCATTGCCGCAAAGCCCTGCCACTCCTTGCTCTTGTGCGAGTCAGAATAATCGCATATCCCGCGGATCACCAGACACGGGAAGTGGTTCATCAAGCCGGCCGCCTCCATCTCGAAACAAAGGACATCCATACTAGCCGCCAGCTTGTCCCGCGCAAGTGCGTCCTTCATCAACTGATTTGCGCTGGCGATCAACCCATAATGGATGGCAGGGTCATCCTTCTGCTCGCCCCGTTCTTTTCGATCCACCAGACAAGCGGGATCGTTGCTGCACACGTCGCCGCATTTTTTCGACGAGTCCGTATGAACAACGTCGGGCCGGTAGAGTCTATCGCTGTCGGGGGATGGCCGAGAATACTTCTGCCGTAGGCGGGGCCATTGTTCCAATGCCCTATCAATGTGGGCGCTGAGCTGATGCCCTTCCAACTCGTATTCAGCCTCGAGCCCGCTCAATGCTGTGAGGAGCAACTGTGGCGGCTGGTTCAAGGATCCTGTCGTCACGAACGCATGCTCCTGAATCGCTTTACCATAGTCATATTGAAACACACCGCCTTTCCCACTGCCACGGGTACTCACAATAACATCGCCAAGTCGTATATCGTGCTTTGCGTTGGGGGCGCCGCCGCCGATACCGACCATCAATCCGAAACGAATGTTTGGAAAGCTGCGCAGCATGTCCCTTGCCACAGTCGCGGCGGAGGTCGTGCCATACTCAGATTTAGGCAAGACGGCCATGACAACGTTGTGCTTCCCGATTTTCCCCAGAGCATAGTTATTATTGTCATTATCGGCGATTGTTTCGAGTTGGTCGTGTTTTTCGTCAAAGAAGGCTCGCGCAGCGACAAACTCGGTGGTGACGGCACAAATCCAGCCGACCGTGTACTTCTGGGGATTCGACATGGTCGGCGATCGATGTCGAGCGAAGAGGAAGACGTGTTGTATGGACTGACAATCGCAACAGAGGAGCGCTCGAGGAGGCGCATGGCGAGGCCCGCATGTTCTTGGTGGCAGCGGGCATTTATTAGGCTCTGAGGACGAGTGAGGATTCCATCAGTCAGCCTCACAGTGCCTCTGTGCAGCAACTTGCGGCAGGCTGGGCGTTGTTGCCGCATGATTGGTGAAGAAATCCATGTCAAAGCAACCGCCTCCCAAATGCGGAGCGATTGGCGGCGCACGAAAGGCGGATGGCAGGCGAAGAAGAAAACCCATTGGCGGGTGGTGCCGCTCACCATGTCTACGTCGTAATATTAGACTGCCTTAATCGGAGGAGTGGCACTCGTATCATATAAGCCAATCAATAAAGTGAGGCGAGAGGCGAGGTTAGATGGTGAAACACATATGCCTATACCCACCAGTACAAGAATAAGAGCGTGAAAGTTTAAGTTCAAGAAAACATAAAGCGTTAAAAGTGATTACACTATGCCACCAGACGACAATACCTTAGTTTTCTTCTGCTTAGATGTAATCATTCTTCCATCCACTATCAGAATTAAGAGCTTGGCGCTAACGGTAGCGTGAACTTAGTGCGTAAGTTGAAACTACGGCTGCGTGAATGGAGGGTGTGGAAGTAAGGCCAAGGTGGGATGACTACCGTTATTGTAACTGGAACCGTCTCTAATGGATGATGCTACTACTGTCGATAACGGTGGTAAGGACATAACGGCAGCAGATGCCGTAAGAACATCGAGGCCGGTTCTTGGAGTTGCCTCGAATCAGCTCATCACGTGCCTAGCCACTGCGCTTAGCAATAAAGTCACGCAAAAAGGGGATTACAAGCTCATAACAGAGTAAAACGATAATTTTAAACCCTTATTCTCTTATATTCAATTCTATTTAATATTCACAAGATTTAAAAATACATATAAGCTTAAGTCCGGTTGAAATTCTGCTATTACTCAGTTTATTGCTGATAGTGTAAGTAATACTTGTTTTTGATTGGATAGTCGATGGCTCGTAAACCTCCAAAAATGAGGTCTGGGTCAAGCATGGGTCGGAGCTGCATTTTTGTCATTAGCCGAAGTTTAGCCGCTCTCGAGACTCCACGTCTGTCGCCCCCAGTCCTAAATTGACACCACTTCACATATCGGAGCTAGCAAGGAGCAGTTTCATCTACCGTATTCGACGCTACATCACCGTTTTGAGAATCGAGCCATTATTATCCACACACTATCTCCACCTCCTCTTCCGAGCGTAGTCCCAGCTTACACGCCAAGGTTGCATTAAGATCTTATCCTAAAGCTGCATCACTAAATTTCCTAAATTTCGCAATTAATATAGATGAGATGTTATTAACCATCATCTGCGCTCCTACTTAGGTTCCACTCGGAAAATGCCAAGCAAGTTTTTATTAACTGATGCCGCATAAATCTTACGAGAATTAACTATTGTGATCGATATCAAACTATATATAACAATAACATACTGTCTCTTGTGACACTATGGCCCATACACCTCGAGTTCTTTTACTATGTCATCCCTGCCGAAGTCCTTAGCTATCATCGCTGGGGTTCTGCCACTCCTAGTTTGTGTCCCAGTGTCAGCGCCAGCTCTAAGAAGCACTTTAACAACTTCTATATGTCCATATTCGACAGCCCATGACAAAGCAGTCCTTCCACCTCTATCACGCCGTTCAATCAGAACGTTTTCGTCACTGATAAGAGCCTGAACTGTATCGGGCGAGTCAGTCTGGATAGCCCATGCTAGAGGCGTCCATCCATCGATATCTTCGGCATCGACTCCTGGGCAGCCTGCTTCGAGAAGCCTGACGAGAACCTGACAGTGTCCTCGTGCACTGGCCCATGATATCGCATTTCTGTTGTCGTTATCGATGCTCGTCTTGTCTATTTTTGGACTTGCGAGGAGTATTTCAACTACATCCGTACAACCATTTCCTGCTGCCCATGAGAGAGGCGATCTCCCTTTATTGTCTTTGGCATTAATATTAATGCGTGGAAGTTTTAGTAGTCGTATGAGGGTGTCGGCCATGCCGTCTCCAGAAGCCCATGAAACGGCTGTACGTCCTGTCTTGTCCCGGTGGTTGATGTCAACACTGCGAAGCCTTGCTAGGGTGGAAAGGATTGAGTGATGACCTCCCCCTACGGCCCAGAAGAATGGGGTTGCTCCTGCATTATCCGGTTCGTCGGGATTGCAAGCTTTCTGGTTCAGTAATTCTTTGACGATGTCATCATGTCCACCTCCGCAGGCAAACGAGAGTGCAGTCCGTCCGTTTCTGCCTGGAGCATTCACATTGATTCGACTGTCTGCGAGCAGAGCTGTGACACAGGATCGATTGCCGTGCTCGGATGCAACTGTGAGTGCTGTCTGCCCCTCCAGCTGCCGCGTATCAGGTTCAGCACCTGACTGTAGAAGAGCAGTAACGATGCGGTCATGACCAAGTCGAGACGCCCAGTAAAGACTCTGATTTTTAATGACTTGAGAAGGCTCACAATCAAGAAGCAGACTTTTTAGGACAGTATATGAGTCGAACTGTGATGCTAGGATGATTGGATTCTGGTCCATGAGGTCGTCATCTAGTGGTGTTGGAGCTTTTACATGATAGAAGCGTAGCCAATTACGGCAATTTGCTGTGTCAGGATTCAGTAGTGATCTTGCAAAATCTTTGAGCTCTTCTGGTGCATCTTCCTCGCATCTAGCGAAGTGTTCTGCCCAATGCAACGATGCATATGTGTAAAAAGGATAGTCTGAGACCAATGAATCGCAGATTTCAGGACGCAGGATAGCGGGATCGTGAAACAACGTATTGGAGTCCAGGTCGTGATCTTCTTGGTCCCAAAAGTCGCCTTCAAAGTCGCCCAGAGGTAGCTCGCCAAAGACGTCTGTTTCTTCTGCAATGACCGAAGTAGGCGAGTCATTTGTTGGAAAGAAGTCGACTGTGAAATCATCAAGAAGAAGGTATTGGATGCATACAGTAGCCAGCTGTAGAGCGGAGCCTTGCGGATTAACCCTACGTATCGCAGGAGGGCTGTCGATGCTAGCGATGTATTGATCTTGGAGATAGTCCTTCACGGACTGGTGGACCAAGGATACTTGTTGCCCTGTGACCCTTACTAAAGACCCTAGGATACCCTGAACAGTGTGAGCAATTGAGTTATGAGAGTTTTGCATGATCGACTCAGCCGTAGTGTACGAAGGGTCCATGGTGAATGCGATGTTGAGTTCGTCCAGAGACAGGGGCCTGGAGCATGCTAAAAGTAGCTTCAGTAATTTTGACGCGTCCTCTTGATGATCCAAGGGTATGGCAGTCAGATAACGATGATATATTTCGGCGAGGCCTTCAGGAATGCTGGTTATAATCTTCTGGAACTCTTTCCTCGAAGTAAGTAGACTCTTCTCGATCGATGCGAGAACCATGTGAATCCATAGAAAAGTCCGATCGGCTTTAGACATTATCGCTTCACATAAAAAGTCCCTGATGTCGTTTGAGAATTGCCTGTTGAGAGAAATTTCATGGATTCGCTCTTGGATGAAAGTCTGAAGGTCTTCAGTGTAGCCAGTTTGGTCATCATCGATTGATATTTGAGATTGAAACACTTTTTGACTGTTGGCATAGGATTGGTGAAGAAATGGTCGGCTTGTGATAAGAAACTTGACCCTGCTACCACCCTTTATCGACTGAGAAGAGTCGGTGAGCATGTCAGATATCGAGACGAGCAATTGATGACACGATGTCTTCTCACACTCATCGAGCGCGTCTAGAATAACATATAGGGGCCCGGATTTGGGGTCCATTGTAATCCTAAGAAAAATACGCCAGAGCGAGGCGAAGGACTGAATGATGCTTGATCCTTGTTTTTCAAACGCTGAACGAATATATCTAACAAGCGAGCGATGGCGATGAATTATCTGAAGGATAAGGCCAATGAGTACTGCCCTCGCATCCGTCTGCTTGTTCTTGTTCTGGCACAGATAGATGAGGACATTCCGAGACTTATTGCAGGCATCATCGAAATATTGGGCCAACGAGTAGGACAGCATTGTCTTACCGCAGCCCGGATGACCTGTAAGCCACAGGAGAGCATTGGTACCTTTTTCGAGCCAAGAGACGAACAAACTGTGGCCGCGAATCCACTGACATGTGCCAGGAACTGGCTTTGGGGGCGGTTCAACATCTTTCGCGACATCGTTATCACTAAGAAGCAACATGCAGGTTCTTTCCAAGCCACTAAGGACTTGAGTACAATCAGCGATTGATCAATAAAACAAGTCGTGAGGTGGTTACCAATATTAGATGAGTGCGTGCTGGTGCGCTTGATTGTTGGGCCGACATTTGAGGACTTAGTGGCAATCCTTCGAAGAGCTCTCGCCACTTTCAAGTAGCTTTCTGTCTCGCCAGGAAAACGACAAATAGTTCTGTGATCTTCTGGCATGGGAATTACTTCTTCGTATGGAATGCCAAGCATAGCAGAAGCAGGGCTGACAACCTGTCCCTGACGTAAGCTTGCGTTGCCAAAGCATTGACAGACGATTATTGCGTGTAGTGCTACACAGACTTACCAAGGAGGAGGACAGCGGGCCCATTGGCAAAGGCAAAGTTTCATAGAACGAAACTACGTGAATATTGCCTAAACGGTTCCGTGCTGACATCGTCAGGTCTTGGAGCGTATCCGAGTCATATATTAAAGTTTTGAGCAGGTCAGTCCTCACTGTTTTCGGTCCTAATCCAGCAGACGCGAAGCTATTGACAATTGAACCGCAAATACTGGCTAGATTTGCTGCATTACTTCCTCTATGTGGAGTAGCCAAAAACACGACGCCTCGGACAGACTTCAGTACGTCCCCATACAGGTCGTCGTTTTCGTGAGCAGCAACAAGCGCCTGAAATAGGTCAATCTCGTGTTCTTCTCTTGGTGGTTATACGCACCTGTTTGAAGACAATTCCACCAAGACTATGGCACACAAATATGATAGATCGTTTGCTCTAAGAAGGGTGTCAGACTAGAGCTGAATGAGCGAATCAGGTAAATTACGGCATTTAAATCTTCCCGAACATCTCTTAAAGAAACCAGAAGGTTGAGTGCATACTCCTGAACCCTTTCGGACGATTGAGACCATATTTTGGAAGGATAGCCATATGTGTAGACCCGACATCCAGGTAAAAAATTGGGGAGGAGGTCCCGAAGCCATACGGTGCCATCAGGCTCGTGTCGCCATGTTGAGATTGCATTTCCATTAAGGCCATGAATCGCAACAATGTCTACTGGAAAATCCATGAGACCTGCCTCATCTGGCTTGCTGTCCGCTAATATGAATAGGCCATGTGTGGTAGTGCGGGATTTTGTTGGCTCCGTTACACTGCTTGAGGACTCGTCCAGGCGGGGGCATGAGTTCTCAAGTGTCGGCTTGGGTGGCGACTCCGACCGCCCAAGAATCCGGGCTTTGAAGCGTTGTACATGCTTCATGATGATTGAAAGGCTTTGATCTACCTCTTAGAAAATAAAACGATATACAAAAAATAACGACGTCGGCTGGACTCGTTTTTTAGCACTGCGGCTGTTGGTGGCGTGATCTCACAAAGCAAGCCTCCTGAAATCTTCAGCAGAAAGTGGACGGGCCGCCCCGCAGTACAGCTTCCACTAAGTTGTAGATTGACCGGATGGTTAGTGTGTTTTCGGCAAAAAGTCAGTTAGTCCTCGAATAAATCCCATTGTTTGAGGGATGGTCACGTGCATGACTCAGCAAATAATTTTTCCTTTCTACCCCGCCCCATCGTCATTCATTCTGGGCATTCCAAAAAATCTGATGTTTTATTGTAGGAAAGTCCACGTTAAATGAACATCATGGGCACAAAATCTCTCAGTGTTCTTGGCAACGATGGGGCTGGCAAGAAAGCCCTGATCGGCAGCCTCATTTACAAGGTGGGCGCAATTCTAAGTAATCGAGGTTCAAGTATATGCTAACTCGCTATAGTGCGGGCTTGAGCTTCCCCAACTGAAGCAGCTGGAAAGTGAGGGGATTAGTCAGTATGAGAAAATTGTACCATTCTTCGAGAAAAATGGACGTGCTCAATCCTTTTACGCCCCTTCTGGAACCTTTACTGTTCAGAGTATGTCGCCAGCAACTTTCCCTATTCTATTGTATATTAACCACGTCGCTCTAGAAAGCCAGACACCAGATGTTGCTTTCTGGGTTGTCGATGCTTCCGATTCATCTAGCTGGGGCCCATCTGCCGAGAAACTCTCAGTTACGTTGTCCAGTAGTATGGTCAACCCACGAGAGAAACTCGTCATAGTAGTAAACAAGATGTAAGTCCAGAAAGAAATATATCCTCCTCTCATTTCCATGACTGATGTATTATGTGTACAGGGACTCAGTCAACTGGTCTGAGCAGACGTTCAAAGAGGTTGTGGGCGCATTCAGTTCGGTCAATCTGAACAATCGGTATGAGAAAACATCTCCTCATTAAAGTAACACTGAACTCATCATCTCATAGTGCTTATATCATCCCGGTTTCTGCCCTTCGAGAAGGAGGAAACATACTCCCAACCCCCGAAGCGCCCTCATGGGTACAGAACTTATCTACTGACCAGTTTGGGGGATCCGCATCAGTCTCGGGTGAATCGTTGATGAATCTTCTTGGGTGAACACTCACGTATTTTACTTCGATCTATTCCTTGGTTTACTGCAGTGTATTATTAACAGAAGGGAGGAGCGGAATCCTTGTGGATTAATAGACAGTTTCGAAATGGGATGAGCCTCTCCGAAGTATTCAGCAGCTCTGTGACAAATGCAGTATATCAAGATAGACAAGTGCATGTGGCTTAGCTTCCACAAATAATTTAAGTATTTTGCGCCTCTTTTGAGTGAAAGCTTGTTGTAAGTCACTGCGGGGGCATCATGGGATAGCATCTGGGCCGAGCATCTTAATGCTCATGCGGCACTAAACTTAGAACCAGTACCAATTTGTAAGGCCACAGAGTTTCTCTTGCTCCTCGTATACAGCTAGCGTGTTGATCCATGTGGGGCAACCTGTCCAGTGTTACAACGCCGCACTGTGCTCACCTCGCGTGCGCATAGCTAAGGAGAAGCATGTGGGGCGGGCTGTGCCTTCATGAAACATCAAAAAGAGGCTAACGTACACGATAAGCTTGCCGATCAGACAAGCATGCCGATCAGTTCCACTTTTCACCTTAAAGACAACTTTTTAAATAATTCTTAAAAATCCAAATTAAGCTTAAAATAGCTAAAATTTTATTAATAGATATATAAGTCTTAAAATAAGCCTTATTAATTTTCTTAGATTTTTTAAAAAATTCTATATAGCTATAAACCTTAAAGTATACTTACACTGTAAAATACACTGTATTTTAAGGTTTTCTATAAAAAATAAAATATTTAAAATTCTTTTAAAAATTCTTCTCTATATAAATAACTATACTATTTTTAAAAATATTTTTTATAGATTTTTAGCTATTTATGGTTTAAAATACTATAGGGTAAGCTACTTTTAGCTGCACAGTATACTGATCGGCATGCTTGTCTGATCGGCAAGCTTATCGTGTACGTTAAATGCTTGGTGTCGCATTCAACTGATCCGACAATATGCTTTACTTCGGCAGGACCTGGCCCGAGATGAATGTGTCAACCTCTTGTATCGCTCAAATTACGGCGCAAGTCACTGGAAGTAGACATAATGTGAAGCAGGCATTGTCTCTGAATTTCTTCCATTACGCGCTTCCCAAGTTTGATTCGAGCTGATTGGCCATGATATGCCTAGGGAGGGTATGCTGTTGGTTGCACCCTTTACTTCAGTCGCAGATCTCAGAGGTATCTACTTATTTTGGCTATTTTATTCTAGCTAGGACAATAACCGCTCTTCTTGATTACGTACGGCTTTGGTAGCATTATTCTTCGCTACGTACGAAGTGTTGCTAATAATATAGCAATAAAACAATATGCTGCAATATAAACCTTATGATACGGACTTTCTCGTATTGCCACGATATCATATGGAATTTTTGATATTGTACCACTATGATACGAGGATGTCCATATTGGCAATATATTCTTTATGTTGGGTTGTCGATTTTGAAGTGAAACTGACCTTGTCTTGACTTACCCTACACCTTGTCGCAGGTATATGCGGCATTTTATTGGCGTGCCAAGATTTAGCGCACCCTTCCACATTATTCACAGGACTTGACTTAGTTAGACAACGCCGACGAGGGATCAATGGCATCAGCTAGCTGTATAGAACTTGATTCATTTGAAGAAATATGTGTATTTTGCGTGATCTCCATTTCTCTGTAGAACGGGGTGCCATTCAGCGGTCGCTTGTTCCGTCCGGCAGTGACGAATCTCCCAGTAGCACAAGACATAAATCTATTGCACATTTTTACTGCCATCTCCTTTCACCTTCCTCTGCATAGTGCGTGAGATACCCCACCTACACTGACGAGTCGATGTCTTGTTTGTTGCAAGAACGTTCAACTGATCGTATATATTCAGGAGGGGCGGTTGCGCGGGAACAGATTGATGTTCGTTCGTTGAGGTCTGACGAACTCTCCGGAAGTCGGTATGCTACCGTTGTTATTACCATGAAGAATACCCATTGGAGAGTCATCTGGCTTCAAAAGTACCTGAGAGTTGACAGTGGAAGTAAAAGTGCAGAGACAAGGAGAGTGATTAAGCCCAAACCCAACAGATGATCAGCCGTATTCTTCTGTATCCTGTTTCGGAATATGTCTCGAGATGACGCCCAGATTACACCTATAGCTGCAGTTTGTGAAGTGAAAGGCATGATATATGCCAGCTCCACGGGGGTCGGGACTTGCGGAATCATGGTAAATATCAAAATCAAAGCAACTTCAACACACACAAGTGCTGCAGCCGATTTCCACCATATCTCGTTCCCTAAGACTGCGAATGTATAGATGATCGTGATAATCTACGTTGTGACCTTAGAGCGTGCAACAGTTATCTTCCTGACTTTGACTGACATGGATGACTGCCACCCCCCACAGGGATGTTGTGGCCAAGATGGTATTTACAGATCTCGCTAGTTGTTGTGGAAGTTCGACCGTCTGGGAGTGTTGGAGAGAGAACAGGACCAAGGCTGTGAGCTGGAATGGAATCCATACTCCTACCAGGCATGAGAGACAACCCTCCTTTGACCACGGGGCATCAAACTTAATAACAACAAATAGGATAAGGCAGGAAAAGGAGAGGACAGACATGAGATACATGTCGTTGGTCTCATAATATGAAGAAGGGTCCATGGTTTCTTAACCGCATGAGCGATAAAGACATCTGTCATGGGGTTGCACCTTGAGAGGGGACTCTCAGCCCTTATTCATGCTTGCGACTCAATGACCTAGCAAGGAAATGCTCCACCACACCATATACCGCGTGATTAATGAGACAAAGGACCAACACGAAGATGGTTGTATGCATCCCCTTCCCGAGTTGTTGATCAGTTTCAGGGCTCAGGGTCATGGCGGCCAAGCAGTCCAAGAAGCCATTGACGCTCGGCAGTATCATACACTAACCGGCCATTGAGTTTGATATGAAGGGTAACACTCTACAAAGCTTTCCTTAGAAGAACTCATATTCATGAATGTGATTACAGAGTAATGAGCGTGGTGTTGCTAAAACATTCTAGTGGCCAGTTGAAGACTGTAGGGACTGACGGGCCACCACCTTAATCCTTTATCTTGTTCGGCGCCGCTTCACATGCCTCTCCATAATTACCCGAAGCACACTTCTCTCTTTATGCTTCTCATGCACGAGAACCCCCAATCTGCTAGGTCCTAACTAAGAATGTATAAGGAGTGAAAATCACAAGAACTAAAGACAATACAGCAACTTTCCCCCTTCGTCTACTTCCCCATCCCATAATCAGGCCGCATCTAGAAGCGTAGTGAGGATAGGACACAGCTATTCAGATCAGAAGTAAGATCTCAAGTTGTCGGAAGCACCGACTGCGAGGTGGTGTTCGCGAAACTGTTCTCGTGCCGTAATGGAGTCCATGAGATGATCTTTGCAGACAACTGTACCCTCATATACAGCCATAGATTGTGCCACGAGCACAATGTTTCGAATCTGCGCAATAATTAGCTGCCATCTTAAAAATAAGGCGAGACCATACTTCACGGCCATTGAGCTCCTTATGTGCCACACTATCAACCAGTGCAGTAAGATTCGGTGCACCACGCTCGGTTGTGGCCTTCTGTAAGAAATACTTCCAGACAGCTCGACGCGAGTCTATTCCTAGCGGTTGGTATTCCAGTGCAAGATGAATTCTACTCATCATTGCTGTGTCAAAAGACTGCACTCGGTTCGTGGTTAGGAACAGAATACCGTCAAACCGTTCCAACTCTCTAAGAAATACGGAGACAAGGGCGTTGACTTGCGGGTTGTCCACTCGTTGAGACAGGAACATATCCGCCTCATCAAGAAGCAGGATTGCCTTCCAACGGCCCGCGATTTTAAAGGTGTTTGTTAGAATGTTCTCCACCTGTACCGGGTCCACGCCGATTTGGCCTGCCGGGACCACGTAGAGAGGTCGTTTGTGGGTCTCCGCAATCGTCTCGGCTGTTAACGTCTTGCCAACGCCGGGCGGCCCACTAACACCGATGTAAGTCAAAAAGGAAAAGGCTGTATATTCGCAGTACATACTATAGCAGAAAGTTGATGCCCCGTCCTTTCCCTTGTACGATATCCCCGAGGCCATTCTCAGTATCGCCAGGAAAGTACGTGTGAGTAAGAGCCCAGATGGCCTTCTTCTGGGCGTCGGGTATCTTCACGTCATCGTAGGACGACGGCATCCACGTGATGACACCGATATGAGCGACAGCAAACTCAACTGAGAAATTGTTAGCCATCAGCAAAATTATTCACGGAATTGTCTCGACTTACGAAACTTTTTACTGCCAAGACAGAATCCCAGGACAGTCGGACCGCAGATGAGAAAATCTTCGTCTTATAATACCACTGTTTCCGAACTGAAAGACCCTGTCCAGTTGGACGGCCCGGATGTCTCTTGTATGGGGTTGACATTTCGGACAGTCGGCTGCGGATGACCAGGGTTATGCTCCCGGAAGCCGACCGCATCCACCATGATCCGCCCATTAACATGGCGCTTCATGATCTCGCCCTCATCATCAAAAAAGAAGGCGAATCCTCGGTATTGAAGATGATGACTACCATGCAAGGAGATAAATCGATGACCATTCTCCACCAGCTCTCGGAATATCTCATCGTAGTTATGATGGTAACGCAAAGGGTAGGCTGGGAGAAAATCGATTCTTCTGGCTCCAGGGAAATGCGGAATTTTGATTCTGTTGATTGCTTCACCGAAAATCTTCCCATCTGTGCCTAGAAAGCGAGTGTCAAGGCGCATGAATTTGGTCCCGTCCATTTCTTCCCCCTCTTCACAATAGTTGTGGAGAACGCATCTCGGGGAGTCAGTGCCGGGACAAGTGGTGAAGACCTTTTCGTTCGGCTCAAACAAAGCCCAAAGAAGATCAAAGGTTATCTCATTCTTGATGACAAGGCCAGCGAGCTCTTCGTCTATTGAATGAAACTCCGTCTCAATGTAATCCACAAAGAGATTCAAATGGCTATGGCTCATCGCATCTTGTTCCGCGACAATGGTATCGCGCCGATACCTCAGGAAACTTCGAATGTGAAAGACAACTTTTTGTTCAATCTTTCGAAGGTCAGCTATTCGTCTTTGAAACGGTAAATGGGAGCCTACTGAAGGAGTATCACCAGCAAGTGAAATACCCCGGAAATCGCGGCACGCTTCCCTCAGGATATCTCGAAGTGCCGCAGATTTGACATCAATAAAGGTTGTTTTGTCCTGTGTCCTTCTATCTGCAAGACTGGTTAGACAAGCTTGTTGTTGATAGACATTAGCTCACCGATTCTGTCTCTGGCAACAAATACAAATTGGTCGAGATTTTCGACGCTGGATTGATTATCTTCAACGATCTTGTATTTGAACGCTTTATCATCCCAGCTGAAAGGTCTTCATTAGGTGGTGTATCAATCAGTTAGTGAGGTCACATACGCTTCTTCAACGTGCTTGTAACCAAGAATTGTCCCACGGCCAATATGAGGCTGTCCTCCCTTTGTTTCAGGTTTCTCGGTGCCATCTGGATTGCTGTTGGATAGCTTGTTTCCCACAAGCGTCTCAACAGCAGTGATAAACCGTGCAGCAAATGCCATTTCTGCGTATTCAACCTCGAGCGAGTTCGAGTCTGAGATCGTAGAGGCACCAGGGCTAGGTGGCGGAGTCGACCGCGAGTTGGCACAGGGACGGGGCATGTCCGTGATAAGTGACATGATGATTCAGGTTTCAATGGGTGAGGAGGTAGTAGTTTTGGCTGGAGAGAGTACCAGTACAAGCTAGTCGAGGTAGACACGGTTCTTATACCCCGAAAGAGGACGCGAGAGCTTCTGCGGCAGCTCTCAGATAACGAACTGTATACCAATTCATGGCCGTGATGAGTGCATCGCTTTATGAGCCATCGCATGCGCTGGTTCCTGCCGTCCTTTGCTAGCCCTGTTATTACCAAGGGTCTCAGCTGAGAACTGAACCGCGTGTAGCGCAAGCACATCCCGTTGGGCGATCTCACAGGATCCCAATGCTCACCCTTGATGGATTTCAGGGGTTTGTACGATGTTGCAACCCAAGAACAGTGCCAGCGCTGTTGGCCTTGCGTCTGTGCATTTCTCGTTACCGGCTAGATTTGGCAACGACTTTGCTCTCCTGCCCAACCGGGGATTATGGCGTGCGGCAAATTACATGGGTCACCACAGAGTTTCCTGAACTGATTTGACTTACATGCCTTAAAGCAGGTCATATTTATGGAGCTAAGAGCTAGACCTATTATAAATCTAGCATTATACTACTCTGCACCACTCTGCACCACTCTGCACCACTCTGCACCATTCTACACCACTTCATACCATTTTATACTACTTTATACTACTTGGCACCACTGTGCACCATATTCTATATTATTTTGCACTACTCTGTACTATTTGAACTGGTATATACATGGTTAATTAATGAAGAGGGCGTCGCAAGTTGTTAAATTTATAGCCTAAAAGTACTAACCGGCTCTTGGTCCACTGATGCTCCCTCGAAATGTAAGATTATTGGACCGCTCCCAGCACACTCCTTGTTCTTGATTTGCTTTGTTTGCCATCGTTACCAATTCTTCTATCTCTAGTTAACGATGTTGGGAGATCGTGGTCTGTAGCACTAGTGTAGACTTACCCAAAGACTTCCCCCAGGTATGGATCTGGTGGGCCTTGGCTATTTTTTCTCTCCGCACTCTGGGCATATTTGGCCTTTGTCTGTGATGCCTGTACCATTCACACACACCTGACAGCCAGAACCGGGCATCTTGTCTCAATTCAATGCGTTGCTCTCCAGAGACCTCTGGATTTAGAGGCGACTCCTAAAGTGCTTAGACACGCAGCTGGTGGTGTATCATGTAATATAGAGCTGATGTGAATCGTGGTGTGCGATGGCGGCGGTGAGGAAGTGATGTGAAACCCAAACGTAGTTGGGATTATGTTTATTGCTGATAGATGAGCTTGGGCGTCGATTTTTTGTGAGTGGCAGATGTGTATTTAAGCAATGGCTGGAAAGCAGCTTGGGGAATGCACTAGAATAAGCGATGACGATTGGGCCGGCATGCCTGATGGGTCATTCTGCCGGTCCCGACCGCCCGGCCTTGATAGAGCCCAGCCCATTCCGGGGCGCCACTTTTGTCTAATATCGCGTGCCCCAACGCGTTGCGCCGCACCATCAATAAAACCCCCCTGACTCCTGATTACGGCTAACTTGTCTTGCATTCTTAACTTCACATACTCGTTCCTACCTCCCAACCTTCGCTTTCATCGGCGACCACTGCCGATCTGGCCCTTTCATTTCACGAATTGTCGTCCATACCCGCATCTGCGCGCATGAAATTTGTGCCGCTGCCACTGGCCTCCCAGCTTCCTGGGGTCACCCGGCAACCAAAGATTCGCTTTGTGTCGGCACAGCGTTGAATCTGCTCCAGTCGAAAGACCCTCCTCTTGGTGAGTGCATCTGAAGTCGACCTCTATTCTGCTCCAAATTGGTATCTAAGGCGAATGAACTGTAGAAACGAGCCAAACGCAGCGCCGCCCAGAGAGGGGATGACACTCGACGTCCGCGTTTCTTCGACGAGTCGTGCGGGTCATGGTGATATGCAACCCCGACCGAACGCCTTGTTGAGATCGTCACCCGCCAACGACGTCTACTAAGGCCTGTGCCTCTTTCACCCAAGTGTACCGACCACTTTGCGAATGGCTACCCTTATGCCTCGCGGATATCGCTCCGCCACCGAATACCGTTTCGGCGAAGAACAGACCGATGCCATTGTTCGAACCGCCGCCTACCATCGCAAAGACTACTGTCTCTCCGTGATCTGGTTCTCGCCTCGTGAACACGTCGATATTCATCTATCAATAGCAACACCCTTCCAGCGGACTTCGAATATGGGACTCGGCTCCCTCGATCGACTACCACTCGAGCTCTTGCATGACACGTTGTTCCGTCTTGATATGCGTTCTCTATTCAAGTTTCGACAAACAAATCTTAGATCGAGACAGACGGTGGACTCTCTCAAGCAGTATCAGATGATAGTCTCGCATGGACTGAACCTTCTCTGCGCCTTGTTACGAACACGACTTGCCACCGACATTTCTCTACTCGACTTTTACAACGCACTATGTATCAAGGCTTGTAGTCTTTGTGGCGAATTTGGCGGATTTATATCTCTCCTAGCGTGGACGCGATGCTGTTTCAAATGCCTCAAAGAGGCTCCGCAGACCCAAGTGCAAACTCTTGCCGCTATCCGAAAGCAATTCCACCTCACTAAGGCCGAGTTAGACCAACTGAGGTCATTCAAGACCTTGCCTGGAATATATTCGATGAAGGAATCCGTGCACAAATCCCGCATTGCGATCGTTTCTGTTCATCAGGCTAGTTTGATTTGCAGACGGCAATCACATGCACTGGGGCAAGCCCAGTCAGCGAGCTCAGAACGAAATAAGAAATTCAACTTTATGGGGTCGTGTGCACTTCCTTATTACGATAAACTAACCGGCAATGTCGAACACGGAATGTCGTGTGCTGGGTGTCAACTTGCTCTTGAAAAGGACATCATCGGCACTAAGGGCGAGAAATGGGCATTCGAGGCTCGAGACAAAGTATATGCGCGAGATGGCTTTTTGGAACATTTTCGATGGTGTGAACAGGCACAGCTGCTGTGGAGATCGAGTGTCGAAGGTAAAAACAGGCCAACCGAGCTACCAGAGGCTGCTCGAAGAGGCGGCTACTTCAACAAGAGAGAATAATAAGGATGTGAGATATGTTCACCGTTGTATTGCAGCCAGGCTACCTACACATCTAAATAGAACATAGGAAGCGGACAAATTCCTAGACACCCCAAAGTACAATGCAGCTCCACAGTTCACAACCCGTGCTTTAATCTTCCAGAATCTCTCCATTTGGATCCGTGTATTTCACTGGCGCGTCTGGCTTGACCAGGTGCCTCGAACAGTAGTTAGTCGAATCCTTGCCCCATTCTTTGATAACTGGATGGCATCTGATGTTGGTCCCCTGGCGCTCCGAGCACTGGATGAACTCCATCTCCTTTTTGCAGCCGCACGTATATTTGATATACTTCGAAGTGCACATTTTAACCTGGCAAGAAATCACAAATTAACCCTGCTTAGATAAAGGGGATACCGGCCTCCTTACAATGTTGATAGACAAATGACTTGTGTGTACGTTGGCGATGATGAATACAAGCGACTAATGTAGAAAGTGAAGCTGCACTTGTACTATCGAGAAACTTGTATAGTGTGCTGCGAGCTGGTTCTGAACGCTTGATTCTGGCTGATGCAATGAAAGGAAAATTGATTGTGGGATTTGGATGCTGCTGCTGTGTAGATGATGCTTCGAGACGAACAATTTATAGCTGTCGAGCTAGATGTTGCCTCGAGTTCTGTTGGCTCTGGAGTTGTTTAGGAGCCTTTGGGTAGGCGGCTCCCATCAGCTAAGACAAGGACTGGATGGTGATGTAGAGGGTATAAACGACGGGCTAGCCTATCATGGCCGTCATTTTGTCGCCAGCCCAACTCCGCCTCCTTCTAATTTGGAGAGCCAAGACGGTTGAGCCAATGAATGATCCGTCGAAAATGGGCTTCGTCGAGTTGAGGATGTTTCAAGTAACCGCCGCGTCTCGAACGGATTTAGAAAAGCGAACAAAGTCCCCAAAAGGGTTCCAGAGGGGATGAAAATTGGTTCTGGCGCTAAAATTAATACCGCAGGGGACTCTGTAGTGCTGGCCACCTGCTAAGCTCTGGAGTGTGGGAAGTACGTACACAAGTCGCTCCAATTGTGGATAGTGATTGGACAAATTACGTTGAATCTTCGCCGTTGCGCAGGGGCTAGGCCCGGTGATAAAGTGGGACCAGAGTCCATAGAGCGCCTTCATTGGCCCGTTTAACCGCTGCTTTCTGAGCCAATTTGGTTGCCAAGAAGCCCCGATTGGTATTCCTACCAATTCCTGTGAATTCCAAGAACGTTGATTCCTTAAGTATGAAAGTGCCCTTGTCCTTCATGACAGTCGTTCTTCTGAAAATAAAAGAGGGTAAGGATGCATAGCGATTTCAAAGGGAATCTCGAAGCATAAGTGTGCGAATGCTACCCTCTTTCAAACATATCTGGTTGACGGTTTTGTAGTGAGCGGTCCAATGGTGAAAATGTCTGACGATCAAACTGCAAACCCGCCGCCAATGCAGCCGGTCATCTTGTCCATGGAAGTGGACGATGACGATTCATTTGAGAGCGAATACCGACTGCGAATCGGAAATCAAGTCAAATATCTCATCATCTCTCCTAGAACCTTTGACAGAGATACACTTTCATTCCCTATTCAGTCCCTGCCCCGTCTTCCTTACAACGAGGAATGGACCGTAGCCCACATCTCGAGAGACGAAACCAGCGGCGACTTGAAGACTTCCATCTCAAACCGAACACTAGCTGGCGTCAGATGTCGATGGCATCATATTCGGGTTGATTGTCTGGAGTTGGAGAAGACCAAACAGCTCACGGCGATGGCTTTCGAAGCCGTCTCACATTCGATTCTTCCAATCACCCTCCTATCATCAGCCACTATAATCGCCAAAATAGCCCGTTTCGAGTGGGAGCTGCCTCGTATCGAACAGGAAACAAGAGCATATCAGTTGCTTGAGGGTTCCGGACTGGCCCCTCGCTTCCTTGGTCATATCCACGAGAATGGACGCATCATGGGTTTTCTCATAGAGAAAATAGAGGGACGCTTTGCCTCCTTTCAAGATCTGAGCGTCTGCGAAACAGCTCTGGGGAAACTCCACGAATTGGGACTTATACATGGGGATGTGAACCGATATAATTTTCTCGTCACGGAAGAGGGGGTAAAACTGCTCGACTTTGAACGTCTTCTGCAGAATGCTCGCCCCGAGTCAATGCGTAAGGAGTTGGAGCATTTACGTGCCGAACTGGTTGATGAGTCAGGACGTGGCGGAGGTTTCATTTTCCATGGCGATAGCAATTAATATTGTCTGATTTGATTTGATTTGATTTGATTGAATTATACCGTACCTCTCTACAGCGCTGGGCGGCTCGCCACATATGCTTATGGCATTTGTCGGGGTGGAGATTGGGTCGGGAACAGAAGTGCTAAAATTGGGGACGTGGCGAATAACATGGAGGGTAAGACAAGGTATTTTAGAACAATTGTTGGGCTGAAGTAAGGGCATCACCCACCTATTTTGGCCGTTTCATTAATGCTGGAAACCCAATTCAGGAACCGTTTTTTGTTTCTTGTTTAAGGATCTCTCGATGCCAGGTACAATAAAGATGGCATTGCGACTTGGGGTCATAGCGTTACAGTATACCAAAGCTTAATAAATTTAAAAACCTTACATCTACTCGCTAGCTCTTGTTAAGGGAGATCATACCCCAAGCTTGCGGCGGTTGTTGGACCATTGTCATTGTCCTCTGTTGTGGTGGCTTCATCAGACATCTAGAAACCGGCTTTGCTCTCCTGTCTCTTGTATTATGCTCTTCGATTAGCGGAAACACAATTGCGCAAGTGATCAAAGTGGCCGCGTCGATTCAAGTGTACCTAATTATAGAAAATTCTTTGACGATTGATTGGACAGCCTAGGCGCCTTTAATTATGTCGGAGCGGATGAAACCGGACCAGACCGTTTTTCTGCCTTAGGCCAACACTTGGCACCGCAGGAAAGGCCACTTTGCGCTTTGTACAGTATCTTTGCAAACCTGCTGATCGTCCAAAAACGTCCACTATACCAACGTGGCTTCAGGCGTTCGGTTCCAGATCCATGAATATCTATCGTGCCGCCCAATTACTGCCGAACGACTAAACGATTAGAACGACCAAAGACCTGCGTAACTCGTCACCACGTCTACAACTGGCCCCCTAGTAGCCGCCAGGTTTGGGCGCAGGACAGTTTGGTCATAGGAGGGCTATTCTCCACCTTTGGTTGCTGCTGAACCAATGCTATAGTCTTGCATGTGTGGACTTGGGCTAACAAATCGTTTACCCACGATTGAACTTCCATCGTCGAGCCAGTGCATTGGTTTGAGACGTTTATGGGGGCCTTGTTGCGCAAAAGTATTGGCCAGACTTGAGGCGCGCGGCAATCCCATTCCATTCGTTGAGCGCCTGGCCTCGGTATGTTATATTCCCTCAATCTGACAGCCTTTTCTGACACGATAAACCGATAAATACCTTTCATCAATAGCTGTGACGAGATCAATTAAACCAGATCAATTCAACTCACAACATCTCTGTTCAATGGCTGAAGTTATTGGCCTTGTATCAGGTCTTCTTACCTTGGCGACATTCGCCCATAAGTCTGTCACCAAGGTTCAAAAAGCCGTGCAAAGCTTTCGAACCCTCCCACGTCAACTCAGGGAACTCCTTTCAGAGTTAGCAGAGCTGAGTACGGTGCTCCAAGACCTCTCTCAAGCACCTGGCGGTGACATAGAAGTGGACCTTTCGGCCCTCAAAATAACGCTGGAGCAATGCAGCCGCTCATGTGATGAATTTGAGCAGGAGCTCAGAGCCTGCAGTTCGCGGTCTGGCCAAGATCGAGCTAGTTTTCGGGACTGGGCTAAGCTCACGTACCGGGGCGGCGACGGAATTGAAGGCTTTAGACAACAGCTTATTGGATACAAGTCCACCATCATCGTCGCTCTCAGTTTTGCGAACCTGTAAGTATTCACATTTACAATTATAAACCATCATACTGATCTATCTGCCTTAGTCGCACATCTACCATCACTGTCGAAGCCATACAATCTTGCCGAGGATTGATCGAGACAACAACTATTGATTTAGAGGCGCACCTTGCAGATGTAAAGCAGAAGCTCGATGCTCTCGCTTGCCGGGCCATTGCCAGTCCTGAACCAGACGAAGCGACGATTAGATACATAGAAAACGAGCGCATCAGTACCGAAAAGGGCCTTCAGTTTTGCCTGCAGCTTTCTCAGCATATTGATCAGATTCAGCTTCAATTTGCCGCAGAAGAAGGGCACACCCCCAGCCTTCTGGGCCCGCACCCAACTTCGAATATGCTTGTCAACGAAGGACTTGGTGGCTGTAAGGATTACATTGGATTTGCACTCGAGCGATTGAGGAGACATCGCCAGAAAGTGATTGAGCGAATAGGTGCTGGCTCGCCAACCACCGTATCACCAGATGATAAAATATTACTTGATAACCTGAACGACGAAGCCGAGGCCCTACGTCATTCCCTGAACCTTTGCTCAAACATCGACACCTACCTTGAGGAGAAGATCAGTAACATTGAGAACCATGCTGAGGGTGATGATACTATTCAGTTCATGGTCTCGACAGATGGCAAGCCACTTAATGGAAAGAACCACGGCGTCGGCTCGAGACTCAAGCAAGCAGGAGGGCATTTTAAAGAACAATCTCTTCAGCAGATCTCCCAAGACTTCACCACAATCAGCTTGCATCAAACAGGAGGCAAGAAGCCATCTAGAAATGCTTCTTCGTCAGCAGCCCAATCAGAAACCACGACGGAACCTCTAGGCACGCCATTCAACGGAAGAGGCTTCACTCTTACACCGAAACCTGAAGTTAGATCGACTCCATCTTCTCGCTCTACGACAGCCTGATGAACTTGGGGCACTGTATTATCGTCTGAATTTGGCTGCTTGAAAGCGTGGCTTTGCTGTTGACATGAAGAGATGCGGCCTTATTCGAAGTCCAGCCCTTGAGGTCGGCTTGAAGCCGAGTGTTTTGTAATCAGATCAACTAACGTGTATAATTTTGGCAATGTTTCGTGAATAAAACCTGTTTTGTCTTACCCAAAAATTGACCCTGAACTTCGCGTTGTCTAAAAGCACAGCTCTGCTTGTCCCAAATCAATCCTAAGAGGATCTACCTTCCATGCGACAATTGTATGTACCCTTCATGATGTCAAGTGGACTAAGTCTTGAGTGAAACGAGTTCAAGAACGGCAACAAAGCGTGAGGCGTAGCTCTCAGTTAACAAAATAGTGCATTGTCCTCCCATTACCAACACATAAGATAAGTGCAGTTTGATTTGCTTTTAGTGAATGGTGGTCTGCGCCCGTGACATGGGACGAATTGGCGGTACACGCAGGTGGTTTCAGGTGTACTGCCTCTCGTGAAATGATTGGCTCACAGCGTACCTTTATTCGCGACTTATCGATAAGGCCCCACTTATTTGGAATATCCCTAACCAGTTCAGCTTCAGAGTCACTCTCACCCGTCTCCAGCCGATCAAACTCGTGTCAAACGTTTCGCCATGCACGGCGTGCCGAAACGTACTGTAATAGTGAATGCAACATGATACTAAACGTGCTAGACGAGTAGCTATTGTGTGTATGATTCGACGTGCTGTCTCAACTTCTCCGACCTTGCCTAGCCCTCACTTGTCGGTACCCTCTCCAGATCTCGATGGTCTGAACAATAGGAACTCCTGTTGTGGTAAAGCGTGACTAATGCGGGGTCCAGCCGCCGACATGGTGAAGATGGATTCTAGAGAAGCGGAAGATCCTCGGCAGTAAGACCAAAGCAAACCCCTCATGCGGGGAACACGTCCACGTCATACTCCAGCAGGTTGGCCACGCGTGTTTTCCTGCTAACTCGGTGTGAGCAACGGAAACGACACGACCTTGTGGATGAGGAAAAACTTGCCATGCCAGTCTTCGGCAAAAGAGAACCGGCAGACAAGAGGGGTTTGTACGAGAGAATCCGTGGGCCTTCAAAGGAGGAGGTCGAGACTGCTGTGAGAGAGAACGTGCGTGGTTTTTTTTCCCTCCCCCTCATTAGAGAAGGAGCGATGCTCACCAGATTACATTAGTTTGGCCTCAAAGAAGGACGATATGTTGAAGCCCGACACTCTGATCAACAGGAGTCGATCCAAACGCCATGCGTGGTCTTTCTGATCATTGGAAAATTTGATGTGGGCGGAGAGACATGCGATGAGGTCTACAAAGGCTATACCATTACTGACGAGAGTGCCATCAAGCTCTGGGCCCATTCTGCCGTCGTTGTCATGCCGCTTACTTAGACGACGGGATTCGTCATGACCGGGCCCATCTGATGTTGAGTTCCCGGCGTCCATCCGACTCAGAGACATAAATCTCGACTAAGCCACGAGGTTTCCGAGAGTGGCAGGAGGTCAAGCGGCTGCGGGAAGGTGTTTCCCATTTCCATCATCGAGATGTCTAGTGTCAATCCTCGCGTCAACCAATCTGGCTGGCAACTACCATCATCGTCTAGCGAATCGTTGTCGTAGCAGTAGCCCATGTTGGCACTTTGCCACGAACTTGAAGACAAGTTCCTGGACTGGGAATTGGATTCGGTACAGTTGGCTCGTTCGGTATGCTCTTGGTCTTGCTGGGCTGGAAGAGCCTCCACTGGTACGGAAGCTGTGGTTGAAGGTATTGGCATAAGACTCGAAACTTTCGGCAGCTCAGGCTTCCCAGTGTTACGACGACGTTCCAGGGACATTTTCTGGCGCTTCCTTGGTTGGTCCTCCTTTCTTGTTATAGTGCTGAATGAAGATGTTTGATCTATAACCAAGACTGTTGTCTGGTCGAACTCGGCCACGATATCCTGCACATAGTCTCCAATCCGTTCTTTGATGAGGTTGTGTCGCTGAGATTCGGCCGCGATGAATTTCGGTAATCCGTCCATCATAGCATCAAAGGTTTCATTCTTCAACTCGAGGATTTTACTGGGCTTCAGAGCAAAGAAACAGAGAGATTTCGAATAGTGATCCAGTGTTGCAAGTAATTTTTGCCGGCGCTTACTCTCATCATTATCATGCTTCTCTTGGTAAACGAATTTTACCATCGGCCTGATGCGACGATATTTTTTGTGGCGATCTGGACTCTGCAAAAGAAGTCCAAGGGCAGCAAAGAGTGAGTCAAGAATAACCTTTTGTTGCACGAAGAACAAGATGGTATCTTCGAGTTGCATAACATCGGGTTGAGCAATAAAGTTGACCTTGGCCATCTCTGACATGATTGTACTGAACTGTGGGAGAATGAGGCATGAGGCTCGCTTGTTAATGTAGGAGAAAGAGAGCAGACAGACTTAATGGGGTAAGGGTGCTCGCATATGCGATGGAAGATGAGCGAACCCTCTTCAATCGGCATAGCGTATTACGTAGACCGAAACATGTGACGAGCTGGAAGTGATCAGCGCTTACTCGAAAAGGTGAGTGTGCTTGAATAGTTAGCAAGATGCGAGCTGAGCCGCTACATACGGATAAGCGCACCTGTCTTTGGGAAGGCGCGGTTCAGGTAGGCAAGGATTCCCCATGTCTTAGGCCAATGAATCTCGAGCGTTTGACTAACTGGGGGAGAAGGGTGATTACAACGCTGGAAAGGCTTCGGTAGGTCCAGTATTTCCCGCCACAACTGGAGATAAGCCGCAATAGCTGAGACATGAGCACAAAAATATACAAGGGGCATGTACGCCATGCCAAACGCATAAGTGACATGTCTGGATATTGTAGGATAGAAAAGGGCCACATACCACCTTCATCCCTTCGAATTCTTGACACATGTCTTCTATACTTTCATTGATTATCTCTGTCAGTATCTTTTCGAGATGGCTGAGTCAAATGGTCCTCCAGTGATGGATATTTTGGAGCCCGATGACCAACCGGCTGATGATTCCGGTGTGGATGAGGTATGCCCTCATTCCTACGTACTCGACCCATCTAATCTCGTTGTAGGCCACAGACAACGCCTCGTCAACTCAATCGATCACGTCCAGTATACTCAAATACCGAGAAGAGAATGGCAGGAGATATGCAACTTTTGGAAGCGGGGGTAAGTCGTCGTCTCGCTCCCTGAAGTTAGCTTGCTCAGTGTTGAATAGAATATTTGCTTCCGAATGATGAGGTACATTCGATGATAGAAGTAGTTAAAACAAGCCACTAACCTATACAGGACGAACAAGAAAGGCTAGGTGAGTTCCTAGTTTGATCCTGTCGAAGTCATTCTGCTAACACCGAATTGATATAACTCACAATATCTGGATGTTGGTGAATGACAATAAGCTTTACCAAACCCCTCCAAGGAATTGGAAGAGAATTCTTGATGTAGGCACAGGGACTGGTATATGGGCCATAGACGTTGGTATTTATAAAACTCCTCAAGGCGGTTCGAGCGAGCTGCTGATCATGGGCTCAGCGGATGAGCACCCAGAGGCTGAAGTCCTTGGTGTGGATCTTAGTCCAATCCAACCCAGCATGTATGCTTTACTATGGAACACTGATAGCCTCATCACTGAACGCCATAAATCTAGGGTTCCTTTTAATTGCAGGTTCGAAATAGACGACTTAGAAGATGCCTGGACGTTCAAGCATCAGTTTGATTTCATATTTATCCGCAGTATGATCGCAAGCTTCAAAAGCTGGCCGGATATCTTTTCTAAAGCTTTCGAGTGAGTTTCTACCAAGATAGGGATGTCTATGCTAATGCAACTTTACATATAGGAATCTCGAGCCCGGGGGATACATTGAGGTCCAGGATAATGTATACCCGCTCGCGAGCGACGACGGCACGATTCACAACACCGACATCCTTACGTGGTCCGAGCTTATGGTTAAGGCTGCCAACAAAATTGGTCGCTCTATTACTGTTGCCTCCAAATTCAAGTCCATGCTTGAGGATGCAGGTTTCATCGACATAGTGGAGATCAAGAAGAGGATCCCCATGAACCGCTGGCCGAAGCGTTCACGGTATAAAGAGTTAGGAACCTGGAGTTGCTACATGCTCCAAAGTAGCCTTGAAGGAATCTCAATGGGATTGTTGACGAGACTTGGGTTGACTGTGGACGAAGTGCATGTCCTTCTGGCCAAGGTCAGAAGGGACCTCCTCAGTACCAAGATTCATGGTTACTGGTATACGTATGATCGACCCCTCCCGCGACAAACGATAGGCGTAGACTAACAGGTACCCAGATACTTGGTGTATGCAAGGAAACCAAGGAACGTGGCTGATTGAGGACATCTGTACTTGTAGTATCGTTACTTTTAGCGCGCAATTGATAATCGTGGGGTGCGGGAAGGAATCCCCCCGCCTTCAGCGTAGGGACCCATTGCAGAGCCGCACTTGCAACCTCTACCAAGGGAATGTCGACGTCTCCCTACTATATTGCAAAGCTTCAGCAAGCAAAAAGTATTAATATTAGGCTTAAGCTACCTTAACTTTAATAACAAATGTAAATATCCATGACGAGACCTTTGTTAAGTTCTACCTATTCGAGGGGGAGAAAATAAATGATGTTGTGGCGTCTACGTTCAAAGCTATGATGATGGGGTTAATTTGAAATTCATTCGAGTTTATTCCGTATGATCATTGTGAATATACCCTTCCCGAACATATTCTCCCCTGCCTTCACGACCCGTCCGTGAACTTGCTCTGTCTCCTCATACTTTCCCTTCGTCCATCAATACGAAGCAAAATTCTTGCGCAAGTCTGTCTTTTCCCTTAGTAGGATGAATCGGCCTCACTCTACTCTTGATCGTCCAAGTGGTCGTGACTCTTGGCGTTCTTTGACCGGTTGTTGCCCTTCTTGGTGGGAATAATGCATCCTTACTCTTTTAGATGCTGTACCAGCCCTGTACTAGCTTGCCTTCCTGGGAAATCCTTTGCTGTGCTTGATTGGACAACACTCGGCTATTGTCCTTGCTGCTCCGTCCGAACAGCTATTATAATGAAACTGCTCGACTACTGGGGTATGGGGGCCAACACTACAGTGTCCACCAATTGCCTATCCGTTGTCAATCACCGTTCTCAAGCCGAATACTTAAAGGGATGCCCAACCCAATAAGACAACTACAGGTAGGCCTCACCAACACTCGTTTGCCAACGCACCTCCCGCGAACAGCACAGGCCCATCCTCTTCCACTTACAAATTACTCTCCAAGCGCTCCGTATAACATCATCTCAGCTTGCCCGTTATGAGTCTAACTACCTCTCAGTATACTCCCCTAAGAGTGATACTCATATTGAGCATGCTGAGTACCATCCTTTTCTTATACAACCTTTGGAGATTGTATTCGAATCCTGAAATCTCAAGTCAACGGTCAAAAAAGCACAAACAGCTCTGCTTACTTGTTGCTGCGATTTTGTCAGCTGCAACATTTGGGGCGGCCATCATTGGACTTCTCGACTATGTTAAAGAAGAACTAATATTTCTAATTCTTCTTGTAACTGATCTTTTATCATCGGCAGGCAAACAGGTAAGATATATTTATATATTATGTTGCTTTTGTTAATCTTCTATAAGGACTTAGCCATGGCCGATTTCCCTTCTCGTATATCATATTTTCTTCCGCCGATTGCAGCAGGATTAATATGGCTCATCTGTAACATCCTATTCTGCTTTGGGATATTCCTTAAAGTCGAAAATGCATTCCTTCCTCTGGTACTAATCTCTGATATTCTGTATTGGCTTTCAAAGCTGGGTCAATGGGGTGTACATGTTTATAAGAATGTTCAAAGAAGGACAGAAGTGCTTAATATGGCCCCATTCAGCAATATACAAAACGAGCCATATATCCTTTCACCAATCTGCGATCTTACTTGCTTTATTGCAAGTATTTTTATTCTTATATTAATTAAATCACAGATAGATAAACTAATTGTAAGTATTAATAACCCTTTTTCTAGTATGAGACTGATATTATAGGTATTATATTCTATCTTTGTGATACGCAGCTTTGTCGCTGGAGCTGTTTCTTTCTTAATAACACACAGCTTACTTTCGAGAGCTACAATGTCTATTAGATCTTTACTTGAAATCTTTCAACAGTCAACAAATACATCTACATCTGAATTACCATTAACAAATCGTTAATTTCAGGGGTAGTTAGAAAAACCTTTAGAATAAAAATATATAGGATATATATCTTTACTGCTCTCTTGTACAACTTAATCCTCCCCAAGACTATCAATTAGGTGCAGAGAGCTCTTGGGTTACCTGTTCACGCTAAACCGCGATATGTATCTTTCTGATTGTCTATCAACAGAGAAGTCCAGCGACACAAACTTTGTATTCTCTGCGTCAATAACACAACGCCACCATAAGGCAGCCTTGCCTAATAGCTTATTGTCTATTGGTGATTGCATACAGACATGACTACTCATTGATAAAGCCTCTCATCTATAACTCTTCCTCTGCAGGAAAAGCACTTTGGGGGACAGTAATGCTATGCGGAGCGATACATATTGCCTCATGCTTGTCCAGCTCGTGTTGAGAGATGGTCCGTCCCTCGGGTAGATAAAAGACGAGATCCCCAAGTTGAGCCACCATTTCACTGATTTTAAGAGAGATTGATCCTCGGGGCCAGGATTTAGCTATCCACCCAGACCCAGGCTCAGTCCATTGTAAGACTTTTATTTCATCTTCGTTGACTTGACGAACTAGTCTCATCGCAGAATCAGAAAGACAAAGACTTACTCCCCTTGAGTGTTGTGATACCTCATATTCTGAGTCAACTTGCATCTGCACGGCGTGATTATCCTGATTAACTGACTTTTGCTGAGATGTTGTATCTGGCTGTACCGTTAGATGCTGCTGAGGGGATGAGCCTTGTGATCTCAGGTGTCTCATCACATTCCAGAGGAGTCGCTGTTCCCTCCTTCTACGCGATCCTTTCTTCCGGCTTGAGTTCTTTCTTATCACCTCTCGATTCGGCACAAGCCGGTTCACTATATCCGTTTGTTGCGAAGATTGCCTTCTCCCTTCTTCTCTTTGGTTGCTGTTTTCCCTTCTAAGTCTCTCACGAGACTCAGAATTTGCAGCCCCTTCTGGCGAATGAGATTGACTGCCTTGTGAACTCGGTGATAAACTTTCAGGAGAAAGCATCGCTTCATCTCCGTCCTTATCTTCATCAAGTCTCCAAAACGCATGGAAGACGGATTTACGGACGAATAGAGATGTAATGTCCCGCGATTCTGGAGTACGGCGTGAGAATCTGGCAAGATTGAATGACCATCGGTCACGTATGTAAGCACCAGAGTATTGACGTCCACAACGACGGGTGATAGGTTCACCAGCCCCAATAGTCGTAAAAGTTGATTCAGATTCATCGGAAACGCGAGCCCGAGCCCTGGTAAACTCGTGGACTATGCGGCTCAAGATGTCTTGTACTTCAGACTCATCATATTCATACCATGATGATGGTCTTGCATCTTGTAGGGCTTTGAATGCAACCTGCTCGTCTGGATTTGTCACAGCTAGGCGCCTTATCTCGTCTGATTCAAAACCAAGGCGGCGCGCTTTTTGTGCCAACCGGTGCCAATTCATAGGATTGCGAAATGATGCCTCAGGCGGCTTTTCGCCGTCTTCCAGAAGAGGCCACTCGCCCGTTAGCTCTACCAAGTCTTGCATAATGTATAAGTATAAGCGCTTCAAACGTTCGAAGAACAGGTTTTCGGGTTCAATGAGATCTTTCGGCGAGAATGCATCATATGCCAGGACCTGTACCGTAAGAGGTATCTTTCTTTTACCATGCAGAAGCCGTTTCATGGTATCAGTACATAATCGCAGATATTTAAAATCTTTCTGCAGTGTGTAAATAGAAGGTAGGAGATAGTTAATGTTCTTCATTCGATGGAGAATTTGCGATCTCTCTGCTGTATCGGTGAGTCTTCTGAACGCTATGCCACCTTCAACCAGATCGGCGAGGTAACGATAATCAACTTGCGAGACCCCCGGAACCCGGAGCTGAAACTCTTTGACATCCTCAGTGTCGACATAAAGTAAAGCTTCTTTAGAGCCCATAAGCTTTACCCACGATTCTAAAGTGAACTCCATGTAACGTACAACTTCCTAGTCAGGGGTTAGAAAGTTCCTTTACATATGGCAGACAATATATACCTCATCACACTTGCCACCGATAATCTTATGCCAAGTACCAATCTCAAATCCCTCTCGCATCCCAGGTATATTTATGATTAGTTCTAAGAGGGCAGGTGCTATTGATGGATGTTTGAGTATGCTTCTCAAAATAACTCCTAAACTCTTAGTAAGTCGAGCCCACCATCGTTTCTCTTCTGTTAGATTGTGGGAGCGATGGTAGACAATTCTCTCACATATGTGTCCATGGGAGAATGCACCCTCATTAGTGTAATTCTCAGTAATAATGTCGAACGCTTTTGGATCCAGATCTTGATATAGCCTCAGTATCCGTATACATATCCATCGATTTGTAACTCTTACCTACATAGAGCTCAACAGTCCACCATGTACCAAGATGTGGTGTATCAAGCAGAGCTGCGGCTCGACTCCTGCCGTTGGCGCACTTTATGTATTGAAATCGTGGAAGGTAAAGCATTCGCGAGCCTTCTGAGCCTCGGAGACCATCCAGTGTCAGCTCTGACAGGCGTAGAGCTTCTGAAAGAAGGCTTGCTGGAATAGTGCCTAATATGAAGTTCGAAGGCTCACTTCGGTTACAGCCTTCTGTCTTGAAGATTCTCTTGAGTCGTGAAACTTTCGCAGCACTGATATTCTGATCACAAGGCATGAACTCTGGTGAAAACACAAGATCCTCAATCGAAACCTTGACGATCCCCCTAAATTTCGTATTCTTTTCCTCAATAACGTCGTCAGTAAGCGAGGCCAAGCGATTGGCATGGGTCTGAAAGCTGAACATTGTCTTGCTGATTTTAGAGTCAGTGAGGAAACCTTTTTGATGGTTCCTTGAGTAAGTCTACTGGTAGATAAATATAATCATAAAGCCGTGAGCGAAAGTAGAGGGTGCCGAAACCCGCACTCGCCGTACCGGCGGTGATGTTTGTGGCCAGGGTGTCAAATCAGCAACCGCAACCCTGCTACAAACAAGACGACTTTGCGAGAAAGACCCGCAAGGCAGCAATACAGGCCATACGTATTTAATATTTTCAACAAAAATTAAATTTCTTTACCTCCATGCCCGTTAAATATACTGACAATGTCAAAGCTAGACCGGCATACCGTTTTGATTGATGATGAAGCTGCGGCTGTTTTGCGTCCATTCAGGTCTCTGCAGTCTCCCGAGAAGCAGGGACCTCATTCCAACCATCGCCGCGATGAGGAGGTGAATCATCGAAGGCATCCAATCGATACCTCTCGCATTCCAGTGAGAGGGTTAGACACTAGCAACGTCAAGCCGGTCCTAGTTCCAGTCTTGGCCGGTTCTCCATGGAAGCATTACACAAGAGAATATTACGTCAAGCACTGGTGTCTATTTGCAATAGCTATTAGCAAACAAAGCCGGGACAAGCTTTACGTGATTCGTTCTTCGCCGACTTTGAACGATGAAAAGCTTCAGATTATCCGTCAAATTTCTCACCCCAATGTTCTTGAGAGTATTGAGATTTACTCTGAAGAAGATAACAATTACTATATTGTCTCTGGGATGATAGAAACCTCATTAATGCATGTATGCCGGGCCCCAGAATACCCGTCAGAGGTACAGCTAAGTTCTATATTATTCCAGGTGAGACGGTACTTCTTGGATATCAGTATCTGTTATTAAATCCAGCGGCAGGTCCTATCAGGGTCAGAGTACCTTATAACGCAAGGTCTTGTACCCGAAACGATTACATGTGGTGGGGTTCTTATCAATCTTGCAGGTGAGGTCAAGATTAGCAACGTTGAGGAATTCCAGACAGGCGGTGACAAGAAAGTGTTTTTAGACTCGTTCTGCAGGCTATCAATGATGCTAATGGATAAAGAAAGGGGCCCGAAAGCTCAAATTGGTCTATCGCATCCAGATCGATGGTCCTCTGAAGCTGTTCATATGCTTAGTTTATTAGACTCAGAACCGAGTATGGAAGAGTTAGCTATGCATAAGTTCTGGAAAAAGGGGAGGAAAGAAGAGTTAAAGTCACTTGTATACTTTACTCTCATTACAGCATATCATAGTAGATCTTAAGTAAACCTTAAATCTTAGTTTGCTTTTAAACTTTATCTTAAATTTACTGTATTTCTGTCTTATTTTATATACTAAGAATAACTATATAACTAGTGATAAATCAATATATAAATTTTCTAACTTCCTCGGCCAGCCTTAAGTACTATTAGCTAATTATATATAAAAAGTCTTCTAGGTATTAATTTAAATGAATTATAGATATATCTTTACTTACATCAGGTCGATTAGTATTTAAATCTGCCATAACAAAGCTCAGTCAGCTAATTATCATTCGACTATATATCACGATACTTACCAGACACGAACTGACCATAATGAGGATTCTGCGCAAGCTCGGCATCCTTTTGCAAAGCTTCGAGGAGATCATATACTTTAGATGGCCACAGTTTTGGCGGCCGGCTATCAACAAAGGTAACCAAGCATGAGAAAATATCATTGCGCATATTATGCACAAGCCATGAGTTAGGCGAGAACGTAAGTGCCCAGGTAACTATTGCGTTCGGGCTTAGTTTTCGAAGTCTTTTGCATCGATGCTCAAAGTTCTTGGCTCGCTTTTGCCAAAGGCTTTGAGACTGGAGCGAACTACCAGGACCATTGAATATCGCTTTGATACTCCGACGAAAGCTTGAAGGTACTAGGACTTCTTCTTTGGCAATGACTTTGGATGTAGCAGCTGCTACTTTGAATCGTAGCCCTGCACTGGCCTCCCAGGCATATTTTGACTCTGCTTTGGACAGTAGTGTGACACCAATTCCTTCCAGCTTCTCACCTAGTCTAATAAGCTCACCTAATTCGCCTTCGTTGCATTGGGTCGGATCAAAATCAATAACCAGATCGGTAAGCGTTCGCGCCGAAACGGCAACCTGGTCCAATATAGATGTAGTCATTAAGTCTGATTAAAGGTCCTTGAAACGACATTAACTTATTCAATATATAACCACAACCAGAAGGGATATACTTGGCATAAATACACATTTAACCCGCCGTTCAAATTGTACAGGTAACCAATCGATCAATGTCCTGTGCTCAGGGATCCGAAACCTGTTCCAGTTGCTTCCGTTTATGCTCGAGGACCAGGGTACCGTTTTCATTCATTTTTCCACGTCAATTCCCCCACAGTCAATGGTCCAAAAACCGCACCCTTGCTAAGATTGGAGTGTTATTGGCTTCAAGGAAAGAGGTAATTTCCTCCGTGCCGGTAAGTCCGGCTCTGCTACAACTAACAAGCTGATCCCTCGGCCTATTTGAACCTTGTGGCTAGACTTAGCTAATTTTGGTAGGTGAAAGTTGAAACAGATGTTGGTTCTGCTGCGGATGCCTCCACTGTGCAGAATCACACTAACGTTAGCAGTTCAGAGCTGTGGCCAGAAGTCTATCTATGCCCAGATAAGTTTAGTGCACTGGCACAGGAACAGGAAGCAACAAAACCGTACTCAATCAATTAAACAATTCACTACGGAATCGACAATCTGAAGCAATTACCACAAAATTCATTTCTTAAACAAAGACTGTTATCTTTTCCTCCTCTACTTCAATAATTTTCCTTATGAGTTTTTGTGCCTGCTCACGGCCTTCATCTATAATCTGCCTGGCAATCTTGGGTCGATTGGATAATAAGAGAGACAAGAGCACAGAGTTACCGACGAGTGATATAAAGAGGACAAAACTCAAGAGACCAACAAGTGTTTGGCACCAAACTACCTCGCGCCAAAGACTAGCTGATTGAAGGCGAGGTAGCCAAGCCAGGACAATGGAGATGACCCTTCCGCTAAAACACGTCGAAAGAACTTCCAGCAAAAAGAGCACGAAGTCAGCGCAACGGCGGACCTTGGGTGAAAACAAAACGTTCACACTACAGTACGGAAGTGTAAACCAAATTGTCCACGGAAGGTAAAGCGAGAGAAAACCCAGATAAGCTCTAGCCTCCTTAATCAGGCTAATCTGGACCACGCTACCGCCCAGAGGGGAAATCTGATTATCGATGTCCCAAGTAAAGTACCAGGTACCAATTGGGATACCTAGAAAGATAAGAGCCAAGAAGACCATTTCAACAAAAAGAGCAATGGCTCGAAGGGTTAACTCAAGGAGAGTGTATTGTATATCCAAAACCTTCATTGCGGCAGACGGTTTAAGCAAAACGCTTAGGGAAGTGAGCTTGTAGTTGCTGTGAATCTTCCTGGTACCAGAAAGGAATTGGCTCAATGAAATCACAAATGGCCTTTATTAACCCATGGGCTAATTCGTAAACATGTGAAACCAAATTCCATGCGCAAGGGTGCCAAAACCTGCCACCTGGAGCAAGGGTGCCAAAACCTGCACCTGGAACAGGGGTGCCAAAACCTGCACTGGAAGGGAGTGCTAAAACCCCGCACCTGTATGGGTGTAACGCTGTGACAATGGTACTAGGAACGAAACCATGTAAGCTTTGTTGGGTGTTTGAGTAGTGAAGTAATGAAGATAATTGTGTGTTAAACCACAATCTTTAATATATAGCATAATAGACCCAGATTCTTATCTCCTTAACTAACCTAGGTCAGATTACTGTGCATTCTAGATTGACCGACTTTGTTTCTTTCCTATCTCACGACTATGGCGACTTTCTCACAGTGTTTGGCTTATTTTCCTATCCTGGATTGTTTGCTGTCCTACCTCTCAGCAACGGATTCTTCTATTGTACTCGGCCTTATCGGAGTTCTCTATACCAACGACAATAACGCATACAAAAGATATGTCGATGTTTTTAGAGACATCCCTGAGTATGCCAGTTGGATCAAGCAGATGTTGTCAAAAGGTCACACAGTATTGCTTGTAGGAAAGGACCTGGAGGCACTTGAGTTGTCTTACAAGTACCCTCTCTGGTACTGGAGAGAACACTCTCGCAGTGAGGTGAGAAGCTTGTGGCTCGTGGCTCTCACCACAAAAATGCGAAAGGATAGCCTAAGGAAGACAGATGCAATTCCTGCCATAGACGAGAGTGGTGATATTTTCGAAATTCCCGTGTTTGACGAGGGCTATCTGAAGTATAGTCACATTGGAGGGGGTTGTTCAAATGCGCTCTGCTACCCATTCACGTTATCAATGTCCTACAACATGCCATTACCTCTGCCATGGCTCGACTGTGCCTACGACATGATGCAGAAGCGATCCTGGTACACGATCTCACGAGATAGCGATTCAAATATTGATCTCGTCTATCTTCCTAATTACTGCGCTCAGGATATACTTTTCGACGAAGCGACGGAAGCCTCCATGCCGTACTTTACAGCCATATTTGGCTGTCCGATACCCTTCAGCGAACCAATTGCTATCCCGTACATCAACCTAAGAGATGGAAAGGTCCGAGTCAGTCTCACCGATCCGTACATAGGTCAGGGGATAGAGTTTCCAGTGGATATAGAGTGGACTGGCGAGGATTGGAGTGAAGAATCGGATATGAACAGCTTTGTTTTTGCCTTTTATCAACCTCGAGTTCATAGACAAACTATAGGGCTCTGCCGGTACAGCTTTATGGCTATAGAACTGGAAGGTCTTGATCCCGACGTTAATAGCATCGAGACTTAAACTCCCGAGGACAACTCTAAATAGCAATGATGTTATATAGGGTTAGGATAGACAATATAGTAATAGCCGAAATCAGAAGAAGCCTTGGTACTCTAGAGACAGTTTCTAAGCACGGAATAACTTCAGCTCGTCTACTACGTTGCTTTTGAAGCTGTTGCGAATGTTATTTAATTCGTGTCCAAGGAAGACAGATAAATCAGTCGCCATAGGGTAAGGGTAATCTCCAGTATTGCAGGCCGGAGATGCAAATTCTCCAACATGTCATCAGGACTAAAACTCATGCCGTATCAAGGCCCTTCCAATGGCTACCTGTAAAACCTGTTTAAGGCCGCAATAGGAAGCAACACACAGAGCATTGCCTCCCTCCTCGAAGTCAAGTTGGACACCTAAGTCGATGACCAACAGATCTGTGGATTCTTTTCTAGAAATTATAGAATGGTTTTTTTTAAAGCACAGTTGGCCAATATTGACGTTGAGAGTTTGCAGTAATTCGTCGATTCTTTCGTTATCATCGTCATCAGCAGCTTTATGGGTGGGTGTCACTTCTAAGTCCTCCAGTCTAGTCACTATTCACCTTCTCGAAAAAGCGCAGACAGGCTCACGATAGTATAGGTTATGTCTTTGCTAGACACAGTGTTGTAGTGTCCCGCCTTTGTATGCCTTCGCAGATGCTCCTGGGTGTCACCAGTCACGGTCTCGTTATTACGCCAGAAAGGTTCTGTGAGTGACAGAGCTGTATTAAACTTAAGGGCTCTGACATTCAGTTCCAGGTGGTAGAGTTAGGTTAAGTATACTTCAAAAGATAAGCAGAGGAGGTTAAGAAAAGGACAAAAGAAGGAGAAAAAAAGAATTGGTGAGAAACCTGCTCTAATAAATAGGGGTCCTCATCACGTGAGGATGGATATCTTCTTAGTAGAGTTTGGGGGGGTTAAGCCATCACAATACTAGCACAATATAGACGCATTAGGTCCTGCTACACCAGCTATAGATAATCTATACTCGGAAACGTTTTATAGAAAGCTAAGGTGGCCTCTGATTTTGTCCGAAACTATAAAGGTTTTACGTAGCACTTTTCTCCGTCTAAAAAAGCCGTGCTTGCTGTTGGCGCATGCAGGGGTATAGAAGCCGCACCTGATAATGGAGGGGCCGAAAATTGACAATAGCGCCAGGGTCACATATAAGAATCAGTTTGCGAAAACAGATCCTAGCTTTAGGCGAAGCATAAAGACCAAATAAGAGCCATTGTGATGGCAACTCGAAAGGCTCGTTGTATCCATTTCTAGCCTGGATAGGACAATGACCCAATTTTCGTCCTTTTTGGAGATGGCGACTACAAGAAGGCAGAGCAATGCAGAAAGAGAAAAATGGAGGACTAAATGCTGCGAGGCGTTATGCAGTCACATAAGTGCGGTTCAAAAGATACCGTGTAGTGTGTAGACTAACTCTCACAGATTCAAGGTTGAGTCTTAGTATTGAGCCATCCCAAGTCAGGCTGCTACCTGTTCGAGAAGATCCATATCGTTGGTCTATCGTCCCTGGTAAGGAGTACCTGTTTGAAAAGAACCTCAGCGACCAGTCCACCAAGATATATAAAGATCTTTACCAGGGGATCAACAAGGACTTCAAAGCCACGAAACCGCCTCCATCACTATTAGACAAGCTGCCGCAAAGAGACAATGCTGTAAGACCTATTAGATCTGCTCATCTTTCACATATTGACATGAATAGAGCACATCTCACCAAACAACTATCCGAGTCACATCACAGATCAATGAATTGCAGGTGCAGAAGGACTATGCCCTTCAGAGAATAAAACTACTAGAAAGTCAGCTCCAGGAAGAGTTAAAACGCAGGGTAGGTCTGGAAGAGAAGCTCCAGGTAGCACATGAAAGACAACAGTGCTTAATGAGAGAGCTGCAAAAGGCAGAAAGACGAGAAACATACTTTCGGAATGCGGCACTTGACTATTCCCAGGAGATAGCGAAGGTTGCACCGGCTTTAAGGAAGTTAACTGAGAAGACGTATTTCACAGACGATGGATTTATTTGATAGCTCTATGGAAACCTGCTCAGGAATTGAGCTGGTGTTAGTAGATGACGAGAAGAGATTGACACCTGACAGACCAGGGTCCGGTTTTGATATCGCATCTTAGCGTTATTACATGAGCACTAATTAAAGTCATTTAAATAAAATCCCATTGTCGCACATATGTTACTGCTGTTGTTCTGGTTAAACATATCACTATGAGCAACGATTTAAGCCACTTAACACGAGATATACTGCAAATATTAGACGACATGATGCCACAAGACACTTCCAAGACGACCAAAAGCCTGACGATTGAGATTGGGTTATTGAAAGAAGACATCGAGAAACAGAATGCCCGGCTTTTGGCATCTAGAGCTCTTCTTGAGGAAATCATGGACATCATTCGAATCACTACCAAAACAGCAGAGCTATTCAAGAGACAAAACATAAATGCGGAGAGTGTCTGGGCTAGCTTCTGGGGCATTCTAAAGGAGTGCGATGAAGCAATTTTTGAAATGGATTCAGTTGGTTCCCGCGATATTTAGCTAGCTGTAAGCGCCATAGTCCTCTTATGTTGTTAAGAATCAGTTAACTATCGAGGCATTTCCATTCCGGCGTAGAGCGTCCAGCATTTCTCTGATGAACTCTGTAATTTGAAGGTTCCTTGCGGTCTGTGAAGCCTGCCACTTCTGCAGTTCCTCCATCTTGGTCTCAAGTTTGGTGATTCTAGCCTCGAGAGATTGTGGGCTGGCATGATCCTGGCTGGGCTGACCAGAATCAACTACTATTTCTCGTTCTTCCTCGACGTACGTGACGCCCCCATCTGTGAACTGGCCGCTGTTCAGAATTCGATTCTCATCTTCTGTATAGTCTTCGAAGGTAGAAAGCCCCATCTGGAGGTCCATCCCGGGATCAGAGAGAAGTGTGCCAGAATTTCCAGTTCCCAGCACTGGAGGAAAGTCGAGTTCGGTGTTGACATGATCATTATTAACGTGATCGGCTATACCAAGTGTGATTCCCTCAGTATCTACCATATTCAGCTGATCTATGTAGGACAGATCAAAGTTGTCCGAAAAGCCTTGCAGGAAATTAAGACCTTCCTCGTAAAGTCCGAGGGGACCAAAAGCCCCATCGGATGCGGGTTGTTCGGTGGTGGTTGTCGTCCACGGCGAGTCAGTGGGGGCAGGATCTGCAAGAAACGTAGGGCTAGAAGACGCTAAGACAAAAGCTTCGCAACTCTGCGCGAACGAACTGTCGCTAAAACTCATGGCTAATGTAGAGCTGTAAAACCAGATACAACGGCAAGAAAGGCATGCGAATCTGCATTTGCTTCTGAGGACTTTTGACCTTAGGCCAGGTGGCGCATGCGTTCGACCGAAAGACATAACTTTTCACTGCCAACAGCTTCCCTCCTTGATCTTGTTGGTTTTGAGTCTGTTGGTTCAGCAAATTGTTGATCCAAAGCCAACAGGTTAATGATACAAGAGAGCATGGGTACATATTGCGATCCCACGCAGCTGTTTTCTGTACCCCTAGCAGATTCCAAACATTGAAGTGTGATGACTACTGTCAATTTGGTGTCATTGGCAAGGCGCTCAACGACGACAAACTTGTTTAATTGGTGGTATCAACTGATCGGGAACATCAGACTTTGGTGCTTCCCCTAAATTTTCACCAAGACGTGATCAATATCGAACCCCTTGTTCAAATGCCAACCAACACAATAAAATACACTAATAGAACATGACCGGCAAGCTCGGGGCCGTTTTCTGCCACCCTGGTCGCTCACCACCGGGAATAGAATCGGCATCAAGAACCGCTGCCAACAAAGAACATGGCTTGTAGATTGCATCTGACCACGTAATATATAGTTGAAGAACTGCTTGTCGTTTACAGCCAACTTTACAACCAGAAACTTACCCTTATCTACCCTTTCATATCATTCACGACTCGCTTTGCAATGGTATAGTACTTCTTATAATGGAAGAAGAGAAGAAGCATTCGAATTGACCATTGATAGGAGTATCAGCACCAACTGGTCACCGTCCCTGAGAACTCCATAGTGAGAACTTGGCAACAGCCAGCGCCTGTGCAGCAGCAATCGTCACACCCGGCTTGCTTTGTGTCTCGACTGGCAGGGGAGCTTCTCCTTTCGCGTACTGATAACATGAATTTACGTCATATGAGTACTCAGTTACAACAGGATGTTGGTAGTTGGCGGCAAGAGTATGAAAAACTTCTTGTGGAGTACTGGAAGATATCCGAACACAACGCTGCTCTTTTGGGTCAGGTTTCACGGCTGAAAGAGCAACTCCGGGCGACTAGATCTAAACGAGGCAACAACAGAGGTCGTCGCGACGACGGCATTGTCTCGATGCCCATTCCGGCAGGAAGCAGTGATATCGATGGTTCGAATGAGCAGGAAGCTGTTGGTGATCAGTGAAGTGAGGTCAGTGCGCACTAAGCTGTATTCATAGTTCGCGTAAAGTTTAACAAGAATCGTTTTGGTTGATGACCCTTGCCTCCAAGTCTCGTGTTCACTTCTACCTTGCATTATGCAAGGTTCATAAAGCTGATCCCTGCAAGGTGGATTCCGTGCCTTGCTTTAACCCGCAGTACATCGCGGAGAACAGAAATCCGAGGTTCAATACCTGTTATACCCTTGTATATATAGAGTTTGTCTTCAATCAGGCGTCCGCCATGTACTGCGAGGCATTGACTCGTTCGTTTGCGACTGGTGGAGGTGCCGCTTCTAGCACCTTCCCTGCTCGCGATGATGTAATTCCTCGGACAGGATCGGATTTGACCTGACATGCATAAACCATTTAAACTCTTCGACATGGACTTGTTCTTTTTCTCACCCTGCATAGAGCTACTACTACTGCATTGTTTAAGTTGTATAATTACTCCGCAATGTCTCATCCAAAGGTCACTCGGCGCAAAAGGCGCACTGAGACATTAAAAAACAAAATGAAGCAATACTCACATATTTTCAACGTTAATATTACCGTCATTATGCAAGACAGGTCGACTTTGCAAAACCAAACTTTCACATTCTCACCTGATCACGGCTGGGCAACCGTAAGTGCAACAGGACAGGCTCTTAGCGTTAGCTAATCCAGGTATCGTAGACCCCAAGTCACTCAACTAACTCCCCAGATCGACCTGAGATAGTCACTTGGCCAGAAGGTCAAAATTTTGTTGAGCGATTAAAGCAGAGATTTGAGCAGCTCAACGTCGAGTGCCCCCCTTGAAAAAGCTCGGAGAATTTCTTAGCCCTCCAGTGCCAGTTGTCTCCACCCTTTGTCATTCTCTAGAGCCACAGCATAGAATAGTGGGAGATATCGTTGCAAGAATTTAGCATGATGAACCTCTATAAATATATCCACATTGTCCTCCTTTCATTTCTCTCCCTCTGCTAAGAAGACAAACATGCTATACAAAGTCTCCTTCGCTTAGAAGGTCGACTGCAAGTCAGTTCCCGCACTCTCTTCTTGTGGGTTCGCATCCCAAAAACAGCAGTTGTAGATCCTCTCTCAATGAGATTCGTGATATCGTATGGCGACCCACTAATTGGAAAGGCGCGTAAGCTACCCTCTTCCTTCAGTTCGATCAGCAGGGATTTATCTGTCATAAATTCAAGGTGCTGCTGAATATTGCCATGCTCGTCTGTTTCTATTATCGATCGACAAGACTTTCCGTTGATATATACTTTTGACCGGCGTAGCTTCTTGGCTATCTTTGGTAACGCTGCGTCCCTACCTTTTCGAGTGCAGAGTATACTACCCTTGACATAAAGATTCGACCCGCTCTTTTGAGGCAAAGCGGTCAGCTCAAAGTAGAATAGAGTTGCGAATAGGTGGTAAGCAATTTCTGGCACAGCTCCGAGCAGTATATCGTCCCGGTACACCATGGATACGAGTACAGGCATTGATGTAGTGTCGTCAATAGCGGGAGGATTTGTGATAGTGAGGTCCAGCCTGTACCTGCCACAATTCCTACCGGCGTTGAGATTGGCACTTGTGGCATCGTCCCAAATCCTTTGTCCTTGCATTATAGACATGTACGCGCGTTTGAGTCGCAGAATCCAGCTGTCAGTGATAAACCTTGACTCTTCGTCTCTTAAGGGAGCATTTGGTGACGTTCCGGTCCCTACATTCAAGACGAGGTCTGGCTGCGCGTTGCCATTCCACGCCGCAAACTCCGCTAACGCGATCATAAGGGGGTTGTTTGCTAAAACCCCCGCATCCTGGAATGTCCCGAGACCGGCAAGATATTTTGCTCGTTGGTATCTAAAAGTAATATTAGATTCAGCCTAGCCGTCAAATGTGAGCGCATCACTAACAATGGTGCAGCTGAGGCACTTCTTCCGCTGCTAAAGAATTAGCCAGTACTTTTTGTAGCTTCTGAGGTTAGCCACAGCTTACACTTCCCATGTCTTGATATTTTCTGCCTCTGTCATAACCCTATAACCTCGTGTCTCTTGCTTTGAGCTGTTGTAGTTCGTGAAAAGGCAAAGAGAAGAAGGGTATTTGATAGTGGCAGCCGGAATGCCAATTTTGGCTCCTATTCTCTGCGCATACGCTGCTTCAGTAAAGGCCTTTTCACCAAATACGCTCTTCAGCGCAATCTCAATGTCGGTTTCGGAGTACAATGAGTCGGAAAGAATGGCCCGGATCCAATTCATGCCAGGTACGGTTGCTGTTGTTGGAGGACGGAAAGCAAATTTTGCCAGCTTCTGAAATTCAACTCCACATCGTTCTACCGACCATCCATTGGCGAACATTGCGAGTACTATTAAAGCTCCTAGTGGCAGTCAGTTAGTATGGTTCCGCGCGCCGGAGTTGTTTAATCATGGTAACATACCTGCGCTTACACCGTATGCCATTGTGAAGAACTCTTGTATCGGTATAGGGAGATCAAGCTGTTGTTGGACCTGACCTAGGATGGCAGGAGGTATTATTCCACGAACGCCACCCCCATCAATACACAATATTGAGTGGCCGGCTGTAGGCGGCCGAATACGTACCATCAAGTCTACAACATCGCCATCAAGCAAACAATGCTTGAGGGAAAAAAGATAAGGGTCAGCTGGTTCCGATACGCCGAACATCTGAACGCAAGTTTCACAGATCCAATGGCCACATGATAGTTTGTGCCTCGGAATCTGTGTAAGACAGGAGAAACAAGTTCTGTAGCTTTTGATGTTGGCCCAGCGATCCGAGTGATCGATCAGCACAGATTTGTGTATGCATTTTGACGACTCGCCTTGTTTAAGGCGGTTGAACAAACAAGAAAACCCGTGCACAATTGAAGTCGAAATCCCGCTTGGCAAAAGATGTCCTTCATTTCGATCGACGGCAGTCGCCTGCTTGCAGGCCTCCGTACAGATATCTCTATATAAGCTTTGAAAGACATCTTCGGGGTTGAACACTTCAATATTTAGCATAAGTTCTTGAACTATCTTCAGGAACTTACAATGCATATCAGGAAGATAATGGTCACAAAACAAACTAGACGCAATTATGGGTGAAGCAAAGGAGATGAGATCTTTCGGCGAGGGTATATGACTCATGAATTGGACAATATGGTCTGCTAGCTCAGTTGAAACTGGAATATCGCGCCGAGCACTGCGAATGAGATCGATGGGTTGGTGGTACAGGGTACCTGCTGACTCAAAAGCCCTTTCAAACAATGCGTTCGTATGCTCGACAGACAACAGCAGTCCGGATTCTCGGCGTCGCTGGCGAACCACAGCGAGATGCTCGCGGAAGCGAGCCTGAATCAGTGCAGAAGAACTTGAATCAGCGGTTGGAAGAAACCAAGAGTCAGTGAAGTAGAAGTCCAATGAATTAGAAGTCAGCGCCGTGATTGTTGAGGTAAAGAGGCGCTCTGCTACAGCCGCAGCATCTGGCCGCAGCAAGTGTTTCTCACAGAGAAGAACCATCAATGATGGCTTCCAGAGGGGACCATTCTGAGATGGCCAAGTGGCGATCCAGCGCGCAACCTTGGTCAGGTCTGAAGGTCCATATGAATAGAAGCAAAAGATATCCACAAATGGATACAATAGGCGAGAGAACAGGAGCCCATGAGACTGGGTATCAGACATTTCTCGCGACAGCGAGATTTCTGAAACTGATGAGCAACACCCAAACATTCTTTGGGAGTTACGAAGAGGCATAGTAGCGTTGGCGATCAGCACAGGCTCCTCATTTTCCGCTCCTGTATCAATATCCAAGCGAAGTCTACCAGCATATTGCCGACGTTTCTTAAGAAGGTTTTTCTGATGGCTGCCAAAGATGACATTGAGGCTCGGACATGGAATTTCAGGTTGAAATGAAGAAGTAAGCCGTTGCAGTCTCCCCGAATGATGGACTGATGGAACTTCCTGGGTAGAAACCCATAACCAATGGCTACAGTTACACCTGGCCATCTCGTTTGCGTGTTGGAGCGTTTTGTGACTTAATCTGGCAGGAGAAGCCTTAGACAATATGTACGCGAGAGAGATGACCCAGGCCCGGTCCTGTTTTGAACACCGCTGTCTCTAGGGCTTTGGTAACCCAGGACACGAAACACGCACCCATGGGTCTCCTGCCACAGTACATAAAGGCATTAGCAAGCCATTAAGATTATTATCAATGTTACTTTCAACAAGATGGACATAGAATCTGGCATAAAATCGCATACTTGCGGTATTTGTCATCGCCCTCGGTCAGATGAGTTCCATCGCCGTCACCCTGCTGGCCAGGGTTATCCTCGCACCCATTCCATCTGTCGCCGTTGTCGTCAGGAACAGCGTGGAGTTACAAATAAATTCCATGAGCGACCGGTTTGCCAGACAACACGTAAGAGTAAACCCGTGCGCCGAAGTGTCATTGTTGCAGTCAAGACCATCTGTCGGGCTCTCATGAGTGGCAACGGTCTCGATATCCACGTTCACCATCATCATTGGCACCATAGTAATGAGGACGATGGCGTGACGAAGGAGCGGAAAAAGCTCCTCCCAGGATCGATAGAAAATACTGGAGAGCGACGTATGCAGGTTGCTGAGCTTGCTGATGGCCCGGCGCCATTACCATGTGAGCTGCCTGCATATCAAGACTTGACCTACGGTCCATCGCAATCAGAACGGAAGCCAGCATTCAGATTTCATGTTACAGAGTACCTTTAGTTAGATGAGTTATATTTTATCACGATAAGCATTAAAGTAGCGCATGTGTTCCCGAGAAGCCACTAGTGACATTCATCAAGCTATACAGTATAGATTAGGATCAGATTCGCCCGGAGTCATATCAAGATAGCTACAGCGTAAGCACATATAACAGGAAATAAATATATTCAAGTATGATATACCAGATATCTAAGGGAACTACTACGGGACAACTCAATCGCAAGTACTGTGGTTTCTAGCACGATGTTGAATCTAATGTTGCTTGAGAAGCCGCAAAAACCAGAATTGATACAACAGCAGCATCGAGCCCATAAAAAGGCTACAGAAACCAGCAATACTAGCTGTTACTATGGCCGCCACCGACCAATCACCGTCTTGAGCGGTGTACACATTTGTGAGGCTGGTTAAAAGAGCCATTAATGCGTTAAGTAATCCAGGGCTCTGATATATCAGCACATGTTTGTTCAGCTGTAGGACATACTGACAGAAAGATTCGATAGACAAGCCAGAACCAATTGTGCTTGAGGTTCCACCAAGCCCAAAGGATACCTAGAATGCCGACAATGCAAGACAAGCTTCCAATGTATAGCAAGGGTACATTGCGGACAGCACGTTGGATGACACGCCCAGCCTGATTGTGATCCAAAAGTCTGCTCCGACTGATAGACGTAAATGTTCCAGGAAATACAATAAAACCTGCAAGTAAAAGCCAGTTGGAAATTGAAGCAAGAAAGTTCCAACGAAGAGGTACTTCATGCGACTCCACAACCATTCTTTCGTAGCTTGATAGGGATTCAGCCGGAAGGGGTACCTGAGCAGCCTTCAAGGCAACATCTTCAAGTTCTTCAGCTTTGCTCCGAGTAGTATCCATTTCGAATGAGATGGGATGTTCGCATGGAAGTATTTCCATCGACATTGCTATTACAGGGCAAATACGCACGCTTTTATGTTCCTCTCATGGAGTGTCTGGTTTCGGCACCCCTCGTGACCTATCTTGCTAGCTGCTGCCTGTCGACAGGGGTAGGCGTGCCGGTTTTGCGATTGATACATCTATTATGAAGTATGCTAAATGGAAGCTCCTTTTCTAATTGACCAACTTCTGGCTGTCAACTGCCAATATGGAATCTACGGATATCTATGGTATCTTCATGGGAAGTGTCATCCTTTTTCTGCTCATCTCTTCTTTCTCGTATTCCATTGCTCAAGTAGTATACAACCATGTCCGTCGTTTCTTTCTCCGTCAAATCTATTTTTCCCTCCTGCCCCGGTGGCTTGGTGGATGTCTTCGAATGTCAAGATACTGCGGATTGCTGATGATTATTTATGTCAACGCCAATGTATGCCTGCTTGTCGTTGACATGAAAGATGGCTCTGACTTCACACGAAGACTTGGAAGAGCTGCATTGATAAACCTCGTCCCTCTTTGTGCGGGTGGCCGATTCAACCAAATCGCACATGTTCTTTCAAGTCGGCCAGATAACTATCTCACTTTGCATAAATGCATCGGTCTGGTTTTCATCATTGAAGCTTCTCTACACTCCATTCTCTCATGGCTGCGTGGCGATATTGATCTCAGAAGTTGGCCAGATAAAGCTGGTTTAGTTGTGAGTGTATTACATATCCTGTACCAAGTGGATGGTTTTTCCAAACCCTTGGCTCTTAGAAGCTTTAGTGGTACTAACAATTTGAAGGCTGCCAGCTCAGTTGGTGCACTCGTATTATTGTCAATTCCTGTTCTATGGAAATGGATGTACGAGCCTTTATCAATATTACACCTCGCTCTTTCAGTCACAATGATCACTAGTCTCTGGTTTCATCTACCATCAGCAAGCATAACACAGATCCCTAGGCTCTACCTTATTCTCGCAATATCGATCTTTGCGTTGATCAAGTTAATCTTCTTTTTGAAACTCCTTTTTCTCAACGTCTCAACCGAACTTATTTCTACCGCTACTATTCAGCAGGTTGGGGAGAATGGCATAGAAGTCCGGGTGACTATGCCGCGACCCCTGAGGTTTCGTGCCGGCCAGTTCGTGTTCTTAAGTATTCCACGACTTGCCTTGTTCCAATATCATCCTTTCCAAGTGGCCTGGGAGTACCTAAGTGACAAAAGTGATGGCGGACGACAGGTAATTGTGATTATCATCCAGCCTCGTCATGGTTTCACTAGTCGACTTCGTCTGGCGGTTCCTTTCAAAAGATACACAGCCCTTGTAGAAGGGCCATACGGAAACCCTACCAAACTTGATCAATACGGAACTGTTTTACTCTTCGCTACAGGGATTGGCATTGCGGGGCAACTGCCATATATGAATGAGCAACTACGATTGTATAGAGAATGGCGAACGAAAACCCGGAGACATGTGCTGTATTGGGAAATTGATGCCGAAGGTTTGGTCTCCTATGTTAAGGCTGATTCAAAACTTACACTTTGTAGAATATAGGTACTGGGTAAACGAATGGATCAACGAGATCCTGTCATGGAATATCGATTACGTTAGTATCACCCAGCCAGGTCGTTGACTGCAAGTCATATTAATCTTATCACAGGACATCCAATTATACATACGAGGAAGGTTTCTGGCCAAAGACGCTGAGAGAGGTATATCTGTGAAGAAAGGAGAAAAGCTTAAGCGACTTACATTGAACTATGACACTATGGATCCACAGAGCCTTCTAGGGGATGAGATACGAAGACGCAAGAGTGGAAGCCGTATGCTAGTGTCTCGTATGCACCTCCCTGCAAAAGCCTTGATGAAGCTGACATCTTTAGTTTGCACGGACCCTATCACGGCTCAAGCAGTGACTAAAATTGTTCGTCCATTGCTTGGAGACGACCTTGACTTGGTAGAGTTGGACTTTTGTCCTTGGCCAGAGTCAAGACGCCGTAAGTCGTCACCGACAGAAGAAAAAATATAAGATCGCCGCAACAGAGAAATGAATTAGACTCGTTTTGTGTGCTAAGTATTTCCAGTTCTTTCAAATTCATCTATCGAGCTCTGGTAGCCCAATATAATCGTTCAACTGTCTATTGTAATCAGATAACCCTTGGGGGCCTTAAAGTGATAAAATTTTAAATATATATAACCTTTAGCAGACATGATCCTTATTTTGCCAAGTCTAATTGACCTCCTTCGATCTGTTGTAGTCCTTTATGAAAAGCAATAACGGCTAGCTGTAGCCGGTCAATGACATATTCAACCTCTTCACAAAGGTATTCACCCAGCCGTCGGACATCTTGTAGGTAAGCGACTTCTGCACGGAGACGCCCAACTTCACGTGTTCTTTCCAAGATGGTCTCTTCGGGGGATTGTTGGTCAAAATTCTTGGTCGCTTCAAGTTTGTCCCGAGTAGCATCTAGCGAAACAGACTCGCCGTGAGCGTTTGCTATCTCTCTGTCGATTGGGCGCGGACTAGCAGGTCGATCCATGTTACCACGATTGAAGATGGGTATCAGCCTAGGAAGTAATGCCACCTTCATCCATTAATTATTTATTCATGGATATTAGCGTCACACGGCATGGGCTTAATGGATGCAAGTGGCACCCCTGTATTCGGTAGTACCAGGGTGCGCATTTCAGTCTTACCAGGGTATATGTTTTTGATCTCATGAGCAAAGCGTATCTTGGGAGCAATACTTAGGGTGCCATTGCCTAGAACGTATAATGTGTGGCAGCTAAAGCTTTCGGAGTCCTTATGTGCACAACACCTTGGAATCGCGTGGACATTCTCACTTATTTATTCCCTACCAATATGGATCCCCTTCGTTAGTACAAACCGTTCCAACTTGTACAAGAGGACTAATAGTCGCAGTGGATTTTGTGGTTCATGACACAATCCTTCAATTATATAGAGGATTTGATGTTCTAGCTGCATTGCTCGCTGTCATAGCTGCAATAGTAATGTCGTTCGACACTATTCCAGATCAGCAAAGAACCATTTTTAGCAATTTGGCAACAGGATTCCTAGGTACTGCTATTATCTCAAGCATTATCGCCTTAGCCTTTAACCAGATGGTGCTATTGAAATTCCAGGCCCATGGTCGCTTGGACAGCAATCAGCTGTGGATCCCAACGGGGTTAGTTGATGTCAGCATTGCTCACCTGATGTCTGGATTGATAGCCTGGTCTATCGACAGATATCCTCTCTGGGTTACTGCTCTACTTGGGGGTGAGGCGCTCATTCTCTTGCTGGGCGCGATGGTGCTGTCATCCAGAATGAGGGCGGGCATGTCAGGAATACAAGAACAAACTCTGAGCGAGAAATTAGTGGTATAAAGAGACAGACCGCTTCTGAAGAACATGCAATAACTATTATAATACAATTAGATTCCCATATACAGTAAGGTGCGGGTCCACAGTCAGTAGTCCACCATCGTAATTTTGTTGTAAGTGACCCAAAACAGACTAGATGTGGCGCACACCTCACTTACTGATGACGCTAGTATAGTCCCTGTCCTGTTCGCTCACTAACAGCATCCAGATCAGTATCAAAGAATATGAATGAATGTGGACTCTATCCAGGACCGGACCAAGCGATGATTATTAAGCAAGATAAATTCCAGGTTATTAAAGCGATCATAGGTTCATCTTAACACCGGCACCTGATTCCAGACCGCCGAGATACAATGAGGCTATTACGACTGAGAGATGGCGGGGTTCATTTCGACTCTGGCTGTGCATGGGTCTTGCGCCACGCTTAGTCCATTTTGGGACACTTTCCATAAAAGTATTGTAGTAAACTACTGACGGTGAACCCGCACCTTACTGTATCTTCTACTAGATTGATTTCTGTATGCGCTGCAATATCCTCTCTTAATCGTCCTAGGTGCCCCTGCAAGATCTACTGATGGATGTCGGATAAATGATTAATAAAAGTCTCAACTCGCCGGAACCTCTTTTTATTGGAACATAGTGGGCAATAGTAGATTTCCTTGGACCCGTAAATCCTGAAGTCTTCGGGACCTGACGAAATTGCATCGATCGATTTTGTCGCAAGTTGGCGCAGGATACGATCTGAGAGAGGCTGTGGCCATCGAGAGGCAACCTGCATTATTCCTGGCAGCTTCGTATGTCTAGGCATCTGCTGTATATCTATACCTGTATATAGGCCTCTTATTTCTGATGAGCTGCTAGGAATACCCGTTACCTTACTGAGCTTGTCTACAGTTGCTGGGCCCTGGGGTGATTGTTCCAGCGTCCTCGGAATCTCAGGTATTTTGTCTGGAAGGATGCGCTCAACGGAGCTCCTCTCCCCGGCCGCCAGAGAATGCCGAGAATTCCGGATTATTTGGGTCCTATTGGGAGGCGACTTGGTAGTTGTCGGCGTAATGCTAGGGCTGGTTGTGGGGAAGCTCGATGTTGTGAGCGTTGTTGTGCTTCTAGATGTAAGCCTAGCGGCAACCGCTTGAGCTTCGCTCTGTTCATCTATGGGCCAAGGTTAATGACTCACACATAAAGGTAAACAGCAGGTAGACTATACCTAATTTTAAACCAAAACTTCTCAATTCCCAAAGACTTTCTGCTTCAACCCACTGCGTGTCAAAACTTTCTGAGGAATTGGGATCTGATACATAGTATGCAATAGGGAACTTGCGCTGATGGGAAAATGGCTCGCCGTTCCCAAATCCGTCTCGCCACTGGAACTCGCTGGAATCCAGATCATAAGTCACACAGTTTGGAGTGTTTTTGGAAAGACCCAGACTATCAATAGTCCCTAAGATACCAACGCGATGTAAGTCATTTAGAGGAAGCAGGAGCGCTGCAAGCCAACGACAAGACTGCGCATGGCATATTAGGTAAAGATTCCCAGCCTCAAGGTAAGGCGCATCCTTCAAGGCGTTCTTGTTCTGGTAATCCAATCCTATAGCGAGTTGAATCTTCAGCTGGTTAATGTAACGTTGTGTATCGGCTAAATCCTTCAGCTGTGGGGATCTCTTAGTTCGGGGTTGACTGTAGCGACGCCTTCGCGCATATGGCGATTGCTCTTGGGGCGATGTAGAGCGCTTCCTCTTTGATGCTACGTTGAGAGAGTCTTTAGTAGCTCGCTCCGTATGTTTCTCATTCCTCCCTTCTGCAGTCGTTCGAGGTATAACATTCATTATACTTGGAAGAGCTAGTAATGATGAAGAGGGTAGAAGGCAGAAAAAGATGTTAAGATGGTGGAAAAGATGATGGACAAGATGAAAGGGCCAGTTGATGGCGGGTCGTCGTAACTTTATACCTGAACCGAGATGCTGAGCTAAGCACCTTGTCTGGGAGCGCACCCACCATGCCACGTCTGAGGTGCAGGTTTCGAACCCCTTCATTATTGAGGAGCCAAAATCAGATCCCAGCAATTGTTTGGCGCGACACATGTCGGGTCCTGCAGGACATTTTCCTGCCCGTCAGATATATAATCTGACCTTGGTTACCAAACCCTCAGTTCGACAAGCCACCATGTTATTCCTTCCCACCTTTCTCGTTCTTGCACTTTCCAAAGATACGCGAGCTCAACTGGCACCGAGAGAAGTTGTCGATATAACTATCGAAGCGGGTGACTTAGTCGGTACTGGTGTAATCGAGTTCAAGTCGCCCGGCCAAGAAGGTGAGAGAGCCTCTATATCAGCTTCTACAAGCAGCGATACTCTGTGCACCTCAACAGCGACATGTCAGACAAGCGTATCTACTACCTCTTTAAGCCAGGACAAGTCGCCTGTGCCAACTTCATTTACTGTTCCTTTTCCTCTCATCCCTACTACTAGCTACTCATTCTTGAATGGCTCTACAAGAGCCACACCAACTCCGAGACCCAGTGCTCCTGTAGTATCCGATGCAATGACCCTTCGTCAAGCAGCTTATGCTTACCTTATTAGCTTAGTTTTGATGGAAGGCTTTTTCTTCTTATTTTAGTTTAGTGGCAGGACCATACTCTTAGATAGTTCTCGTTATAGTCAAATCATTTATTTAAGGCACTTATGTCGGCCACCTTTATCACATAACCGATTCAAAGAAGCTTTGATGAGAGTAATTATCTTGCACAATGCCAGAGCGATATGCACCCAAGTATCCGGATAACGATTGACATCCTCATAACCGGACTCTTTGGTGCCTATGGCAAGTATCTTATTGTAATTACTGAGGTTGATTGAACCATCAGAAACGCTCCGTAAGTGCGTCTCGACATCGTTTTTCTCGCTTTTTGTAGTCTAGTATGGCAGGACCATAGTCATAGATAGTTCTCATTGTAGTAGAATCATTCATTCCATACTATTACCATTTCAAATTGATGCTGTCATGAACACCTCCATTTCTCACATCACATTATGCACTTAATAGCTCCCAAATCACTTCTTTCAATCTATGAAAATAGCAAATAAACTACATATTGAACCTGAGCTTAAGGTGCCGAGGGACCTGCCCTGTAACCTTTCCCCTGAACCTTAGTACCTACCCCTCTACAAGTAACTTAGATTCCATGTAGTCTTGGTATCTCTTGCGATCCTCCCTGTCTTCTGCCATAGCCAGTACAAGAGTTTCCATTGCAGCGATCAGCCGCTCTGGACCGCTTGCGATTTGAGGCTGAGCGCCAGAGGATCTCGTCTGAGGCGCCCTTCTGGTAGCAGCCTCTTCATATCCAATTGACCCCATGTTACCATGAAATGGTAGAGCCTTGGGTAAATGGCTATCGATCTCATAATATTTGATTCTGGGTGCTGGAAAAATAAGGGGTCGGGCACGCAGGTGATTATAAGGATCCGGGTAAGGTGTATAGGCCCATGGTGGCTCCACGCCGACCTCTTTATAGAACTTTTCTATCTGAGAATCGGCATCTTTCACCAACTTCCGCAGAGCCGTTCTATGGATAATTTTTGCTTTTGAAGGATCGCTGTCTTGTTTCAATGCGATCTGTATCCAGGTGTCGGGAAATCTGCCTTCGGAGGGCTTGCCTGACTTCTTGGCGCCGATGCATAGGATTCCATCATATGTGGCTGGAGTGATGGAGGGGTTTGAACCGGTAACGGCGTCAATATGTGTGGAGACATCATTCCCATCGCCTTTGTAGTAGTTTAGAGCTTTAGTTGAAATCTCGTGGCCGAGATCCCCTAGTGAAAAGACCCCAAAAATCGATGCTCCGGGGGACTGAATGAAAAATATGACGTCGTCGGTCAAATATTGCTTCTGGAATCTGTTCCATCGCCGCGACGATCGGTAACCGAGTATTATGCCTTCATTGTTATCAGCATCCAACATATCTGTAACTGGGTTGGTTTCTTCCTCAGCGCCTTTAGCATCCGTCATATTTGCATCCGAGCCGTCTTCCTCGTTGGAGGGAGGGTCGCTTTGGTTTATTTCATCCAGCTTTTCACGAATGGCTTGTACCATAACTTCTGACCAATTTCTTGGCCATTGAAAGATTCGCTGTCCGCAAGTATTCTCACATTGGCCCTTGAAAACCGAAAGCTGCTTCTCAGCTTCTTTCGCGCCCTGCGTTTCCCGAATCTGGATCACGTGTACCTGCGCCTCTTTTAATCCCTGTAAAACATCTCTGTCTACCTGGTAATAGTCCCCAGAAATCCCGGCCACAGCGTTTAGATTCCTGATCTTGTTGTTGGCTTTTCGGATTCCGTCGTTAAATACTGGCAGGCCCTTTGTAAAGTCTGAAAAATATATTTGGATGTGTTTGGAAACCTTTTCATGGACTTTCTTCACTGCATCAGGAACATCAGGTATGGACACACCATCGTCCCCAGGGTCTGATTCTTCATCATCTTCGGGTTCTGTATCACCTGTTGCGAATGCCCCAGGCCCGAAGACGCCCTTGTGTTCTTTGAAGATTTGAGACCCTGTAGGCGGCTGATATCGTTCCTGATTCTTATTAAGTAGCTTATCTGCAGCATCATTGACCTCTGTTGCGTGTCTCAGTGATAAATAAAGGATGAGGTTCGGCACCACTCACCTTTGGCACATTTCTGGGCTTCTTTATCCTTATTCTTGTCTGGGTGTACCAAGTACAGAATTCTACGTTTCCGCTGTCTAAGCTCAGGAAGCGTGATCGCCTCGTCTATACCTAACACGTCGTATTCATTACCTCCTGCTGCTAGAACGTTAAGTATACGTTCTATTTCTTCGCGTGCCTCCCTTTTTGGCGCTTCTCTCTTCTGTATACACAAGTCAAATGCATGTTCAACGAAGAACTCAATGACTTCTTTTTTGCCAATCTCTTGGGCAATGGCGGTTGTGTTTGGTCTCTTTCCTTGTGTTATCTTGTTGGAAACGATGTTGCTGATCGTCGCAATCTGCTTTTCTGAGCTGAGAATGTCACGGTAGGTCTCAACATCTCCCGCAGCTGCATCTTTTAACTCATTTTCCATCCAGGAATTAACAATTTCTTTACGAGCCGCAATAATCGGATTTTGAAGAGAGGCATCCTGTAAAACCATCAATGAACCGCCATAAGGTATTAAGCTCAGTTGAGGGTTCTGGTGATGACTGTCGCTTGCTGAGGCATCTGTGACAGTTGGGGGTCGATACCCCCGGGCCCCAATGGTATGAGCTGCCATCTGTACCGCAGTAGATATGAAGAGGTACAGGATTTAGCACTGACTAGTGACTATATGTATAGCTTCATCACTCGTCGGCATATCTGATTTCGAGGCCTCTTGTCAGGGGTGTCTGCTTTTGACCCACCCTTTTTGTGGTAGGTGAGCAAGGGTATCCGGTTTAATCCTCGAACGGCCTCTTTTCGAAAGCCCTTCTGAGACTATTGAGTATGGATATATAGAAGGAAGTCCGCTGTAAGTACTTAAAATTGATCTTTATAACTTTTTAAGAAAAAAATAATGAGAGAAAAAGGAATGCCTCCTGTAGGTTACTTTACTGTTTGCTTCTAAACCTATCTAACAAACCTAGGCGCTACCAAATGAATCGCAAGTAGTTGCAAGGTCAACTAATGATGCCTACACATCGTGCATGTCAAATGCATATCATGCACTGAAAAATAGATTCAGCCAGATACTGCAGAAAAATGATTCACTAACGAAGAATCAAAGGTCTTTGCGACGGCAACTCGATCAAGCTCAGCGAGAGAACACTAAGATTCGTAACGAGCGGCAGCGTTTGCAAGTGAACTACGATAAACTAGCCAAAGATATAGGAAGGATGTCAATGGAAAAGTCCCAGGTGTATGCGCAACTTGAACATGAAAGGTTCCAAAGAGAGCTTGGAGACCTCGTTCTCGATCAATACAAAGACGAGATTATAGAGCGCAATGAAGTAATTGAACGAGAGGTATTCAAGAAGGAGCTGAGCGACTTGCTCTTAGAGCAGTACCGCGGTGAGATCGAAGAGCAGAAGAAGGCTCTGAGGGAGAACGAGCTCCGCATTGCATCATGTCATCGTCAAATGTTTGCATTCAGCTCCCAAGTCTCGTATTGGAGGCAAAGGGTCAATTTGGGAGAGAACCAGATCTGCAAGCTGACTTCCGAGCTTGAGCATAGCAAAGGAGAAATGCATAGGCAAAACACATTGATCGCGAAGCTCGAGAAGGAGCGAAGTGAGGCTATGGACGGGTGTTCTTTTTTTCAGGCAGAGATCAGAAAGCTCAAAGCTACATACCACGAGCTGGAAATGCGGGTCGATGCATTGGGCGCCACGGATGTCACCGAGGCTGATGAGCCAAGAAAGAGACGTAACACGAAAAAAAGGCGCAGACGGCATACTAGCCAGTAGAATTGCGTTCTTTTGATAGTTCAGAGGTCTAATTTCATTCTTGCATTCGTCATATAGTACAACTTCAGTGAAAGGTAGTACACACAGGGATACTGTCTAGATTAAGTGGTAGGGTGCTGTAAGTTGACCCCCCGGCTAGCTGTGGGGCTTTGCACTCAACGGCTCAAGGGTGCCGAAAACAGCCCCCGTCAAAATCTATGGAAACTTGATATAGTCCACATTCATCTCTGTTCCCTGGGAATCGTGAAAGCAAAATGAAACCACCGAGGCCACCAACCCCTGGACTAGCTCTTCCTCACCGGGCAGAGATCAATTCATCTGACTCTCAGACACAAATCATGGACTTTTGGTCCAGGTTACATTCTCGAACACCGAGACTTGTCACGTCAATATTTCCTACAAACCTTCATTTCCTTCTTCTTACAGACGATGCTTGTTACCCAAAGCCATTCATTATTTCTCAAAGCTATGACATAGCTGCTCGGCAATGCCAGTCACAGGTTGAAACCATAGTGAGCCAATGCAACCTAAGCAATACCAAATTCCGCGACACAGACTTTGATATCGAAGGTGACTTTGCTACAAGCCAGCATAATTACCTCTTCGATCTCACGACATGCATTGAGCAAACTAGCAGACGTGGCAAAGATCCCTTCGTAAAGGGTTCGCCACGGTCGTCACGCCGGTACTCCAGCCATAGCAATAAAGACGATGACACATCTCTCCCCGGCTCAGTTCATCGCATTTCTTGGATTTTTGAAAATCCACAATTCACTGTAAGTGGATTCTCAAGCTCAGATATTCAGCAGGGAAATAGCGGTGACTGTTGGTGGCTTGCTGCGTTAGGCACTATTGCTCATCGGGAGGATTTGATGAACAAGATCTGTGTAGCGCGAAACGAAGAGGTAGGGGTCTATGGCTTCGTATTCCACAGAGATGGAGCCTGGATCTCAACAGTAGTTGATGATAATCTTTACCTGAAAGAGCCGGATTTTGACAAGGAGACATATGATGCTACGGGCAGTAAAGCGAGACATCACCGCAAACAGAAACAGTCCAACTCAGAAGCTCTCTTCTTTGCCAAGTGTATAGATCCAAATGAGACCTGGCTTCCGTTGCTTGAGAAGGCAGTGGGTTACTTCCCTCTTGACTGGTATGTACTCAGCTAATGCCGAAGATAGTTCGCCAAAGTCCACGGCGATTACCAAGCTCTAGACGGAGGATGGGCTGGCATTGCAATGGAGGATCTCACTGGCGGTGTCGCTACACTTATTGCGACCAATAGTATTCTCGATAAAGAACGACTCTGGCGTGAGCTCCTCTCTTGCGGTATCATAGGTGGAGAATTTCTTTTCACATTGTCGAGTGGCCCTTGCTTTAAGCACCGAAATGGAATTGTCTTGAGCCATACCTACTCTATCCTCGAGGCTATCGAGTTGAAGAAGGAGCATGGCGGCATGACTCGCTTGGTCAAGATTAGGTTAGTGCTGTTCGGCTGGCTGCTTGGCATTTTGCTGTCTCTCACCTACTCCTTCTCTTGTGAATAAATGCACGTGCTGACATATGCGAAGGAACCCCTGGGGCCAAAGGTCAGATACTGGCTATGGCGAGTGGTGTGGTGCATGGGCGGATGGTTCTAGGGAATGGAATACCTATACAATAAATGCACTTCAACACGAGTTTGGTGATAATGGCGTCTTCTGGATGACTTACGAAGATGCTATGGAGAATTTTGATTATATGTATAGGACTCGACTTCTACATCACGGGTGGACTATGGCACAGAAGTGGATGAGTACTCTTGTGCCATGGCTGCCAGGATTTCTAAAGAAAAAGTTCATTATCGATCTCAAAGACAAGAGCACCGTAATTATTGTTCTATCTCAGGTATGTTTTGGCCACTTTGTTGATTTACACGACTAAAAGCTCGGCAGCTAGATGATCGGTACTTTCCAGGGCTTCAAGGGGAGTACGACTTTACCCTTCATTTCCTCCTGCGGCCTATTATCTCCAAGATCGATATTTGTCGAGTTTCTCCATGTCATCTTGGCGACGGTCGATCGATTAACTGTGAACTCACCCTGGAGACAGGAACATACGAGGTTATCCCAAAAATCATCGCTGAAAGGAATGGCCTCGGCCCTGTGGAGGAAACAGTTAAACTAGCTGCAAGTAGGAATCCGCAGAAGTTACGCCAAGTTGGGTTGCAGTACGATCTTGGATATGCCAAAGAAGGAGTCATAGACCCCAGCCAGCAACTGGAACAGCCTCCTCCCAATGACCTAAGAGCAAAGAGCGCCAACTTGAGGTCTAACTTTTCTCAAGATAAGAGTCTGGAACATTGGAGTCCAGTCTGTGTTATTAGCTTGCGAGTCTATGCTGAGCATCCCAACTTTGTTATCAATGTTATATAGCCAATACTCAAACAGCACAACATCTGAGCTAGAAACACAGTATATACACCTCCAATATAATCCTGGTTATTAAGAGTTTTCAGACCTAACTTGCAACATCTAATTAGCAGCTAACTATGTAATTAATTGCTGCCTATAAGGGGCTTTAGGCTGCTAACACAGGTGATAAGTACATGATATTCTTTTTTACTTCATAAGCTTCTACCAAAAAGGCTTCCACAATGTTGATTGGCAGCTTTAGAGGCAGAAGGACAAGAGGTCTTTTATGAATTATTATATCCCATCAACTTAACATATCTCGTAGAGATATCATGGGCTTCAAAGAATTAAACTAATGCCAAATCTGTGTTTTAAAAAACTTTTTTTTATATAAGATATATACTCTATAGAACTATCACGGTCAGATACTGGCCCGGCCTTTCTGACTCCCTATGCCCGCTACGTCGACCCTCAGACTTAAAGTTCAACATTTATTACATTAAACCCCTCCAATAATCATAGCTAAAGCACTCATGGCGAGAAAATCCAGGCTGTCCGCTACCTATTACATTTAATTAGAAAAGGCTTGGGTAAAGTCAAAGATTCTTACATTCATGCCACAAAGTATCCATATCCTTCATGCATGAGGATTTTGGGATATCTATGCTTGAGTGAGGCCTTTTGCATGTTGACCGCGATCTGATGGAAAAGTTATGCCAGATTCCGTCCCTGAGGTAATTGCGTTCCACGGTTGTGTTCCCCTTCAACGGACCTGACTTCTCTACAAAGAGACAAAACTGGGATGATAAACCCTGGAAGGACTGCAAGGGTAGAGGTTGCCCGATAGGTAGGTAGATACAGCCAACAAGAGGTGCATCACCAGATCGCTTTTCTATTTTTGGCTGTCCCATCCCAACTGGATTCATTCCAGCAGGATCAACTGCATCAGGTAGAGGAGTGCTTGTAGTAGAAATAACGGTACGGATGCAAAATAGAATAAAGAACCAGCTATAAAACTCCATTTTGCTGAGTTTATCCAATGACTCCTCTTGTATGCCATAGGGATCTGGTGTAGTCTTATACTGACTTACTAATGGTGTGGATCCATCGCGCTGGGGTGCTGAAATAGGTTACCCAGCACACCCAAGGTGCCTGAAGCAGGCCCCCCACCCCCCTCGCAGAGCCAAAACTGTCTACCCTGGATATATCGGGGGTCTCGTTTCAACGCCGCTTTTCAGAAGAATCAGCAGCACTCAATTCACGGCATTTTTCTGATCTTAAGTGAGGTAAAATCCTCAGAATTCTGTATCAATGAATAAGCTCCACTGCAAAAGATCTGTTCTCTCTCTACAATTGTCAACCTCATGCTGCTACTTGCTTTCAATATTGCCGTTTTCTTTGCAAAGCTGGCCTTTGCAAAGAAACAGCCTGATGATCTCACCACTGGCCCAACCACACCGGCTCATATACTTGTTGGGTTTCCCAAGCACATATCTGTCGCCAATAGGGTGCAAGGTTTCCCATTCTCGATTGACAAGGAAGTTGCTGGCATACCTTCGTGGATGACTCTTAGCTATCCAAACTTGCTTTATGCTGTTGACGAGTCGTCAAATGCCCTTACACTCTTCGAAATCAACCTCGTAAGTAATGAGATTACAGCAAAAAGTTCAAAAGAAGGTAGCTCCGGCGTCGTCCATTTACAGTTTAATACTGATAATACCCGACTTGTCGGCTGTGCATACGGTAATGGTACCATTGACATCTGGAACACTACAAACGGCAGTCTAGGACTTGTCAAAACCATTCCCTCACCAGGGCAGCCAGGTCCTGATAAAGAACGACAAGCAAGCCCTCACCCCCACCAGGCAAACCTTGATCCAACTGGCCGCTTCTTCATCATTAATGATCTTGGTACAGACTCTATAGTGGTTCTTGACTCCAATGATGATGCTTTTCAGATAGTGAATATCATTCACATCTCGCCCCAGGGTTGCGGCCCTCGACATGGCGTTTTCTATCCCCAAGGAGCATTCAGAGCGACCCATTATATTCTTGTCTGCGAGATCAGTAACAAGGTCCTTGTCTATACGGTATCATACCGCGAGAACTACCTTGATTTCACACAAATCCAAAGTACTTCGACATTTGGTCCTGGATTACCACCCGCCAACTCATCCAGTGCTGCTGCTGGGGCAATCGTGTTAGCGGCAGATAATAGGCATCTGTACGTTTCTAATCGACAAACAGGGAACTCTACGGACTCCGTTTCCCATTTCCAGATTGATCACTCAAACTCTACCTTCCTTTCACTCCAGTTTGTAGGCTCTGCTTCTACATATGGGATTTCCCCGCGTATGATGAGCTTCAGCCATGAGGATCGATACCTGCTCATCGCCAACCAAGCTGGAGGTTTTGGTCTCGTGGCTCTTGAACGGCGGTTGGATGGCACACTCGAGGCAGAGAATCCCATTTCTGTGTTGGGAGCACCCGACTTTACACCCCAGTTTATCCAGCAGATCACTTAAAATGCATGCGAGAAGCAGAGGCAGCCCCTATTTACTTAGACTTGGTATGGTATCAGTATGGTGAAAGGAAGGAATAGTGTGGTTTCATAATAAAGAACTTGTACTTAAGGCCTGATCGAGTTATCTACTTCTGCCCCAGTAGTGCTAAGCTATAACTTATTACAAGACAGTTCCATCCCATCTTAACAGGGCCAAATAAATTGGCGTACTCTCCTTTGCTATCACCTCCTCGTGCGTCTCCTTGAGGAACATCTCGTAGAGTTGTCTCTCATCAGCAGCTTTTCCACTACTATCGATGTAAGTGAACCCCCTTGGCCGCTGGTTGTCTGACCCTAGGATCTGTGCATGGTACTCGCTTTCATGTACCTCTACCAACTCGGCCTTTTCGTCTGTGGCAGAACTAAACTTGTATACTGCTGTCCCGAGGTTGGCGAAGCAGGATGAAATTTTTAATTCCCATTCCCCGTTGTTCGACTCCAACTGGGTTCTGTAATGCCCAGTAAGCGTGTTGATCTTGCCGCCATGGGTAACAATGAGGACTTTAACACTTCGCTCTTTGGATTTGGCGATCGTTTGGACCAAGTCGCGAATTTGAATCCGAAGCCTCTTGTCCTGCTCCTCGATCTCGTCAAGGGGCTTGTATATTTCGATGGCGGATAATCGCTTCTGCAGGTCATTCCAGTCCTCCCACTGGTCCTCTGGTGTTTCCACAGTCAGATCAACAACTTCTTCACCCAATAAAGTCCATTCAGCTAAGCCTCCCGCAAGATCAACGGTAGAAGCATATCGCTTGCCGCCTTCCACATATGTTATTGGAGGGATATCCTGTATCCATTTGGTATTTTCAGCAAGGCCGAAGAGGCATACAATTCGAGCCTTGTTTGTCTGCGCCAATCCCTTTGCGGTCAGAATGGATCTGGTCAACGGGGAACAAAGTATGAGATCCAAAGAATCTAAGAACTCTGGATGTTCATCCACGTAACGCCGCAGTTCTTCTTTTCCATGTCGTGTGAGGTTATCTGGCAGAAAGTCTCCATGTTTAATAACATTTCTAGAATGGAGAAATTCGGAAAAGGTTTTATCGTTCAGTGTGAAAATATCGGTTCCATGATGGCTGAGACCGATGTTGGAATTGGCGTGGCCGTGACGAGCTACATAGATTAAGTGGCTGTCCATATCGTTGACAAAATAGCGCAAGATAAAATAATTCAGGGTAACAAGAGTTGCAAATTCCCTTGATGGAAGGGGTCACTCTCTCAACTTATATATGCGAAAGGTTCGAACAAGCTCCCGTGAGCGTGTTGTTCTTAGTGCTGCGCCAAACCCAAGTTCAGCCAAAGCGTGCCGCCGTCTATTTCTCAGAACAAATTTTCTCACGACCAAAATAGAATAACTACAAAATCAAAGGAAGAATTTGCATTTGGTACAAGGAGATGAAATTGTGAAAACCACTACGTCGTTATTATCTCAAACAGCGCCGGGCTTGCTTCATTTCTGTAGCTCTACTTTCTACTGCCATGTCTCTTGCATTGCTTTAATAAGCACTCTAAATTCAAATCCTATTTACATGGCTTCCACAACTACCTATTCTCTTGAGCTGCAGATCTCAAACGTGTCGAGCAAGGGGTGTACCCTCCAAAGACCCAGCGTCGGTCTTTTGGGCAGGAATGATATTGTACATCGCTAGAGCATATCAGCCTCATAGTCATCATTTATTGATGCTCAGGGAACTCACACATTCTGGTCTTCTCATCTCGATAGCATTTTGATACACTCCATCCGGAACTTTGGATTATGCGCTGAAATTCCGACATTGTGTACTTGTAGCATGCAAACCAGGAAAATTCAGTTCTGGGTTGTGCTAAAGGGATACAATGAAACTTGTGACACTGAGGCGAAGCAGTTGTCTTGCACTTAAGTGTCCATCTTGTATCATCAAATTCTTTCCACCCTAAAAGCTCGTTCGCCTTATCCCAGCCACCTCTCATGAACTCAGTGAATTCAGGTGTGTGATAAGAACTCTCCAACTCTTTTTCCCTCATTGGCTCATGCTGGCCAAGAATGAGCCGATCGACAACCTGGCTCCAGTCTCGGAGGATTTGGAGCACCTTTTCAGGTTCAAAGTTAGTCAATGTGGAGGAGCATGAGATACCGACTTTCTCCCCTGGCATATCCATCGCCAATCTCCTTGCGTCTTCGAATCTTCCGTGGAGTCCAAAGCAATTTATATAATTATATCGCTTGCTTAAGCCCCAGACATGGCTCTCAAGTGAAGCCCTGTTGACGTCGACCGCGAAATAACGACAAACCTTCTCTGCTTTCTCGAGCTCATTAAATATCGGCAGCAACTTTTCAGAATTCCTTCTTGAGTTAGCACTTGTCTATTTGGTAGAAATAAGACCCAATAGTGTACCCAGAGCCCAGGTCGAATATGGTGAGTTCAGCCAATGGGCAAAGCTGTTGAGCAAGCTCGAAGGCTTGCTCTCTCAAGATCTTTTTCTCACCAATGGATTGGGGAGATGTGTCGCCCCCTGGCCAAGGTGAGTCGATATAGCAGACCGCTTTGCTGAGATATTTTCCAAGGCGTATAGACTCGTTCAACTCCTTCTCTATGCTTTGTGGCATGGCCCCCCCTCCAATATCCCGTACTTGTCCAGGCGATAAATTGCCCAGGCAGGTAACTAGGCCTGTAGCAAGTTGGCGCTGATTCTCAAACATGGCAGAATATTCGTCAAAAGGGCTATTGTATCTCCTCTTCATGAGCATAGCACGTGGCGTCAATCATAGAAGGACTTACCTACGGTAGAGTACAAGTTCGTTCGGATGATCTACTAAGTGGCAACTGAAGACTAGTGGGTGTTAGGTCGGAAATGAACTTCTACTTGTAGCAAAAGGAGACAAAGGATAATACTGTTATGATGAAACGTCATACCAATATCATGCAGGTCGATTGAGCAAGGACAGCAACACAGTATGTCAGAAATAATACTCATTGTAGTCCAGGGTGCATGCGTAGTGAACAACATTCAAGTCTGGACTACCTGTCTAGAATTCTTAACTGCACTCATATAAGCCAATCCTTTCTCAAGTATTTCTCTACACGCATCCATCTCGGGTAGGTCGTCTTTTGGAGTAAGCTTGGAAGGCCATGGCAGTTCCTGGAGGGGTGACTTGTTGGTATTTTGACCTAGCATGAAGACGTCAGCATCCGCATACGTTACAGTGCAGCCCTCAACTAACCCGCTGGTAGATACGTAACCGTAGCGTATTGTTGTACCATATAGGTGATGCTTTGCGGCCTTTTGCAGGAAACTTTGGCTGGGTCTGTGGTGGACGGCATCATGCAATGTAGCAAAACCTCCAAGGTTGGTTTGTCATGTAATTGTTGCTGAAATGAGATGACGTGCACGATACTGAGTCCCCTCAAATACTCACGAGCAGAGCCTCTTTCCGACGACAATCACTTGAAATCACCCTGACGCTTTGCTGTCGGTAGATCAATTCATAGTGATATACATGCAGTGGCTTGCATTGTTTATGTAGTACAGATCACACCGCGTAAAAATACAGGCATAATTTGATGAGTTATCACCTGCAGCCACCAGCCCTCCGGTGACTGTGTCCCTCAAACGTATCTCAACCTCCAATTCACCACTCTAACACTGACCCCATCCTTGGCATTCATTCGGCTGTACTATGGTATATCCAGAATCCTGGCTTAGGCGGTGAAGTATTTCTTTACATCTCGAAAGAGAATGCTCCTTTGCTCCTCAGGGATACTATCCATAAACTGGTCCCATCTGACACTGAGTTCCATAAACTGCTGCACTTTGTCCCTTCGAAAAATATCTTCCTCCACCTTCTTTTCTTGATCTCCATCGGGCAAGGGATGGGCTGGCCGAGATATAGAATTCGTGAATTCCGTACCAACACAGAGTCCTGCATTTGTTTTCAGATCATGCGGTGTCTGTAGTTGGGAATAATGCTGATTTGGAAAAGTATCAACTTCTCTTCCCATAGAAAAATTCGATGTTGGCGTATTCAAGGTATATTGCTTCGGGTCTGGTGGTTGTCGTATCGAATATACGGATACGGTGATTTGTATTTGTTCTCAGGGAGGTTGACCCCAACAGCGGGAGTCTGAAAGTTCTGGTTAGACACATTCACCTGAGGGCTATATAGATATGTGCCAGTTCCCGCCATCAGTGAGTAAATTTCTTGCACATTAGCTAGGGGATCTGGGTTCGATGAGGAAGAGAGCTGCTGGTTAGTGGTAGGGAAGCACCAATGATGACTAGTTTTAAACCATTAACGTTAGGCCAAACTAAATAAGCATTAAGAAAAAACTGACTCAAGTTCTGTGTATCTTTCCCAAGACTGCTATCTCAGCTTTATACTCAATAACGGTTTATAAGTACTTACATAGTGACACACATGGCATTTCAACTTAGAGCTTGGCATCTTACTGTTGACCTAGGACCTAGGGAGGGCGCGAGGATTGTCTGCTCAATGAAACATGTAGCAGAGTGCTCGATGTGATGAGGAGGGTCCTATTTATAGACGTGAGGTCGGTTGCTTGATTCCAGCAGGCTAGAAATTTTAATGTGCATTGTCTCTTCTGTAGCCAAAGGCTCATTTAGACCTTCCAGCAGTACCTTGGTCAGCAGACATCTGACTCAACAATGGAAGGTACCAGGTCCCCGACGTACCTCATCCGCCACGTCAGCGTCACTTTGAAACCACATTGTGCAGGGCAGATACACAATAGGTAATTGAATAACGTTACGGGTGTACTGTATCGCTAAGAACTTGCAGTGGTTATGAATAGTAAAATGCAATACTGATGAAAAATAAAAACATATTTTATAATACTTGAGTGATTCAATCAAGGCATTAAGTCTATGGCTTCTTGCAAACGACGGCGACGCGTGTCGTGTAAGGCTTGACAGTTGTCTTCTTCAACTCATCGCGCAAACCTGCAGCGAACATGTGACATCTATCCTCTCTCCAGCCCGAGTTCTTAACGGCTGGACGAAAGATGGACCCTTCGATGTCACAAACACATTCCAACCAAGCTAGCCGTCCTATCTCCCCCTGCTTCTGCCAATGTTCAATCGGTACCTGCAATAACCCATACTTAGTTGTCGTTAAGGTTCTCTGCACGCTAGAAACTTACATCGTAGGTATATTCCTTGATGTCACTGAAACCAGCAGCTCGTAGCGAACTAAGCAGTATTCCAGATTCGATAACGTCGAATCGCGCCCCTCGCTCTGCACCTGCCTTTCGAAACAGGTCTCCCCATTCCTTCATAAAACTATCCTCCGGAAGCTCCGCCTTTGCTTTGAACTCAATGGTCCGTTCATGGAACTCTGCAACGCCTCCAGGTTTCAAGACATCAAAGATCTCTCTTGCAAATTCGACCCAGTTGTTGATCCTCCCTTTGAGTTCGCGGAGATGTACAAAATCTTGTGAAGACTTTTTAAAGGTTTGAAGATCGAGGCTCTTCACAACTTGACTGCACGAATGTTAGCGTTGATTGGGCGTGAGACATATATGTAGCCTCACAAACACAGATTAGGCGGGACGTAATTAGGCGCTAAGGGCGTCAGATCAATACTCGTAACTTCAACCCCAGGATGCTCGTCTGCAAAATCTCTTGGATTGAGTTAGCTACAATACCATTTGAATCGGATCAAGAGAACATACAGAGCCCAACGACCTAAATGACCATGTTGGCATACTTCTCAGATCACGAAGAGGGTCATACAATACCACTTGCTGTTCCAATATCAAGCACGCGCTTGTAGCTTCTATTAGCTAGGTAACCAGCGAAAGTAGTAGAAGGGAGACTGACCCGATAGGTAGAAGGAATCGATGTTTTGCAAATCTTAAATAATCTTGAATAAATGTCGTGACTGCCATACCGAGTCAACATGGGAAATTTAATGAGGATGCGCACTAACCATAGGTCCCAAACCAAAACCCTCTGGTCATCATGTGGCTGCCTGAATGATCGACTCAGCAAAGGTCGCTCAGGGTAAAACGCCTCCCTTACCATTCATTGATCGGATATTTCCGTTTCCATAGGGTCTCGAGTTTGATGTCTCCGGATCGGATCGTCTCCAAGGAACATATGCTCTCATCGTCTCCAATACCATCATCTATGAGGCCTTCATCGACGGGATCATTGTCTGTTATACTGCTGTCTCTGGTGCTGTCGGCTGTCGTGGGATTTGTTGCGATATCGCCGTGGATGGTGTTGTCATCTGCAATCACATCATCGAGTATCCTCTCAGGCTTGTTCTTCTTGGCTCTAATATCGAGAATTCCGCATATATCATTCCGAATTTGTTCGGTCGAATGAAGTGTCCCACGGTCGTAATGGGTGCCCGTGTCTTCGCGTCCCAGCGCGTCTGAATGGGATCGTTTGCGACTGATGCCGTGGGCAACTGACAAGATCGAAGGCTGGGCCGGTAGGAGCATCGCGGCGAGGTGAGACAGAAGAATGTCCAGGAAGAGGCCCAAAAATAAAGTGATCAAGAAAGTCAGTTGTTGAAGAGACGTTCGAAATGGGGTAGTACAGAAGATGCCATTGAAAGGTGCATTTATGCTTCTCATGGCCGAGAATTGTAAAAGAAATTAAATTATCAGGTACTCTTAGTTGAACAACAGCGCGACATACCGATCGTCCAGGAAAGCCACACGGTTCAGACGGGCTGAACACGCTAATAGCGTCGGCCGCTTGTATTGCAATTAGAGCGGGCAGTTCCGATTCCGGCATCGTGTATGATACTTCTACCTGACCCTGACTAACTGGTCTCAGCAGAACCGTTGGCGAGCCGGCCGGACCATGCAAGGGAGTGCCTCTCGACAGCATCATCGTGGTGAAGAGATCCACAAGGTGGTTCAGCTTGCTAGCTCTGACCTTTCTCAAGATTCTGAAAAATGACTTCTTAGATTCGAGAAGTGGCGGATGGATCGGGAGTGAATCGAGGCGGAGTTCAGGCCACAGCACTGAGACAGCTTCCTTGATGACGAAGGCTGCTGTTGGATGGGGCTCGACCAGCCAGTCAGAAAAGAATTCTTGGGCAAATTTTAGGGCCCTTTCTCTTGCCCTCTGTTTCCTTCTCTCCCGTGGGGTCATTTCTCTCGGCGGCTTTGCCTGTTTCATTCTCAACTTGATGGTCACGGTAGTGGTGGTCAACAGGAAAATGGAAGCATGGTAAAGAGGCATCTGAGGTTTTCAATGTCTTCGATGAGGCTTAAAATTGATGCAATCGTAAACTGCCATGTATACATGGGGTCATGGAATCACACCGACATTCATGTTTCATGGATCTGTTTGCGTCTACATCGAAGCGCTGTACAATCCCCAGCACCGAACCAAGAGGTATGTACATATTAGTTACAATAGAATTACAACACCTCAATCCTATCCGCCTTCAAGCAAGCCCTGCTTCTCCTCATCAAACACTAGTTTTAACCTGGCCAAGCCCCTTAATTTCAAAAACCAGGCTCGGATGGCGACGAAGATGTCGCGCAACACCTTGGGCATTGAACCTTTTCCGGTCACAGGGGACGGAGTCTTGGTGGTTGCCGCCACTTCGACTGTCTGGTAATGTACGAAATGCTGAGCTTTTCCTTGCTCAATCTGGCGGGATCAGCATACAGCGAGAAGTAGTCCAACAATCGACATACAGTGACTCTAATCTCTCTAACAACGTTAATGCTCAACTTGGGCTGTTTTGCCATGGTTCGCAATGCTCTAAATAAGGCGAAAGATTGAATGCACAGCTGACTTGCATATACAGAGAAAATTGGGCATAAGGCAGAGTTTGACTTGTACTGAGAACCAAAGATCCGGGCTGTAGAGAGAAGTATCAACTGTGATAATGAGGTTGCCTAAGTAGGGGTACCTTGTGCAAGGGGAAATGTGAAGAAGGCAACCAGGCGGTGGTGCAGCAGTACAGTTTTCTTCGACTTCATGAGCGTATTTGTATTTTGAGGCCATCCACTCCCTCACGCTATGGATTCAAGTATCGTCCAGGATGGGCTCACCCCCCAGCTTGCCAGGTATTTCTAATCCATGGTAAGCAAGGCTCATTTCCAAGCCGCCTATGTCGAAAACTTAATATACATAAAACACATTTCATTGGACGCCCACTGCTGTCTGCATGCATGACTACACAAATAGATCCTTGTAGAAGATGAGGCGGGACATGAGCAAGGATGAGATATGATCTCGCCTGCAGACGTGGGGTCCTGCCTGCCCCCAAAGAGGAAGTGACCCATAGAAAAGGATCACCGTGATCCCTTTTTATGGGTCACTTCCTTTTTGGGGGCTCCTACAGACTTATGGCATTCAAACCCAATCTGTTCCTTACTCTTTTCCAACCCGCGAAGCCATGGATACTGACAAGCCTCTTCACGATCAGCTCCGTATTCTAGGATTCTTTTTCATTTCTGTTGCTAAAGCCCAATCTCATCAGTTCAATTTTGATAATAGATTGGAACGGATTGTAAGTCTCACCTTTCTCTCGCAGCCGCCGTTCGCTCATACGACAAGATCTCGGACGCCTGCAAGGTCATCGCACAGGACGTTCCCGAAGCTGTCAGGAACAAACTTCATCGACTTGGAACCGAAGTGCAAGCGGAATTCCGCAAAGCACCATATGAACAGATATCGCCCGACCATTCCCGTTTCCCAGATACAACCACAGCAACGATTGTGCAAGATAGTTCTCTCGATAGCCCAAACAAACAGCAAGTCGAGCATGATTCACCCACAAGAGCCCTCCAGCCTTTAAAGCAAACGTCGGCAGCGGTAGCTGAGATTTCATGGAGTCAGTCTTCCAGAAAAGAGAAATCTCGTAAGGAAGCATCTTCGACGGGAACTAAATGTTCCCCTCAAGATGATGAACAACCCTTCCTTATCGCCGATCTGAAGTCTTGGGCCCAATCACCAAAGCCTTTTCTCAGCTCTGGGGCAATTTCCATCGACGATCTCGCCGTGTTCGACTACATCCAGGCCCTCGAGAAATCATCACAAATAACCAAGATTGCTCGGCGATTTGCTTTAGTGCAGCTGTGGGTATCAAAAGAGGTCTGGCGGCCTTTGCCACCCCAAGAGTTTAAGAAACGTCTAGGTTCAGCGTCGGGGGCGAAATTTGATCGATGGCTCAGGGAAGGGAGGACATTATTCTTGCTCAAAGCACACAAGGGTATAGAGGTCTTGTTCTCGAAGCTCAAGTCACAGACTAAGTAAGTAGTGCATCATTCAACTAAAGGACAGAGACTGAATTTTACTCGAAGGCTTACAGCGCTATCAGCTGAGTCGAAAGCCCATCTCCATACGAACGCCGAGCCGAATGTCAACAAGGAATCCTACAATAACATCGAGTTACTCCTACAATCTCAGCACACTGAAGAAGCTAAAAGAATAGCTTCTTGCTTTGATGTAAAGGAATTGGAGCTTCCCAGGAGTTGCGAAGATTGTGTTACAAACTCCAAACTATACAGAGATGCTGCAAGCAGCATTTCGAAGTACCTTGAGGAGCTTCATATTAAGCGACTGTTTGGCGACCAAACACAACTAAGACACAGGCTCGAGGTCCGTGAGAATGAAAGGCCAGCAAAACGATGGCGCCGATGCTATGGACTACCCATGGAATCCCCATCGAACCTCGGAGTGATCCGGTACCATTTCGATCAAGACCCAATGCACAATGACAGTGGAGGATTGCCGTACGCCACGGAAAGCACCACCGATGCCGGAAGTGACGGTGGCCACGAAGCCCAAGGCGCATCTACTGATGCAAACATTCCTGTGTCGGGCTCTCCTGAGGACGCAGGCTCCCAATTAGGGGCTTTAGTCATGCCTGGGAGCGATTCCTCACTCATTGCTACGCCTTCTTTGGAGACTACCGCGGGTGGGTATGAAACACAACCATCAACAGAGACAACAATTCCAGTCAGAAACATCGAAGCTGATATGGGGCCTGTCCAACTCTATTCCCCCACTGGTCGTCAGAGCACACATCAATTGAACGAAGGTTATATCAACCGTCCATGCGCTGATATAGTGGAGAATCTTGATGAATGTCGTGGCAACATTACACAGCTCTCCAGCGTATCTTTCGGAATACATGAGACCCTGGGTCAAGCATTGAGTACCCAGCCAATCGTTGAATCAAGCCTTCCCAACTGGCTTCATATCGATGCGAGTTCATTCAACTTCGATACAGCCATGTTCGAACCACTCGGAGCACTCGAAGCAATGGAATTCAATGACTATCAGGGCGAGTTAAATGCACAATAGTAATTAAGAAATATTCTCAGGCAATTTCCATCCTTGATTTCAACACCAGATCGTTTCGGCTCGGTTCCACTACTCATCCTTGCTCTCTTGGCTCTTAGCAGGCTCCCAATCATATTGAACCATGTCAAAGCATACTGGCCCTTCCTCTACAACGATTCGACTGTTTCCGGGGATCTGAATATGGTTTCCGACGTCCCAAGGTAGGAGTTGCCTAACCTCGGCTTTATCCTTATCAGGCTGGTACAGTACTTTGGAAAATCTTTGCGTACTTGCAGTTTGTGTCGCTAGTGGTATAAAGACGGTGATAGTACGCTCAGGTGACGCAATCGTGCCTTTGTCAAGTTCACGAGGTCCGTAATTTCGGGCGTTACTGACACTTTTGCCTTCATGTAGTGCTTGCCGTCGAATATTGGGCGCCTGAGTGTACTTAGCAGAGCAGTTCAATTCACATGGTTCATTCTTACTTGTTCGTTCTCGAATCTAGAGAGAATCTTGGTATCTGTTATGGTGGCTTTATATTCACGCAGCGGACCACGGACGTTCTGGAGCTCTCTTTCCTGTTTTTGTCGACATAGCTCTTGCATCGATTCCGTAGCTGGAAGGAGTATAGGATTGCTCATTTCTACTTTGACGTTGGATAACAGTTCTGCTGTATAATGATCTCGAAAAGTGGCGATGTTGCGCTTTATATATATACCTACCACCAAAAAAATGGCTGTGAATCATTCATTGACTGCTGGTCTCAAGTGTTACGATAAGCGGTGGAGAGGAGATGTTTCTTTTCGCTCAAGGACCACCTGATTCGCCGAAGGGTTTGTCATGTGGATATTCTTGGTCACGAGACGTCTTACAACCCGGTAATTACATAATGAGGCCAGAAGGATTGTTTTAACAGCCCAAGTACAAAATCACAACTAGACAAAACAATGCATCAATAACAAGAATTATGACGCTTTCGAATTAAACAATTGCTTCAATAACCCAAATTCCATTATCTATCTTGATGGCAAATTTAGGCCCTTATAATTAGAGACTCATGGCCTGAATTCCAACGTCCACCCTGACCCAGAAGCATCCGTGCAAAATTACTGCTGTTGGCTATAAACTATTGTTCCTAAACGACAAGTATACTCATCAATGATCTTCTTTATGGTTGTGTGTTACGTCAATAGGGGCAAAATCCTTGGTATTGAAGTTGCCATCTGAGTTTTCAGTTGAGCTGGTGTCGTCACCGTTGACTGGATCGGCAGGTACGGGTTGGTCATTGCGAGGAGTGCTGTCAGCTTGTCTTGAGCCGCTCGAGTGCGTAGGGCTATTGCCCCCCTCCTCATTGCTGGACATTGTAGGAAGGACGACTTTGGCCATGGATGAAGATTCTATTCAATGAGACCCGTTAGAATATTAAAGGAAATCCAAGTTGTGAATGGCATTTAAGACTCTTATAATATAAGTCTTCTCACTCTGGAGACATAAGCCAATATATGATAGAGTGATAAAGAAACAAATTACTACTAACCAAGGTAATCAAGTCAAGTGCGTCTCTAGAAAAAACCTCGATATTTCTGAAAGTAAGTGTTGGTCTGATATCTTGGCTTTATATAAGAGGGAAAGTGCATTCTTATACTCTTTAACAGTCACCAATTCAAGCAGAAAACTCGTCTGCTGCAGGGGCCAGGTTACTCAACACAACTGAACAAGGTGAGAAAACTCGCTCCTACATAGTTATTCCCCTGCCGTCTCATCCAAGAAGATCTTGGCTTAGTGGCATGCAGGTTGGTTGCGAGCTCGTCCACGTTACGTTGACCTACAGCAATTATCGAGGAACTGAACCAGCCAGCCCAATTCTTTCAGGGGTGGCTCATAATGGCCGGGCAGCTGGTCATGCCATGGAGAAAGGCTAACGCAGCCGAGTCCTTTGAGCTGAGCTATGCCTCCCTTTGGCACCCATTAGTGAAATAAGGCGGCCAGACAAAGCGACCAAATGAAATACTTCAGTGAGTTATATGCATAAAGCCCATACGCTGAGATTAACTAACGTCTAACATTGCCATATTGGTATAAAGGTATTACGCGCTTTGATTTGCCGCATGAACACGTCAGGAACCTGTTCTTGTTGCCTCTGGTTGTCTGATACATGATCAGGGCTTGGTTGCATGCAGGTCGGTCGCGACTTGGTCGGCGCTACATTGATGTGCAGCAATTTTTTATGGATTTTTGCTCTGTCGAGGGGAAATGCTGGCTGCCAATCAATTGACCATGAATGTTGAGGCAGCCGAGCAGCTCTATAGGCTGTCTTCTCTCCCTAATTTCTCTAGTGTATCGCCCAATGCGAGCTGGCTCCTCTCGTTCGCCTCATGTTGGTATTCAAAGATAAAACACTGGCCAGGTGGTTTTAAATCGATATAGGGGTCTGCTCGTAAGGTTGAAGGCGTAGTAGTTCTCCCTCTCAACTCATCATAGGATAAATTCGGAATTACGCAAGCCATAGGCAATGACTATCTACATCTGGGCACAAAGTCCCAACTTGCGGTACCTATTCACACAAGAGCATCTAGTATCCTTGACCGTTAGAGAGGCATATTAAACAAGCAACCGCTTGGATCAAATGCAGGTAGACTTCTAATTTTAGCAAGGCTGATTTTTTATTTCAATTTCAAATTGCTCTCTGGATATTTCAATTGCACCAACTTTCTTCTGTTTCAAGTTTCAGATTTCAGATTTCAGATTTCAGATTTCAAATTTAAAGTTTCATGCTTCAAATTTTCAAATTTCAAGTTTTCACCTAAAATGCCTCATCTCCACCTTTCTTCTCAAAAATATTCTAAACCAAGTAACTGACTGCTAATGTTAGCCACTCAAATTTCATTTCTCCACTCCTTCGCCGAGAGCCCCACAATGAATCTTCTACCCCTCTTTCCTACATCTCAAATCCTCCTTGTGTCGACATCCGATTTCCCAAACATCCAGCTGACGTTACTCCTATGAGCTTATAAAGACTATTTTACGCCCAAAGGTCATTTGTACCTGATTTCCGAGTACGTCGGGTGATTCCACCTTTCGTGGTTTTGCCAGCTGTCAGGCTCTCGGGACAGGGCCCAATGATGCCTGCACTCCACTTCTCAATACGCTGCATCCCTACCAAAACTCCCTCATAAACGGGAAAACAGCCTCTTTCCCCTGCTTCTCTCAAGTTGAGATTACTCCCCAGTACCGCTCGAGTCAACCACGAACGATATCGGCCACTCAGGCTACCGTGAGCTAGTCGTTTTCTTCAAATCCGATGGTGGTATGCCCATCTCTGCTTTGTAGATGAGCCCTGTTAACATGCTCAGTTATTCGAACCGCAAGCGCTCGACATTGACAAAGACAACGATGAGTTTTTCTCGGACGCGAAGACGGGCGTTCAGCCTGTTGTTGGATCTGGACAGATGGTATATTGGAAGCAGTGCACTGTAAGAGTTTTCGAGACTGGGAAAGAAGATGGGCAGCCGTACGAGCGGTATCCTCAGCAGCACGATGGACAGGTGTTTTTGAGAAAAGGCGTTAGCATCATATTGGAGAAGGGCAAAATGAAAGAACTCTGAGATTGAGACTACCCATAAAACTTTTTTTTAATTGCCGATGCTCTCCATTCTCCTAGAAACACGGTGATCTTAGCACCCTCCTTCGCCTGGTTTGATATCGTCATCGAGACACCATCCGTACGATTGCGTCGCTCGACCTTCTCCCGCTGGTATATAGGAGATGTGTGAGCGCCCTCGTGCAGAACGCCTCGAAATATGCCAGAGAGGTCCCGGTGACATGCCCGCAATTTAATCGACGGGTCGGGTTCTATTTTGCCCCCACCTGGATAACAGATTGACCTAACCCCGTCCTTGTCTTCCAGCTTCACACCAAAGTATTGGAAGGCAAGGTCTGCTACCTTTTCTTTCGCGATCCCGATTTCCATCTGGCATCCGAAATGTTCTCGGATATACCCTTCCTGAAAAATCATTGATATATCGGCCAGTAGCACACCGGGTTGCTCTTTGCTCTGTGTTCTTTCAATGGAATCCCAGAACTGGTCGTGAAATAGTTCTTCGGCTGGTTCAAGAGGAGCTCCAACATACACATCCCTCGAGGTTACCAAGGCGGGTATCTGTTCTGTAACGCTGGGTTCGACATCCGTCAAGCATGTATCTGCGTTTCTTGTAATGGAGGTCGGTTGTACAGGAGCCACTGTGTTGTCCTCGGTGGCAATGCCTTGTTTAATTCATTAGACGTAGATTAGATCATGAGATAGGGCACATACGACGGCGCTTGGCAGACTGCGGCGAAGTGTTGGCATCTATGCTTTCCATAGCAGCTGCGAGTTGATTTACAAATTCATGCTGGCGATGCATAGGCTGGTTGCCAAGGTGGTCGAGTAAGCGCGACAACTCGACTCTGCCTTCCGGCCCGCGATCCAAGGTTTTCGTCTTGTGCGCAGCAATGTACGCATACCAGGCTGTGGGGCTTTTCTCTACAAGGATTCTCTCTACAGAGCTCCCGTCGGCCTGTTTCGCCTTTTGCAAAGCATCTTTTACCCTGTAAGGACCACGAGAGTACCTTTGGTAGTTCTCAATTACTAGAGTAACAAGCGCTGACAGTGGGTCTTCGCCCTCTGTGATAAGGGCTGACAGCGGGTCTTCGCTCTCTTGCATGGGAGAGGTCGTAAAGACGAAGTGAGGAGGTGAAGAAGTTTGAGATTTGAAGGGGAATTTTGAAATTTGGAGGGAAGGTTGAAATTTGGAGGGAAGGGTGAAATTTGGGTGAAGGTTGAAATTTGGAGGCAGTACCGATAAGGAAATTGGTTGTATGGGTATAGCGTAGATGCATATGTGGAGAAAATTCCCAAGCTACGGAATGACAGCTACGCAGGCGTGACGAAACCTACACTACGTTGGTTGTTAGCAACCTAACCAGAAAAGGTGGGGTGGCGCGGGAGGATGTAACGGGCCGCAGAATAGGAATCGAAAATGGATAAGCCTAGGCTCCAGGGTTGCATTACCTGTGTCCCCCTGCGCGATAGCAATAATTGAGGCGCCAAAGATTACAAGCAGATCCAGTGGACCGCGCCGTGCTATCCAACCGGCAACAGCAGGGCATCATCACGACATAATCAAGGTCAACCACCCAAGTTGGTGTCCTGTTATGCAATCCGCCAATGATAAAGGCGCCCTCTTTCGGTTTGGTCGCTGTGTTGGTCGCCAATGTCCGCTACCAATGACGCATGCCTTAGATGTAGATACATGACCACTTGTGGCTTCACGGAGCTAGTTCTGAGCTTCTGATTTGCGAGGAGCCGAAGCTTACCCCACTTTCATAAAGTCATGGTGCCATATCCTGATTAGAGATTCTGTACTCCGTAGAGGTTGTATTGCTCCACCACGAACACTGCAGGGTAGCAACCACTGTTAAAACATGTATCAGTGATATGTGACGCATGCACGAACAAACCCAATAGATCGCCCTGGAGACATGCAGACAGCCGAATTTTTCAATAAGAAAAATCATTCCACTAGGCTGTCTCGATGAAGATTGTATGTTGTCTCCATGTCGGAGAAAATGTGCAATCAGTCACTCATGTAAGTTAAAAGCTGGAGATGTCCGGAAAGATAACTAGCAAATCCACACTCAGAATATCAGCAAACTTATTTTCAGTCATCTCTATCATTATTTACTGCCTCTTTCCGTTTTTCCTTTTAGCCTTTGATACTGCTACCATGGATTATAAAGACTGCAAACTCGAAGAGCATTTTGATGACATGGAAATTGAACTTATACATCAAGTTGACAACGCAAAACATCATCTAGAGACCACAGCCTCTGCATTCTGGCAGGCTTACCTGCAGCGAAACTTTCCCAGACCCTGGCTAGTACTTTGTGAACAAGGTCCTGATGGAAGCTTGAGGCGAGTTGACATGAAGGTGATATATTACAACAGTCATGGCCGCAACTTTTCTCCTGTTCTGTTGGTCGAAGTCAAACGCAAGAAGGGATCAATGCATGAAGTTGAAGAGCAGGGCCTAGATGCTGCTCTAAAGGCTATCAATAGCCAGAATTTGACGGGCATGTATGTCATCACGGCAATCGGGCTCAGATATAGAGCCTGGTATTTGAGTAGGGAAGAACGAGAACTGCAGCCATTGCATGGCAGCATTGAGAAGGCGAGTTGGGAGTATTTACATGTCAAACAACAAGCTGGCGTTTTGAACCTGGAAGAAACAATCCGACTCATCAAGGGAGAGATGCCTATGCGACAGGCAGGGGTCGTCCCAAGTCAACATATTGAGCTGGAGAATATTCTCCGGGCCGAAGCATCCCATATCCAGGAGGGATATAGTGTGGAGCAGGCTGGTTCGGCTAGAGATGACCAGGGAAATGAGGCACCTTGTTACCCGTCTACGACATACTATGAACAGCCATCGGAGCAAACAGATGCCCAGTGGTCTGACCCCATGGACGTTGAAGCGAGGGCAGAGTCAAGTGGTGAAGACGACGAACCCTCGCAAGCTGAGGACAGCAAGGGCAAGAAGCCAAGAAAAGAGAGGACGATAGTGAACGTGAGAGTCACATTGATACCTCATAAACTTCGGAAGGATGAGTGCGAGTTTCGGGATACCAAGAAGATCAAACAGACTACCCTGAGGAGTGATTGGAAGGAGAAGCATGATGGGAGTAAGACCTACTTCGAGTTCAAAGGCAAGAACCATCGCTATCGGTGCGAGAAATTTGAATACCAGCGTTAGTCTTGTTGCTAACGGGAAGTGGGGTTTGTGCGCTATTTCTGGAAGGGGAATAGGGACAAATGAGATGACCCACTCTCAGGAGTCAGATTGGGAACCTGCCTGGAGTAACAATGTTCCGTTATTTATTTTTTAGCACAAGTTCAAAGCAGACCAGCATAACCCCTAACTTCTTAATCGCACCGATAGCCGCGTACGTTCCTACATTCTATGGTCCTTGTTTTTATTTGATACTGTTCTATATTCTTCCTGTACAAGATGGTCAGGCTCTGCTTAACACGCAGATGTGGCATTTGTCATTTCGATTTCTGCGAGAATGATGCAATTATTGCTGGTATTTGTTCTCCATATCAGAATTATGGCAACAACCCTACTGACTTGTAGCAGTGAGACCCGACGGTAAAGAATCAAAGCAGTTTAAGTACCGTTCTGATGCGGAAATTAACGACTCAATTGGACTTATTTGGTGCAATGCATGCCCTATTCCTTGCGTTCATCAACGCGACCAGGCTGTCGGCTGCCATCGCGTTTGCCGGAACATCCTGACTCCTTCACCCCTTGCCGAGTTCCTTCAGACTGCTGCCTATTCCTGTGAGCCTACTTTCAACCAAGAACGAGAGCGGCGCTTGTGGCTTCTGAAAACCATAGAGTCGCGGCTCAAACTCTTCGGAACCCTGGCAGGTGAGCTACGACGGGAGATAGCTCAATACTTGCTTCAAGACGACGCCGCGAGGACAAACATACTGGGGCTCACCTGCAAGAAACCCTTTCAGTCTTCCTTCACCGTGCGGGCTCCGTTTCGTGGGAATTATGTGACGTACGAAGGTGAAGTCTACTTCAGGTCTCTAATCAACGAGCCTCAGAGGACGGACGACTGGCTAGCACCCTTGGCTGTCTATGTGGCCGAAGACCACCGCGGTGTAAAGAGATTGATATGGAGTCGCTATGAAGAGCCTCCAACTGTAAGTTGTATACCTGGTGTGTTCTGGAAAGGATTGCCGATTCGAAACTCTGAGGGGCTCATGGAGTTCTATACCAATGTAAGCCACCCATCCCGCAGAATGCATGGGTAATAGAGTGGCTAAAGAATGCCATTTACACAGGGCCTCTTACTACGCTATTTGTCGTGTCGCGACAGTTACCACGAGTACAGCACACGCACCTTAGATTCTTTTGCCATTCCGCGTCATCCTTTCAAGCCATCGCGGAGTGTAAACTTTCACGGAATGACAGACAAGGCACCGCGACGAATGTCTATATTCCAATACAATCGTCCTGAAATCACCGGCTTCTCAGTCTGCTGTAACCCTGCTCCCATCACCCTCTATACTCACACGCGAGGAGATGATCTGTCATTCTATTATTCAACTCCTGCTAATTCTTCTTGGATTTATGTTCCCCTTGAGCATAAGGAGTATATTACAAGCATTTGGATACGCCATCCGAAACCGCTAAAGAAGATGCTGGCACTGGCTTTTGAGACAGATAAGGGACATTTGTATTTACTAGGTGCTCAGGCAACACCAGCGCTATCAAACTGCAACTGGGAGCTCCTTGATATTTCAAAAGGGGAACCCGGTCACTTCTTTTTCGACTCACACCCCTCTGCTATGAGGGGCCTAATATTCGACTCAAAAGCGCCGAGACAACCCAGAGTTTTAGATGCGCCTAAGCCTGTGTCTCCACATCCGGGTTTGCATGTCTGTGAAGACTTTCACTGGTCTCAAGCCAGCCTTGAGAATGTCGTTGCGGTGACTCCTTGTTGTCGAGTGACGAAAGGATCACCTGAATTCATAGGTCTTTTGCTGGACTACTCAGATGGAAGCAGGGCATGTGTAGGGCAGGTTCGCCTGGACTGTCTCAGTCCTCCTCTCACTATCAAATCCTCCCCAAGGCTTTGGTTCGGCTTTGAACTCAATGACGAAAATCGCCCTTATATAGCCAGGATTGAGATATCTGACGCACATTTGGATAAGAAAATGACCATGTGGTTCGAGGTGTTCTTGAGTGGTATAATTGAATGGTGGTACTCATACCGACAGTGCCAGATATGGCAAGGTGGACGTCGAAGTCTAGCCACGAGATCTTAATAACTTGGCATGTCAGAGATGAAGCGCGCTGCGGTATAAGTCAGGGTTTAGCAATGTATTAGTAGGAATTTCATCTAAAGCTGTTGTTATAAATAGGATTAACTTAAATTCTACCCTTTCTTTCTTTAATTTATTTAATTTCTTTTTATAGAAACGATCTAGTGTAGCCTGTGTTATGTCTACAATCCCTTATTTTATCTAGCATAGATTTGCTACTGTTTATTCTATATGAAGTGACCGCATAACTAAGTATCGGTCTTTATAGCCGCCATAACAGAAAGAGTAGTAACGTTTTACACTAAACATGTCGTTCAACCAGTATCCATCGTTATGGCAAGAGACGTCATCTTCTGCATTTACGGGAAATAGAGCATTAACATACAAGAGGGTGCCATATATTTGGCTTCTCTCCCACTTCCATGATTCAGGTTTCTTATGTGCCTCTCAAAGGGTCGTGGCCAGTTATTCTACCAATGCGACTGGAGCGTCCGCAGAAGTTTTAACACACCGTACAACACTTAGGTGCTGCCCCTTGTTAGCATGGGTCGCACTATAAGAACACTCAAGTACCCAAGACCTTTGAAGCCTCGGTTTGATACATTATTTCATACTTAATTTCAGGAAACTCCTAACCACGAACATACATACCCTCCAGATATTGGATCAGAACCTACGTCAGCCGCCTTTCGGTACCTCAATCACTCATTATTAATATCCGTCTTATTCGCCGCATCGAGTCGATAAGCGTTCACCAGCGAGCTTCCGGGTCTCAGCCAGAGACTTGAATAACCAATACTTCAACCATACTCCTCGTATCATCATACACATATAGTCTCGGTTGCATATTGAAGCTGAGTAAATACAGCCATGGAACCTGCGAAACTAGTCAGTACCCAGCTCAGTGCCGGTAAATTCAAGTGCAGTTGGCAGGCATGCACAAAGGTCTGTTGTCTGATATGCCCTACACCTTCTCTACTTGGCTAACCTTGGGTATAGAGTTTTAATAGCAACGGCGACTTAACTAGGCATTACCGTATACATACTGGCGAAAAGCCGTATAGTTGCTCATTTGATGGCTGCGCAAAAGAATTCACCCGGAAGGACGCTCTAACTAATCACATTCGAACACATACACAAGAGAAGCCTTATCAATGCACGGAAGTTAATTGTGGGAGATGGTTTATTAATGTAAGTGTAGAGTAAGTTCTCAACTGATATACAACTAATAAGAAACTTTAGACATCGATCCTTAAGCGACATAAGCTTACCCATACTGGCGAAAAGCCGTATCGTTGCTCGTTTAATGGTTGCATAAAAGAATTTACCCGGAAGGACACTTTAACTAATCATATTCGAACACATAAACAAGAGAGGCCTTATCAATCCACGTATCCTGGTTGTAAGGAACGATTCTCTGATGTAAGTGCGAAGTAATTTCTCTATTAATGTGTACCTAATCAGTAACTTTAGGCATCCAGTTTTGCGCGATATCAAAGAACCCATCCCCAAGAAATCGCTTCCTTGAGACAATCAATACCATCCTATATCACACAGCAAGTAAATCCAGGAGTTACTTCAATAGCAAGTCCTCTACCGACCCAATACAAACCACCACAATCATCAGAATACCATCAGCCAGAGGAATTGCCACGTTACACCCAGCCGGCCTTTCCTGAGTGTGGTGACCCAGAGAACATTTTTGACTCAAGCCTCATCAATATACAGCAGTCAACTCTACCTTCAAGGGACCATGCGGCCATAAGTAAGATCATTCTGCTCGATAAAATTGCTGGATTACACACTGACATGTTTACAGAAACCTCCGTACATGACCTCTCAAGCACTGGTGAACAAGAGGCGCGTAGCCTTAGACATGACCGTTTGAGTAAGAATCGGACCCTCGAGCAGCACCAAGAGTCTCTTGATCTACAATTCATACAAGATCGGTTTGCTATCTTCTTCGAACAATGGGCTCTTTTCTTTCCCGTGTTGCACGAACCGACAGCTTTTGGAACTTACAGAGAGTTCATGAACGGCTCTGGGAATACCAAGAATAAGCACACCCTCGCTCAGATATATCTCATCGTCGATATTGCGGGCCTTTCGTGCCATGCTCCGGATCTTCAGCAACATTCGATTTGCAAGAAAAAGTGGCAAGAAGCGTTAAATGCAATTGCTTTCGATAAGGACATTCTTACCCTCCAGTGCCTTGGGCTTGCTATACTCTGCTGCATCATAAGGGCGGATGATAAGCTAACTGCCTATTACAAGCATATTGCCATTAATCTCTCTAATGACCTTGGCCTGCACACGAATCAAGGACATATCAGACTTGATCCTCTGACCTACGAGACTCGGAAGAGGATCTTCTGGACCCTCTACACGCTCGACTGCTTTTCTGCCTCTAGGCTTAAGACCCCCATGCTGTTGAAAGATACAGAAATCACGATCGATTATCCTGGCGATATTGACGGCGAATATATCGCCCAGCATGGTTATCTCAACACCCCTTCCCGGAAGCCGTCTCGAATTTCCTGTGCGCTAGCTTTGTTTAGAGCAGCCCGGGTACTTGCCAAAGCACTTGATGAGAGATGCTCTGACGTTGATGAGTTCATATCTGAGCGGATGACAGCCATCGAAGGCGAGCTTGACGCTTGGTTAATTCAGATACCGCGTCACTTGGAGCTTGAATTTATACAAGATAAGCGTCCTCAAGATGTTGAAAATAGCCGCCCTTGGCTCCTTGTAGGTCAAGCTTCTACTCTGAATTGCTAAGACTTCTGTATTAACCACGTACAGTCTTTAGTCTACTATTACATTACTTCAGTCATTAAACAGCCTGTTATAGATTATGCCCTGCATTTTAGACGGACTATTGCACCTGGTACTCATTCTAGCCCTTTTTTCGATGTCGACGAGGCATTTGAAGCAGTGAACAGGTCTAACTGCTGTATCCGCCGGATTATTCAACATTTCGACCAATATCATTTCGCCTTTTCTATCTGCTTAAATAAGCTTGACCTTATAGCAGCTACTAGCATAAAGTTACTATAGTGCCGTGATCTTCTGTATTTAATAGAAAAAGACTATTGGAATAAGATGAAGTTGTGGCTATGTAATGAAACTGCGAGGATTGGGAGATGAAGGGGTAAAGACAAGAGCTCGAATCCATGGGTGCCATTGACCCTTACCTACTTTATCCAGACGCCCCTGCATGCTACCCAACAGGAGTTGGCATGATCAAGAGCCTCACTCTATAACTCAACATCATATCAGGCGTTATTTGGCAGGTGGAATCTTCGACAATGAAGTCGTCAGGATGGCCTACTCCGCGTAAGAAGTCATGAAACTGTATAAATAGACATGTTGTGCTTCTTCTATGGCCGGCTGGCGATGTCAGAGAATGTGATTCGTGAAGAATGGCCTTTGCATGGCGTTGACTGATTCGTGGAGCACCAACATGGCAATAATGTTGGACAAGGGAAGAGTGCTTATGGTTGATGAGGTGGCCAGCGGAACACCTATCTGCTTTGGAAGCGGTCTCTGGTCTAGATCATAACCATCATGACACCTGTATGACTGAACCCAACCGTGATAGCTTCAAGCTCCATGTGTATGGTGGATGTTAAGGCAATAAGGCCTAGAACTTGGCCGTGTCGATACGAGTCGCCCCGAATCTTTGGTGGATGCCGAGCTTCAGATATCACCCACGAGGGCTGTGTATGCCTAAGGCGGTTTGGCCAATGACACGTGCTAGGAGAAGTGTCTAGCTAAGTACTTATGACACGTCCCCCCCGCCTCATCCTCGTCCTACATCGTCCCCTTCCTTTTTTTCTTAGTTCTTTCATCCATCTCCCGTCTTACAACACTTCTCAGACAAGCCACTCAATATGGACTCGCCCTGCTGTTCAAGCTGCTTCCAAGGGCTTGAAAACAAACCCAAATGGCGACTATCAGATAGCCTCAAGGTTGGTTATTCGATATATCCTTAATAGTCCATTCCATAACTCACTCAATTTAGCTTTTATGCGACAACTGTGCTATACTTTCTAAAGAAGTCGAGACATGCGACCGCAGTAGTATCGGGCCTTGGATCGAGCGTCAAATTCGTGAATCGGAAGGATATAGTTACCGATGCCGCATGAACCTTGATCAAAACATCTTCCCGTTCGACGACTTCAAAGCCAATTCTTCCACTGGAGCTCCAGTCTTTGTACCCAGAGGACGCTGTAACATCTTTGTCACACCACTATCCGCAGCAACATATCTACGAAACGTGAGGGCTGTCAAGTATTTTCTACAATTTCCTGATCCCCACGAAAATAACGGCCTTGTCAGCCCTCTGTCACTAGCTTGTCTTCAAGGACATTCCCATGTTATTCCACTTCTTGCTGAGAGGAACGAATCCGGCAATACCTTAAATACTGCGCATATGGCTGCGAGAACAGGCCGGAGCCATTTTATACACCACCTTTATCACAAGTTTTATTTACAAGGCGCCTGTGATGTAGATTCGATCCCGCCTGCTATTCATGCACTCTACCTAGACGACGATGAACAAATCAAAGAGGTTTTCTTAACGCTTATAGGCCTAGATAGGGATGCTTTAGATACTCTGGGGATATGGAAGTATCATTGGACATGCGCTGATCTTGCCAGGGCGATGGGAAAAAGCAATGATCTGGTAGCTTGGCTTGAAGATAAATGCCGGTCTCTTACGAGCTGATGTTATACTTGCGCTGATTAGATAGCCTCAATAGATACAGTCTGATACTGTTATAAGCTGCTCATGCAATAGCTGCTATCATGACCGAGTAAAACTGCCAGGTAGGCTGCAGCTGCTTCAACACCGTGTCATACCCCGTTCCCCATCGCTATCACATACTAGGCGCAAGCCCCATCTGCCCACACGATTGTAAAAGGGGACTCCGCTCGTTGCCAGTAAGGCATTTTATTCCTCTTAAGCTCCCTTTTTACGTATTACTAAGTGCTCTGTCTATAATTAACTCCAATAACAGCCTTAGGCCGTCATCCGTCTCCAATCGTGGGCTTGAAAGTGACCATCCTTAAACATAGACTAATGTAGTTGGTGGTCTCACTCGTCCACTTATGAGTTGCATTTTACCTGGTCATGCAAAAACCCAAAGTTACACACTCTCTATCAAGTGATTACTCATACTACCTGGCCCTAGTGTAGTATTTAAGGACCATTCTCCCCTTCTAATTCTCTCCTAACTTCCTTCTTTATCATCATCAAAGCCTGTCACAAAATAGCTCATCCCGCTTCAAACATCTTATTTCATCATTACTCTTCATCTATAACAACTCAATCCATAATGGCTTTCTTAAACCCTGCTTCTTTTGGCTTCCCTGCCTGCAGCATTACCTATGTCCACTTTGGAAACATTTCCCCCAAATCTTATGATCCTCTCCGCGCCTCTCTCTCCCAGAATTATACCGAGGAGTTTACTTGTACAGCAATGCTCTCCCCGCTATGTTTGGCTGCATCTAAAGGATTGACCGAGGTCGTTCGTTTCCTAGAGCGGTTTGACTCCACAGACAAACATAGGGACTTAAATCTTGCTTTATTCCTGGCCAACCGTTCAGGGCATTTAGAAACATCTGCTTTACTTTTAGAGAAGAAAGCAAACCCACTACAGGCGTTCTCTGCTAATGGCTTACATGGTGCCGCCTGGAGAGGGCTATATGAGCATATACGTACTTATACTAGAGATGGTTATGTAGATCCTGATATTTTAGATGGATCATCTGCAACACCAGTTATATATGCCATACTTGGGATACAAGACGAACAAGGCGCATGGGAGACGATCAACTACCTCTTCAATCTAGGAGCGAGACCATGGAGAAGATTTGGCATTCAGCAATTAAGTTATTCTCAGATTGCACGGCGAGAAAGGAGAATGTTTCTAGCACGAAAGCTTGAGGAATGGGAAACACGCCTCTCACCAACTATTCTGAATTCAAGCCGCGAATCAAGCTGCATGCCAGGGGAAGACGATGATATCCAGCCTGACAACGAGCAACCACACGAAGTTCTAGAGGCTGAAGGAGCACCCAATGCGATTGGCGAAGCAAGGCCCACCGGAGGGGAAGACAATAGTGTCCCGCCTGACAACGAGGGACCACGAGAAGATTCGGGAACTGACAGAGGAGCCGGTACGAGCCGCAACCCAAGTTGCCCGGCAGGGGTGGGGACTGATGGTCATATTGATAACAAACGGCCACGAGAAGATTCAGAAGCTGCTAGAGAAACCAAGCGAGCACGTATAGCGTAATGGTCTTCAGTCAAGTAGCGGAAATCATGTATCATATGAGTCATTTACCAAGTCTATTTTCTGCGTTCTGCCGTTCCGTTGCTCATTAAAAAGGGTCCATCTGCAGTGAGCTTGCTATATCTTAAGATCCCATATCGTCAGGGGTGAAGAAAACCTGCCCTTCGCAAAAAATTCGCTAGCTTCAAGACAGTATACAGATCTCCGAAGCAGGCGTTGGAACCCAGAAAGCTAAGCTAATGGCACGAGTTTGGAATCTAATTGATTTTATTGTTTCCTTATATTTTTTTGGCATCAACCTCTAAGCTACTCGCAAGGTTTTTGATCTATTCTGCTCCTGTAGAAGGTGACAACGAGTGCCAAGAGACTTCTCAGGATCATCTAAGACCTTCTCTGCCTCATATTTCGAAAGCACTACCATGTACTCCATGAGAGGCTCTGTTCCTTGATATGTGTTAGCATCCTCGCTCTTGTGAATGTTGATGCGCCCTAAGCTCCCACCCTGGACCATCATTTCGAAGGATACCACGTCTCGAAGCTTGAGGATGCATTCCTCGTCGCATTCCTTGGCTTTCCATTTCCTTGACTTATGTCGAATGAACTCCACGGTCTCCATGGACCCATCTCTGTTTTCTTTCTCAACCTTCACCGATATCACCCGGAGAGTCACTATCTCGGGGAAGGACTGCACATCTTCATAACACCGTTTTCGCTTCTGCTGATTCCGTCTTTTACTGCGGCTTGACTCTGTCCTCCGGTTCATGCCATTTGGCATCAATGGCAGACCCTCTGCAACCGCATCTGCAGTGCAGCTAGTAGCACTATTGGTGTTGGGGATTGCTGTAGCAGCAGGCGTCTCATCGCTGTCGAGAGTGAGATCGATAATATGAAGAGAAGGTCTCATCGGAGAAGATGGCCCCTCGGTGGTTCCAGGCACTTCGGGTTCAGGGGACTGAGTATGACAGCCAACCGGGTTGATACACGATGCGGAGGAGGTGACGGCCTCTTGATTAGATTCTGGCCCTTGAGTGAAGCTGATAGTGTCTTGGGGCGGCGTCAGGCTTCCAGTGCGACAGCTTGGAGAATACACGTTGCCGCTGAAAGTCTCCACTGAATCACTAAAGGCGTCCGGTTGGCCGTATCTAATGCCTTCAGATTGAGTTTCTGTTAGCATTTCAGGAAGGTTGTCGTCTTGAGATCCGGGATTGACAGGAGAAAGTGATCCTGCAGTGATTCCTTCGCATTGCTCTTGCAGGATACTAGAAAGATCCGTTTCGCAAGTATCTCCATTTTGGAGATTACCTGCAGGTTCTTCTGTGAGTCTGGAGGCTAGAAAACCGAAGAAGCCCTCGCCGCTGTCGTAGCCAGTGGGATGTTCCTCTGCGCAATGAGGCGATCCTGAGATACCCCACAGTTGACCAGAGAAGGATTGTACTCCTGTTTGAGAAGATACAACCCCATTACCGTTTGGAACTGGATTGGCAAACCAGTCAAGATTGCCCATATTGTTGTAGGAGAAGGCGTCGGCTATCCCAAAGGAGAATCCCTGCATAATGCTTTGGATGTCTAAAGGAAGCCCAAGTCGGGCAAGAGTATATCCCAACGTCATGGACGCAGACATGCCTGGCACAAAGTCGATGGAGCTGCCCGCCATGATAGCTTCGGTAGAAAGCTCACAGAGCTTTTCGTTTGCTTCGCGTGGATGAGATTGTTGTTCAGGGCCCATTGGCTGATTGGAACCAGTGAATTCGTCCACTGAGAGCCAAGGAAAGGAGCCGACAGAAAGCATATGATCCATTATCGAGGAGAGAGCATAGAGTGAGGGAAAAGAGACGAAGTTGGAAATTCCTTAGACTGGGTGACGATGTCCCTTAAATACTTTGACAACACTGTTGAACTGTTTGATGAGCCAGTACGAGGCCAGTCATGAGATCTTCCGGGCTTAACTTCGTACCGAACTCCAGGCATAATGCTCCCAGCCTTTGAAATGATGACGAAGCAACTCGTGATGGAGGGTCAAAGGGAAAAACCTATTGGGCCGTTTGTATATATCCATCCAACAGTTATTGCAGATCAGCTCAGACTTCTAAATACAGTTTTACTTCGCCCTCCTTGCCCTGCAAGCTTCTCCCCTCTCTCGCATTAGCTTGCACCTCTTATTGCCTCTACGACGTCTGATGGGTGTAGCATAAAGTTAGTTGAGTATCGCTATCGTCACACAATAAAGTCGGGACTAAGGTTACCGGTAGTATGTGCCTTGGGCTCTTTTTACCCGATGAGTAATATATACCGGACCACATAATTCGAGCTGCGCCTCAACGTGTGACCCTCTTTGAACCGGGGGTTTAGTTTCTGATAATCGTGTCCCATTATTACTTGGTGTTGGACCAGCGGCTACGGAAGCAGCTCCTAACCCATGCTGGTAATGACGTGCCTTCTCGATCAGGAGGCAGCGAGCCACATTACCTAGGAAAGCCCGCGATATATAGAAACAGAGAAACAGGCAAATTATCTCTAGAACAAGTTATCGAAAGTTAAATATTGGGAGTATACTTAATGCTTTCGATCTTCCAAATATAAAGTGAATCAGCTCATTGACTACAACTGTTGGCTAACTATAGTGTGATAGCATGACCAATATCGTGAAGATCGAGCCCTCTATGCGTTCCTTCCTCGCTTTTCAGCATAGCCTAGATGTGAACTTCCAAATCGGTGAATGAACGAGTCAGTCGGGAAGCCCCGAGTGATCTCAGCTAATCTAGAGGTGGAACTCCTCCGCTACATCTGACTTCATTTTCTTCAAGTCGTCAGGGTCTAGGTCGACGGACCATGCCGAACCGCTGTTTAGGGGAACTTCTTGATAAGGTGGTGGGGGTTTCTTCTCGAGCCGACAAGAGCACCATGGGCCCCCATTGTGTAAGTTATGGGATTTATCCCACCTCAGACATGCAACAACCCCTGTTACATTCCACTTAGATGTATCCTTATGTAAAGCAACCTCTTGTATGCGTTTATCCAGAAAGTGCTGTATTTCTTTATATGTATAACTTGCCTTGTGAGCTCGAACCTCGGCAAAGAAATTCAGAATATCCTGGGGGGCAAGTACTCTCCTTTCTTTATAAGCGACGGAATTGCCTTTATTATCTAACACTTTAGGCCTTCCCCATAGCCACGCGTGCGCAAGAAGCGAGACCAGCAGTTGACGTCGAGCATTGCGTATTCTTTGTTCTTGTAGTCTCGGTGCTTCTTTTAAGTCCTTTGATCCTAGTGACGAAAAGAGTTTAGCAATAAGTAGAGAAGCTTTCTGTGTATAAAATTGAACGGATCTTTCTTCAAGAACCTGATGTGAGAAAGTGCCATCCTCATTCAAGTATATAGAATTATCAACCCATTGTTGACTCAGTTTGAGATTCTCTAGTGCATCAAGCTTCTTTAAAGCAGAATTTCTTATTATTTGAGGTTCAAAGTAGATAGGCGCACAGAGCCTTTTGCTAGGATGCATAGTGTTTGTAAAGTGTAGTGGCATAGAAAAGAAAGAGAATTAGTTTGAGTCTATTAGGCAAGAGGAAAAGGCATGTGCCCTAAAATGACCTAGTAATAAATAGTGAGAAGTTATGTCTTGGATCAAAGTAGGCAAGTAAAGAGTTTGGGTCAGACAGGTGCAGTTTTGGTTTGTGGGGGTTAGTGACAGGGGTGGCTGAAACCTGAGATGGCAGTCCTGCTCTCGTCAGCTTAGCCAGGGTCGACATGCGTCAACAGGGAGCTAAGAACGGCACCCATGCTGTGCCCAAAACGGGCCGAGGAGCTAAAACCGGCCTCCTTGTAGAGATGACGTATACAGAACTAAGCCAAAACATAAAGCAAATAATCAATCATTATTCAATGTATGGAGCCGAAAAGAGTCCCTGAAACTGCAAAACTCGAAGCAAAGATATATTACGTATATATATACGTCTGCTATCTAATTAATATTTTGGCAGTCTCCTATCCCTTTGATCGTAATGGCAGCCACTGAGAATACTTGCATGAAAAAAAGAGACCGCAGTAACGAGAACTTTAAGAAGAAATGGAGCACACTTAAGAATAACGGCCTCAATATATACCAGATTTATGACGCTGAAGTATATATTTGTATACGCCGTAAAGGCAAAAAGTATGAGTTTAAGTCTACTGATAGGGCGTTGCCTCTATCTGAGCAGGAAAAAGTCAGTATCTTACTGGTATAATTATTCTTTCTGTAACTAACAGAGCACGGTAGAATGAAAGCTTCCCATTACCTGTGCTCGTAACAGCCGCAGATGTTGCACGCCAGAGGAGCAATAAGAGTTCAGGAAAGGGATATCATAGTCCAGAGCGATAAATATCTAGGAAAAGTTCTATAGTGGAAAGGTAGTTGTTAATAATTGTTGTTTGCTAAGCTACTCGTATGGTAAACAGACTGTTATGTTAAGATAGCCTTTTAAATTAAGGCTAAGTAAATTATTTATTATAAGAATAGCTATTAGGCTTAGCTATTTTAAAAGTAACCTTCTCAAAGCTATTAGGTAGATTCTATATACTGACTTGGTTGTATTAGTAGTAAGTTATACCTGTAAAATGATTTTTTTCTACTAGGCAATCCCTTATACGAGGATAATTATACCAGTACTCTATCTTGTTCTTCCTAGACCATTTATACAGCTCGAGGTATACTAGTCGCATTGGAATAGTCTATTTCCCTAGACTAGTCTACAGGCAAAGTAAGACTAGTATATCCTCTATACCAGTCCTGGCTAACTAGCCCGACCAGTCAACTCCTACTGTTACACTTCAACCAGGATACAAGGGTCTAAATACTGACCCTGCACGACCAGTACACTATTGCTACCATTCCAGTGGCTTTCCTCTACTAGTCCATCTATGACGGGTATGTTATCCCTACCGAACTAACAGTTCTTTCCCTACTAGTACATCTGTAACAGCTGATTTGAGACCCAGCACCCATAAGCTTCCCTCTACTAGTAGTAGGCCTAGGCTGATCCGCTTATAGAAACGTATCAGGAAGGCAAACTGATTGTTGACTACTGTACAGTATAGTACCTTACTTTATGAGCCTTTGCTAAGGACACAGAGGGAAGCAAGCGTGCCTTGCTAAAAACGTATTTCAAGAATCGAACATCATCGATTGGGCATAAACTCATGTTCCGCTTAACAAGATGGTAAGAACTGACAGTTCTCCTCTACTAATATATCCGTAAAAATAAGTTAACGTCGTCGATTTAAAGCATGAGCAGACGTTGGATGACACTCAGTGAGTTTTCTTATACTGTACACTAACGACTGGTCTATATCTACTCTCTATTATACTAGTAGGCCCTGTTTCCTAACCATTTGGCGACGCCTTTCCTTTCGCTGCCGCCTCTGTTGCACTTGCTCTGACGACCGTAGAGTAACACCATGGACTTTCTGAACATGGTTCCGGAAGTGATTTATATGTTGAAATTTGAGGTCTCGACACTTGGGATGCTCACACCGTATCTTCTCACCGCTCCGCTCAGCTTGCTCGCGTTTCGTCAGATGCTGATCATCAAAATGGTCGTTCATGACAGTCGGACGGCAGTATGTAAAGGTACGCTCTTCACAAGAGAGTCGCTCATCGCCAATACAATCGGGGCATTGCGCGGCATGTAGGAGCAGAGGGAACCGATTGGGGCTAGGCGACGTTTCGTGTTCTATTTCGAGAGGCTCTGTCTTTACGGACGGGTAGGCTTTGAGTCTCTCTTGAATACAATTGCGCTTGATAGTCTCTCTTTTGTCACAGAGAGCCACCATAAGATCGACGGTTTCAATCTTAAGCTGGAAGATTTGATCTTCAGTCAAGTCATCGGGCTGGTGGCAGAAGATTTCTCCTAATCTGGCGCGTTCTGGGATGGTGACATTGATGATAGGCTCTGAGAACTCTTCCTCCTCTTCTCCTTGGGCTTGTCTTTCAATGTCCCAGGTCGGACGGTTATAGAAGTAATGCTCACGGTATTGCTTAACGACTTGCCTATCACGCTGCGAACGCTTCTTGCGGATTTCTTGGGTAAGCTGCCGGATCTTCTCTTCGTGTATGTGACCATCAATCCGATAGTTGCCCTCTTTAAGTTCGGCGCGCTCCTCTTCGAGCTTGACAATCTCCGGATCGGGCGGGAGACTTGCCCACACCTCCTCGGGGACCATGTCGGCGGTGGCTCGAGGATCGCGCGTGAGACTCACGTGGGCGAACAGTCGGAATAGCTGGCTCTGCTTCTCTTCCTCCAGAAATGCATTTTGGAGGTCGAAGTTGGCGATCTCGTTAAGATAGGCGTGGTGAAATGTCGCGAATTGGGGGTCATGACGCATCATCTGGTCACGTACCGAATCTGGCGCGTCTCCTGGAGGGAAAAGTCAGGTCAGTAGCGGTCTGAAAAATGTTAACAGTGACAGCATGGCGGAACGTACCGTTGGCGGCATTGCTGGCACCTCTACGCGCAAACCTAGGTGTCCATCGTCTCTCGTGTCCTGAGTTGAGACTCTGGTCACCGATGTCGTCTCGGAGCTTGGAATAAAGCATGGCCTCGTCCTCGGAGAGGTTCGCCCCACGATACCGACGGAAGACTGGGATCTTCAACTTGGACGCCTTCCAGCGGAGGGGCGTGCAGACCATGTAGGATGGCGGTCTCGATCCAAATATTGCTGAGGCAGTTGTCAAGCTTGGCGCATCGAAGGCGTCGTCATGCAGGGCAAGGGCGAGGATCGTGGAAACAGCACAGAAGAGGAGCTTCCTGGTGGGAGTGAAGAAGAAGATGGTCCTACAAAAGACTGTCAGCATGCGCAACCGGATGCATCATATCACAAGGAACCACCTACGGCCTAGGCTTGTTATCGGCACCTTTGTGATGTATGAACTTGATGGCCATGGCCGGGATGCACCGTCCGGTCACGGGGTGCCGCACGATCATCATCAATATGTCTTCGTAACAGAGGGCCTTGGGACGCCCGCGTCCCATGGTCTCCTGCGTGAGAAGGCCTTCGACTAGATTGGCTTTCTCATTAGAAGACAGCTCAGGATCTGTACCGTTTTCCATGGAAGATGAGTGGCTAGTCTTGTGGCCAAAGAGTTCATCCAGAGAGTTGTCTTTTGGCTTCTTCCGCTCGCCATCTACCAGCTCGGCAGGTCGCGCTCCGGTATAGCACAAGAGCTGGTAGCAGCCGGCTAGACTGATGCGGTGCCGTTCACCGGGGAAGATTGAGGTGTCGAAGGCGATGTTAAACGTCAGAATGACACGCAGGTTGTCCACGTTGAGCACCGGCTTGCCATCGATGTTCGGTGGGCGATGGCCAAATCGAGGGATGCAAACGCGACGATAATACTGGCTGTGTATTAGCATAACGAACAAGTCGGTTGGATCGGGCAACCAGCTGGTGATTAACGCCAATATGCGCCCGAATGGACAAGCCCCAACACACCTTATAGACCTCCTTGGAGTGGTTCCTGTCCATGTACCGTCCGTTGACAGTAGTGTAGAGCTGCTGGAATTGTCGAATATACTCCTCGATGCTGCCCCATGATGTGATGTTATATCGTTCGCACATGTAGAGGACGAAGTCCTGCGTCGTTTCGCGTTTGAGATTTTGGATCGTTGCTTTCCAGTCACCAACTTCCAGATCGGTGCAGTACCTAAAGTAAGGGAGTCAGCTAATCCAGCAATTGCGAAGAGGGTTTTAATAAAATAGCTCTGCATACCGCAGCCATTTTCTGAAAATGCCGCTGATATTAATCTCGGTTTCACCGGAGTACTTGGGCTTGATGAAGAGAACGTCGGTCAGCTGCGCCCGGTGCGCAGCGTGCTCTTTAATCGAGAGCGTCGGCTTTTGCTTCGCCGCTCGCCACTTGGCTTCCTGAACAGCAAAGCTTTGAAGAAAGACGGCGTTGTTCTTGTGTAGACCGCCTGCGGCCGCAGATCGTGGTGCGGTCATCATGTTGGTAGACATCTGCTCGAGAGGGTAGACAGACCACAATCAGCGATAAACCGTCTCGAGCGAACGTGGATGGGGGAGTAGAGGCGTCGAAGGCAGAGGCAACGCTGCCACTTATACACTGAAGAAGCCATGTCAGTTCGGGTACGGCTATTCTGGGCGACAAGGGATAGGTCCATTGTGGACGACGATGAAGCAGATGCAGTGGGTGTCGAAATTAGAACGCCCTTTGTGGTGATGAAGGCAGAAGGGGGACCGAAACTGGGACCCCAGGTGGGTAAGCCATGACAGCCCTACTATGTTAGCCTGGGGCGATCTTTGCGTGGGTGGGCCGGCTAAAGTATATAATACCTGCCCTGCGACCTCTGGTTGTTAGGCTCCCCGTACTGCTAGCGCCGCCTAAAATGGTACCACTTTCCGCCCGATTTGGCGGCCCTAGCAGCGCTTTCTCGGTTTAAGGAGTAATATATATAATTAAACCTTTTTTAGGTCTATTAGCTAGGTATAGTTTATCCCTAACTTTTTTCTTTAATCCTTTATAGTAAATTTCTATTAAGGCTTTATTATCTTATTTAGTTTTAAATATAAGCTATTAGAACTTAATAAAGTAAGTAGTATATAACTTAGTTTATTTAAGTATAAGTAGCTTTATTATAGCCTATTATTCCTTATTAACTATTTTAAAGTTATTTTTAAGGGCTTATTTAAAATTTCTTTAGTTTTTAAAAATATTTTAAGAATCTTAATCCTGCTATTCTTTTTTATTTTTAAGGAAGTCTCTTAAAATAAGTTTAAACTAATCCTTTATATCTCCTTAAATTAGACTTATAGTATATAAAAGTTTCTTTATAAGCGTATTTAGCTTATTCTTATAAAGGCAGAAGTAAGCCTTTATTTAAGTTAAAAATAAGATTATATTAGCAGCTTAGCCTCTAAAGGGTTTTAGCTTAGGAGGCTTAAGTGCTTTACCTAGGTCTTATTTATTACTGCCTTTATTAATAGTTATAGTAGGATATATATTTATCTAAGCCTATAAAATATAAATAATATTATAAAGTTATTAGACTTTAGCTATTATCTTAATAGCGCTAGGTAATACTTTAGTATAAAGAGGTATTAGGCTAGTATTACTAAATATCTTAATAATATAATATTACTTAGTTATTAATATAATATATTTTAAATAAGAGCTATTAATATATAATAAGTTAGGTTTTAAATAAGTAAACTAATTTATACTTAGTTTAATATTTATAAAGTTATAAGGTATTATATTAAGTAATTATAAAGTATTATATCTCTTAATAGTAAATAAAGCAGGTTAGGTATATTTAAATAAAGAAGTCTTATTAATAGCTAGTAAGCTAAGTTCTATCTATTACTTAAAAAGTATATATATATACTAGGTATATTCTTTAGTAATTAGTAAGGTTATTTAGGGGATTAGTAGTAATCCAGATAGATTAGTACTGATTATGGTAGATTAGCTCTAATTATAGAGTCTTAGCGCTAATTATCTTTAGCAGAGGGTATGGTAATTAGTAGAAAATATAGGGCACACGTAATGGAACCGCTGGGGTCGTAACAGCACGTGACTAATTAACCTTATATATAAGAATAGATAAAGTAAAATTAGTAAAAAAGCAGTAGTTTAAACTAGGGATAAATTAATTATAAAGCTAAATAAAACTTTATTAATTAAAAAGTAATTATATAATTAAAATTATTATAAAGAAAAAAATAAAACTTATACTTATTAATTAATATAAAAAAATAACTATTTAATTATAATACTAAAAAAGTTTTTTTATTTTATTTTTTATTTTATTTTTAACCTTATAAGAGGCTATCTAGCTTTTTAGCTTTTTTATTAATAATATAAATAAAGAGACCTTTATAATAGGCTATTATAATAGAAGTTAATATTAAATAAGGTTTATCTGCCTTAATAATATAATTACTGCCTTAATTAAGTAATATAAATACTAGCTATAGGTTTACCTCTTAGCAGCTAGATTAAGCTTCTTCCTTTAACCTACCTAAAGGAATACTATACCCAATTCATCTATTGCAAAGTACATTACCTAACCTAACTTTTCCTATACCTATTAGTCACACTTGCTAATATTAATTATAGCTATTATTATAATGGCTACTATTTGCAATAGCCTGCAGCCTAATTAAGGCTATTATATAACTAATTATAATCTTATTAATATAATTAAACTAGCCTTAAAGCAAGCTATAAAAAGAGATTGCTATATATTATATATAATAGCTATATTTATTAAAAAGAACTTTTTATTAAATAAGAAGTCTAGCTTAATTAAGATAATTATTTTTAATTATAGCCTAATTAAGTTAATTAGTTATATAGATCTAGGTTATTTAGGAGGTATAATATCTCTAGCCTAGATTAATTAAGAGCTATCTGGATTAAAGAAGCTAGAAAAAGCCTTAAGGCATAACTAGCCTTTAATAGCAGAAGAGGCAGCTTTCCTTACTGCCTTTATAGGCAACTTAGCCTAATATAAAGAGTGGCTTATTAATGTAATTATAGAGGCAGAATAGGTACTCTATATCCTCCCTATTATATATAAATATATAAACTAGGCTAGTTATAGTCTTAGACTTTAAGAGCGTAGCTAGGACGAGGAGTCTATATATAAAGTTTTAGGATACTTTAAAGCTTATAGCAAAGGTGCCTAAAAGACCTCTAGCTTGCCTTATTATTATAAACTTACTTCTTATATTACTAGGACTAATTCTTGTAATTCTTGCTTTCTTAGCCTTAAATAGTAATATTAGAGATATATAAGTAAGACTAGGTATTACTTTACTTATTATAATGCATTTTAAAGCTAATAAAGGTAAGGTCGCAGTAAAGAAGATTAATTATTTATTTTAAGAAAGAAATAGGGGCAATAGGCCACAGGTTAGGGTTAAAAGGAGTGCTTTAGGTAGCTAGAAATTTACCAGTTATAGGAATGTATATTAGATTTGACTTATTTAAATGGAGCATAGTAGAACCACTGGCGGCTCAAACCTCAGAAGTTCGACTATCGAGACAATACGATTATATATGCAGTCAATTGTTAAGAGTGACACTATTAGACAGGACGGCATAATAAAAGTTCTAACAAGCCTCGAGCTCAGACACTTTTACTGATCTGAAATTCTGAAATTCTGAAATTTATTCCCAGCTATAATTTCACAACATACATATATATCTAGAGCCTAAATTGCCTCAAAGCTCTGCAGTAGATACTTATGTTGCTGCTTCAAACTCTCAATCTCTTTTGCGAAATCCCTTATCTTGCTCTGTCTTTCTCTGTCATGAGTTGCTGGGCTTACTTCCGATCTTTTATAGGATTGAAGAGCGATATCTAAATCAGTTTTGACAACTTTGAAGACATCACTAAGCAAGCTGGTGAGCCTTCCCGAGGTTTCTGTGATTAACTGACTCATTCTGTCGGAGATTGCGATGGACATTTTTGGGAATATGACTCCCTCTTCAATATATCCTTGGATGATCGATTTTTGACGTGCAGCCTTACCGTCACCTTCTCAAAATTTCCCCTGTTAGCTTCCAAAACTTAAGAAAGAGCTACCCGCACAAATATAGACTATCGTGTTGAGAGGTGTATTGCTCAACTGAGAGCTTTCATAGGGAGTGATTCGAGGGAAAGATACACATACCTTTTTGACTAGCCGCAGACCGATACTGGGGAATCATGTCTTGAAGCACATAGGAGTTGTAATTCGATTCCGACGCGTACCTTCGTATAACTCTGCAAAATTATTAGCGATGTCCTACGGTGATAATTTCTGACGCTCTGTCAGGAGACAAAGACGGAGAATTCATCCTACCTAACTTCTGCATGCAATCTCCTTTCTTCTCTGCTCATCCTATACTTAAGATTTTCGATTTGAGCAGTAATACTTTGAGCAATTGGGTTGACATGCTGCGGAGGAAGCGAATCTGTAAAGAAATATATCCTTAGCTTCTCTAGACATCTTTCAAGGGCTGATAATGGTGGACTCACGAGATAAACCAGATTTCAAGGAGTCCAAAAGACTCATCGCACCGTGGAGCATGGCCGAGAATACATCTGTCACCTCTTCTTCCACAATGTCCCATTGGCCTTCAAGCTCCATTCGCATCTTCCAGATAATTTTTGCGTTCCAGTCCTCGCGCCCTCGCTTCGGTGTCTGGTGATCACCGTATTTAAGACACCATGCGTTGTACTGACCTGTGATCGTTTTGTTAGCGCTATGTCTTCATAAGTCTGTGGGTTCATGTGCTGAATTACTCCAGTGCCACTGGGAAGCAAAGTTAGCTATGTGTCTAGGACGCGATACGATGCTCTTCAACTCACAGTTGTCCACACCAAACCTTCCTTACTAGCAGCTTGATCCCAATGATAGTCTCTCTGACCTTGAGACAAATTTGATTAGGTTTTTCTCATGTACGATTCACCAACTAGTACGTACCAAAGAAGGTCATTATCTGCTCTTGGAAGCATTCAGTAAAGTCCTGCCGGAAGGTCGCGACTAGATTTGGAATCTGTATGCTGATTCAGTATCATTTGATAGGATGAAAGGTACACCCATAAACCTACCTGATCTAAAGCCTCTTTCGCCTTTGCTCGGACGGAGTCATCTAGCTCTTCAATCTTGTCTTGCTCGTCAAGCGAGCTGTTCGCCCACAGATCAAGCGAATTCAGAAGCGCAGATAATCTAGACCTAAGATAATGTTTCGCTTCATTCAACTGAGCATCTGCAGTCAGTGTGTGACAGAAACGTCGAAGGTCTGGAATACCGCTGGCGTCCACAAATGTGTTGTTTCCTTTAGGGCAATACTTTTCGTACCACTTGTTAGACACGCAAAATACATCCAAGTTTCTGCCATCCATCTCTGACGAGTAAGCTGTTTGGAGATTTCTTTTGACATGCTCATTCCGCGCTTGGACTAAGAGAAGCTCCTGCCTATGCGGGTGTTAGTACAACTTGGGGGATCAAAATAGGACATGACTGACTGTTTTTTGGCATCCTTCTTTCTTTTTCTGTCCCCCGAGGACTTTGCCGTATCAATCTCACTATCCAGGCTTTCCATAGTAGCAATCGAGATAGCCTTGTTTGGACCGCAAAATTCACGTCTTGCTGTCACAAGGTTGATTTCCTGATTGAAGATGTTAGTGTCCCGAATTACCATCAGAAAGACAACATAGCATTACCTCTGACTTAGTACAAACAACTGCAACGTTCAACCTTTTTGCGCCAGACTCTTCCCACTCTGTTGGCATATGGCGAGATAAAACGTAAAAGAGCGAATATTTGAGGGATTGGTCGGTGATGGCACGGGATATCTTAGCAACAATTATAATGTTGTCACATTTCATGAGATAATCTTGAGTGGCTCGAACCCTCGCCAGATTCGTGTCTTGGAGTCCTGTAGTAGAGTTTGTCGGTCAATCGTATGCTCACTAAGGAAATGGGTTGGGGCAAAATTACCAGGCAGATCCGCGAGGACAACTCCAGTCTTGAGTACTTGGGAGTTGAGATATACGCTGCAGAAGTGATATGTCAGACATTATTGCCAAAGCGAGGATGAGATCGCTTACCGAATGATTTTAGTGAATGGCCAAAATTTGTCTTGCATAAATAGTTTCGTATGCTCAACACATTCGTCGGCTGTCTGCGCTGTTGATGTCCAAAACCCGTCAACGCCGCCTGCCGGCCACTCAGTCTCCTGAGCCCACTCAATGAGCTGACCGGTGATCCTCTCCAGAGCCCCATTGGACATATCTTGGGCAAACTTCTTCGTGAACTGCCTTTTGTGTTTGAACGCTGCATGCAGAGCAGACCATGCCTGTTCGGATTCTCTCATGTAGCCGTTGTAATCTTGTTCTGAGGTCTCATCCGACTCGACACCAGGAAGATACAGCTGTCTGTAGCTCCACAGAAGTTCTTGTATCATATCCCGGATCTCAGGCGCTGAAAGATACTCGACATCGATGGTGATCGGGGCAGTATGTCCTGCTTTCTTCTGTCGATATTCAGTAACGACTGAGGTGCAGGCGGATCCGATGTCGCCCTGCAATTTGAACTTGCATTAGTACCTATAGAATTAACGGTTTCAGAATCATTTCGTGATAACATACTGTTTGAGCAACACCAGGAAAGTGAAGCAGTGAATTGATCAGACTACTCTTTCCTAAAAGGTAATATCGGTGTCAGTGTTGAAAAACACGGATTCGTTAAGAACTTCTTACCTTCTCCCGAATCACCCAGTACGGCAATTGTGCGTGTGTCGCTACCCTGGAATTGTTGCAGGTCTTTTGCGTCATCCAAAAACTTGCTAACATCTGAGTCAAGAATGCCCGGGTTCCCGGCTTGCATCTTTTCAATTGCCTTTACAGCCTTCTGGGCTATGTCGGGGCCTTGTTTCAATGCATCTTGAAAGACGGAAGTAAATAGAGCATGAGGAAATGCTAATTCTGTTCTAGTATCATAAGGAATGACAAGCGCTGGTGGCTCTGGATTTGGGGACGCCATATAAATTGAGTCCGGCGTTTCCAGCTGTGTTCGGCTTGGAGTTGAAACAGTTGATGATACAAATGACAAAGATCGCTGTCTACTGTCCGACGCTGGACTAGATAGGGAATTGAACGAGAATGGAGGTACCTGAGAATTGCTTGTAGATTGTGCTCGGGTAGTTCTTGCAGGTGGAGTCATGAAAGACGAAAACAGCTGAGAAGACTGTTGTTGTGGAGGTGTTGCGCGAGAAGGCAAAGGCGAAGGCGAGCGTGAAGGAAGAGGTGTCATATTATGGAGCGACTGGAATGAGAATGGCTGGGTCTGAAGTGATGAAGAATCTTGGTCATCGCCCCCGAATTGTAAGACGTTTCTGGAGCTGACATTTTGGTTCGGAGACTGGTGGCCGGAAACAAAAACGCCATCAGATGAAGAAGAAGGACCAGGACCAGAACTAGGTGAAGAAAATGAGAGGTCAAATGTCCTTGGGGATGAACGCCCGGGAGTGGATTGGCTCCCATTTTCAGCAGAGCTCGGATGATCTGCAAGTGACAAGCCCTTGAAGAGGGTTGATGGTGGGTTTAAAGAGGAATTGGCCATGATGTGGTATGGGTTAGTGTGTGAAGAATCTAGAGTGACTTCTACCTTTGCGAACAAAAGGTAGGACAAAAGAGAAGGGAGAGAGGGGTTGGGGCTCTCCATAAGATAAATACCTCGTAAGGGGATGTTCTCACCAGGATACAAATGTGTTGGTTGTGGTTCTTATGCATGTTGGTTCGACATTGTCCAGAAAAAGCAGCTAACGGTTTCAGCCCACACTAACGCAGCCAATTGAAGAAATTCACCGTCGTCATTTGGCCAGTACCATGTCCATCGAGCTATAATCCCAGTTCAACCTAGCCAATGACACGCAGACCAGAGAGCCCTCAAGTCAGATATCTCGACGCCGTGCCAGGCTCTCTTTCGCTTTGACCTGTAGTTTATCGCTCCGATCCTAAAAATGCCTCATATCTCATACCATACCAGAATCAGGTGGGGAGCCCCTGCAGCCGGTTTCCAAAGGCCATAGCCGCTTTCCTCATATCACTATAAATAGCTACACGATTCATATTCATATTTACATCGGTATGAAGCGTGGTTAGGGTTAGTTAAATAAGAATATTAATAAAACCCAAGTTTGCACAACTGTTTTTTTCGCTAATTTTACTTTTAATTTTAGACGTAAAGTTCAGGCAAGTTATATACCTTACTATATAATTTAATTAATCTAAGCTGCCACAGACATTGCGAGACGCAGTTACAGTTACCCGTTGTATTGGAATACGGTATATATGGATTGATTCTCTATGTATCATTCAGCACGGAGACGATGGCAAAAATCAGGAAGTGGAGGCCAAGAAGGTGGGGGCAGTGTATGAGCGTGCTCTTCTCACTTTGTCGGTGACTGGCTGTTCTGGCGTCACCCAAGGCTTTATTGGCATTCGAAAATTGTCCTTGGAAGTTGATATACAAGTCCACCAGGTTTCTTGGACCACATGGAGTGGGGGCACGGCTCAAGTCTTCTTTCGACAGCGACTAGCCCATACTGCCATCGTGTCGGAGAACTCAGAGAGCATTAAGGCCTATCCCTTGCTTTCTCGAGGCTGGACTTTCCAGAAACGACTCCTGGCGACCAGAACATTACATATCCTGCCATATGAACTCTTATGGGAATGTAAATGCGAATATTGGTGTGAGTGTATGGGTGTCCTCGCAAACCAGATCTGGAAGATAGGTCAAATGAGAGGCTCAAATTTCAACAACGTAATGGCAAGGCCGTTATTGGTCGAGAATCCAATCAGCATTTGGCAGACTCTAGTTGAACAGTACTCGAGACGATCCTTTACGAAGCTGCATGATAAGCTGCAAGCCTTTTCCGGCGTTATTAATAGGTTCTCTAGAAGTCGGAGTGGTCTTGGTGATTTCCAAATGTGGCGATAACTGTGCAGGTCTTTGGAATAATGCAGACTTTTTCCGGCTCTTGATGTGGCAGGTCGACTACACCAAGGTCACTGAAAGGCGCGACTTGGCTTTTATACCAATGAATTCAACTAGAGAGCAGCACAGGGACAACAAAGAGGACACACAGCGACCGAAGCTGACTGGACTGAAGCCTTCTCGGTCATGGATTGCAACGTCGGGACCAGTAACATGGAAGCAGACCAGCTTCACACATCCTATCACTGAAAGCAGGTACCTTTTAACAGATATCAATCCCATACTTGTAACAAAATAACGACATACTGCCAAAGAGGGTAGCTGGTCGGATCCAAAATCTGGTCGGCTTTGTCTAGGGACCTGCATGATTTCCGGTATCATGCGTAGAGATAGCGGTGGGTGCTATCGGTTGGACTTTACCGGTCTCGACGACGTGAGAACTAAAGCTACATCGGCGATCTTCATCCCTGATGCATCACTAGTAGAGTTAGAGTTACGTGTTGGTTGTACCATTCGTTGTGTTAATATTTGCACTTACATAGAAAACGAGGAAGTACACTGGGTTGCATTGGCACTTTAGCCGTGTAGCGATGCAATAATTGACGGACAAGATGCCAAGTGGCCCAGCAATAGGTTTGTGCGTATCGGGCTTATTAGAGGGAAAACAGACACAAAATCAAGGAAGCTTGAAGACCTTCCTGAGCATATATACGGCCAGCACATGTCTGATAGCGACTGGTGCACTAAACGATGGTGTGAAGAGTTCTATTGCGGCATTTGGAAGACAGATGGGAGATTGAGACGAGATATCTGTATAATCTACTGAATGTCAAGTTGGTTCATTTTGGTTCGATCAAGATGCTCATTAATTTGCTTTTGGGATATTATAACAGAAAGCTTTTTCGTTGCGGCGGTGTTTCCTGGCCATGTCAGCCTTGCTATCAGACCCAGCCTGCTGCATAACGCCACTGGCACACAGCCCGACTTCCCAGACCAATCATAGATTGACACAACAGTGAACACTTTCAACTATTGTAATTTTCAAGCCATGTTTTTCTCATGTCACTCTGGCGGTCAAATCCTGAGATCTAGGCTGTTTAAGCCCATGCAGCCCCAGTCGTATTTAGTTTCAACGTCGTCGTGCTACTTCAATACCTTTGCAAGCCGATAACAATAGCCAGCGATCATCTGCTTTTCTCTTCTTTTCTACTTTTACTTTCCTGTATCCGTATCCCAGAGGATTTTGGCCATGGTGGACAATCTCGCGCTGACGTATGCTGGGGCCACGGGAGGCCAGTTTGATCAACAAGGGTCTATTGACTGGATCCAACTGGCCAGAATGTCTGTATCGGTTCCAATTTCTGTCCTCGCCCGTGTTTCAGCTGCAGATGTCTCGCCTCTCACGATTGTCGTGGGACAGGAAATTTCATCGCTCTTCAAGTTATCCACCGCTGGCCATGAACGTCTTGCTAAGGCGCTGTCCGAATTGAGAAGCTTTTCCGCCATTGGAGATGCGATCTGGTTTGGCTTTGGCATCAAGCACCTTGTTAGAGTGCTCGCAGAAACCAACAAGGGGTTGACACTTCTCACCCTATGTGGGTGTCTTGCTGAGATCCATCCACCAAAAGCTTGTGCTGAGATTTTGATCAAGCTGGCCTATGTTTCCGGCGCTCCTGATGAGCTAAGGCCGTCGGCAAGTCAATGGATCAACCTAGTAGGAGCTTGTTCTGGCACTCTCAAGTCAACGACATTTGGATGTATCGCGCAGCAATTCATGGCTTTCTATGGCGGCTACGTGTTTGCTGAATATCTGGATGACGCTGAAGGCGTTGCCAGGGCTTTCCTCGCCGTTGCGCATGTCTCTTCTGGGGCTTTAGAATCTGTAACACTCACGGGTGGTCGATCTTGTGGATGGATCGCCGCCATAGGGTTCTATTTTCTCGGCCTAGACGTCGAGATTCGAAGTCCAGACAATGTTTCAATCTACAAATCTACGCCCAATGAAGACTCAGTCCGTATCCTGGTCATATATGGCACAAGTCTTGCATCTGACCAGATTCAAGTTAACTGCACTGCCTACTTCATCAAATCCATCGATAGCCTTGTGTCTAGCTACGAGGAAAGGTTCGATTCTATAATGTGTGGAACGATTCACTGGGAGAGTTCCCTCTCACGGACATTCGGAATACCTTTTGAAAAACTACTGGGAGCTAAAATAGAATTTGGAGCTCTAGTCGGCTACGCTGCGCGCGTCTTCAAGGGTCTGGCGAATTCTGAGGCCAGTAGTATCTTCGACGTTCATGACCGGATCAGTTGGTTTGGCTTCCAAACTAGCCAATATGGACATGGATTTGCAAATGCTCTTGTTTCATTCTTTCCAGAGCTTTCTCAGTTAGCACCTCACATCCATGTCGATATGCAAATGTCACTCGATGCATCTGTCGGGGCATATGAAGAAGCATCAAACGCTTTATCTGCCATTTGTGGCTCTGACTGCTGCTCAGGCGGTGTTCACTCTAGTTTTGGCGGTCGTGGTTATTGTCTTCCGGTTCTGGCTGAGACTATCATTTCTCTTGTATGGAACCTGTCTGCACTTCAACTCCACGCCGATCTGAAGCCGTATCACTCCGGCTTGAGATTCTTGTACGAACTCCATGCCGGTCGTGCGTCGACTGATGCTAGCTTCGGGGAAAGATACGGGGCTGGTAAAAATAATGGATCCTACTGGGGAGACATTACTGACCTTGTGCGTCTGCTCGACCTTGCGTCAGTTTACCATACTGCACAATTTCTCTTCACCACCAACCTATACCCTCTCAGAAGACGCAGCGCACTTACAGCTGTTTCTGTTGGAGGGCTTTGTTTCTATTTTGATATATTGCGAAACGTATCGGATCGGCCGGAAAAGGCAATGGTACTGCATGTTGTACCAGGAGTCATTCAAACAACGGCCGGGCGAGAATATCAATTTATCGCGGACAAGACAGCCGCATGGTCTGAGGGCCTTCTTGGATTTGATTGGAGAGATAACTCTTCATTCGAGGCAACAGCTGAGTTCAAGACTGACTATCAGGCTAAGGTCACGGAGACCATTGGGGGCAATATTTCCATTCCTTCTCTCGATATGGACACGGGAAGCTCTGATCTCGACGTGAGACTTTTTATTGAGGAATCTGCCGGTGGCCTACTTGTCGATCTTCACTTCATTTCTCTCGCGGGAACTTGTCGGGTTGGTGCATATACTATGCTCAAGGAGATTATCGAGAACTCAGGGTTGGTCCACTGTGCTCACCGTAACTGCGCTCGTTTGGATCAGTTTTCCTGTGATATATCAACCCTGGATGGAGAGGGCTGTAGACCCGAGGGTCTCCAAGGGAAGCTGCATGTTCGAAGACTCGTTGGTAATACTTTGGCGAGATGCGTGGGTCTTTTGGTCAACAGGGAGTGGACGGAGCCGGCCATACTGCGTGGGCGGGAATGTATCCCATGTTGTATCAGAACTGCGATTGATTTACGACCGGATTACCAACGATCTCCATCTTATGTTATTCTCTAGCAACCACCTTATTCCTGATGCCATCGGAACAATTAGAAGAAAATGAAATAAACATTAGTCTAATGATACACCTAAGAACATATTAGTACTTTTCACGATTATATTCTCGATGTAAACAAGGGTGTGGAATGACGGCATTCAGCTCTACCAGGCTTCTGGATGTACTTGCAAGCACACACTTGGCCAAACACAGTACTAAGGAAGCAAATTCAGCACGGGAGCATGTCATGTGAATCTAGATCAATAAGAAGCGTGATTGAGCCAGTGGCGCGTATGATCTTTTCGATCCTTCTTCATGAATATCACGCCAGCTAATTGGTCGTATTTTGAGACTCGCAAGACTTGATGGAACGTGAGAGAAAAAGACATACATCAAGATTACCCACTATAGGTTGACTCTAGACTATCTGAGCAAAACATACCGATGCGCAAACCAAACTACAAGCTTCCTCTTTCGTATTCACCTAGTAAATAAGTCCAAACCTATCCTCCAACCAAATCCATCGCTTACCGCTCAGACGACTTACAAGGTCATATCTCAACCCCGCTCAGACGCCAAGAATTCACAAAGTCCCGTTAGCATTTAGCGACCTGCCATAAAGAGTTATGCCGATGCACAAGCGGCCCGTCCAAATGCAACCTTGGGTCAATTGCCTCAGTGGCTATCGCACGGCATAAGGTTTGATTCTGGAAGGTCGCCAGGCGTTTATGCTTAATCTGAGTGTAGGAACTTATGAATCGTGATAGGCGGTATGGTGTCACTCGTGTAATATATCTCCTGCCGCAATGGAGCATTGAAATCACGGAGGATAATGAAATGACGATTGATGGGCGATGGGATTGGGCTCCTTCCTAACACAACCTTCGGAGGGAGATCGTCGTTCTCTATATAAGTGACGATCCCATGATCGACGGAAGTTTTAGCCAAGCTCAATTCACTCCAGCTTCAGCCTTGATCACTTCTGCTTCTCTGTCATCATGCGTCCTACTCTTGCTCTTGCAACCCTCATCGGGTTGTCCAACGCCGCTACCATCGATCCTCTCTACAAGATTGAACTTGCACCTGGCGATGTTCGCACCGTCACCGAGAAAGAAAAGTAGGCACTAAGGGCTATCCTATCCTAGCTGCGAGGCGGATATAGGTCTAAATCTAATAGAAAACATATATAAAATAAAACCATATTAATAAAGATAAAGACCTAAATCTATTACCCTTAATAAATATAAATTACTATTATTAAAAGTTATAAAAAATAACTTTTAATATAATATATTAATTTATAATTATTAAGATATATTATTTTATATTTAAATTATAAAAATTAAGTATTATAATAGTATAATTAGTTTAAAACTTAGTTAATTATATTTAATATTTTTAATAATAAAAAGCAATTAGTAAATTATTTACCTTATATTAGTTTATATATTTTAATATATTTAAATATAAGTAAAGGAAAGTAATAAAAATATAACTAAAGAATAGTAATTAAGCTAAAATAATTTATAAAAATAGCTAAGTTATAATAATAAATAAAATTATATATTAAAATATTTTTTTTTAAGTTTATAAGTTTATAAGTTAGCCTTAAAAGGTATATTTAAGCATCTCTAAAGTTTAATATAATTTAAATATTTATTACCCTTATAGCTAGTAAAGCTTTATTAAGTTAAATTATTATAATTAAATGCCTTAATTACAGCCTAAACCTAGCTATATATATACTAGCTAAAAAGCCATACTTATTAGCTAGCCCTAACCTTCTTTCTGTAACCTACCTAAACGGCTACTTTTTTATTAACCTCTACTACATACCACGCTTTAATTATCTATTATGCAGTAAGTTATTTAACCTAACTTTCCCTTTTAACTATAACTACTAATAGTATTATAGCTATATTATTATAATACTTGCTTTTTAAAAAACCCTATAGTTACTTAATAAGGCCTTTTATATTAAAATACCTAACCTAACCCTTTATTTTATAATAGCCTTTAAAAATTATAAATATAAAATTAAGCTTTATATTATAATAATAAAATAAAAAAAACTTAAAATAAAAAGAAATATTATTATTTTTATTAAATAAGTTATTTTAAGCTATAAGGTCTTTTTATTTATATATTATTATTATAAAAAGCTAATATTTTCTAAAGGCTACTTTAAAGGCACAGCTTTAAATTACCAGTTACCAAGTAAAGGAATCATCCGCCGTCCTCTATAATACCCACTCCCTCGTTTTATCTCACCTGCTCAATACTCTGCACCATGTATACTTCCTCCATCCTCATGGCTGCGGCCGTCTATGCCTCTACTGTCACTGGCCTCGCGACACCACAACTCTCAAAGCGATTCTCTGTCGCCGGAGCCTCGAACGAGACTGGTTTCACCGTCCCAAAGAACGTTCAGCCCGGCGTCTACTCGGTCTTCATTGACGAAGATGGTGTCGCTCACCACACCCAGCTCGACAACACCGACAAGCCCAAGAATGAGCCTCGCGTTGACCAGCTCTCGGCTGACGACGACGTTTCCGGTCTTGAACGGAGAGAAGAAGGCACAGGAATGCGATTCATTACCTGTGGAGATAACAGGGAAATGGACCGTCAGTCGACAATCGACGCAGTCCAAGACTTGGTCAACCAGTGTGGCGGTGGTCTGAAAGTCGATTCCAGCCACCACATCTATTCTGTCAGGGGCAACGTGGCAGCATTTTACTGCAACTACGTCACCTTCATAAACTCAACCCCTCCTTGGGGGGTATTCGGGGCGCCCCAGACTTGTTGCGGCGACAGAGTCCGGAATATCATTTCCCATCAGATCAGCGACGAGTGTGGCTCGTTCAAGCCTGGCTGGAGCGAGGACACATTTGCAAAACAAAAGAATTCTGTTGGATATCACGAAGTCGGCGCAGATAAGAACTTCTGTGGAGAGGGGCACCATTGAGAATGTTTTAAGTTCCTGACCTCTACCGTTGTATACGAGATGGCCCTTGCACTCCAGTATATCTTGTTGTATTACATGTGAGGGTTATCGAGTTCACAAACCATGTACCTGAATCCGTCTACCCATACAACATGGGTTTATTATCTTCTCTTCAGCTAGTACTTATACTTCCATAAAGACAATGTTTATTCATTCTACCCTCATCTTTACTCCATGATGTGGCAGGCTGTGTCTTTATAAAGAGACTTGGCCTGATAAGGATACTTGATGGCCTTGGCTATTGGCCCGGGCTTGAGACAGGCGGATGACAGAAGCAGCCTAATGAGAGAGTGAATGCTATTTTTCAAGCCCCCTTTGGTCTTATTTAGGACATACAGCGATGGGTTGGTTGAACCTCTAGGCAGCTGAATCTACCAGTAAATCACGTGTTCGGCACTCCATATCTCCAGGCACCGTAAGGCTTGTGGGCCTAATATTTGCTAAGAAATATCTCACTCATACATAGGTTGAGGTAAGACTTAGGTAGTTCTTATTACCTTGAAGCTCCACAAGCTCTACGGCGTTTGAAAGGATAGTGCAAGCACACGTTGATTCTCAAACAGGACTCTGAAAATGTCATGGAACTAAGTAAGATGAAGCTGAGGAACGCGAGGTGATGACTTCTGAGCTTATACTAACTGCCTTATTGCGTGTCTCTCTAACTAATATGGAGGGCACATAACACCATTAGTAACTAAGAAAGAGCTGAACTCTTTCTTGCTCTTAAAGGACTCACAGCCATCCCCATCCCAGAGTGCAAAGAGCTCGTTGCCAGGAGGAACTTCTGTAGTCTTGCAATCCTTATGAAGGTAAAGACATGCCTTCCAATTTTTCTTTCTGGAAGGAATATTGCCATTGACACTGTTCACACCCTCGGGAATATTGTTGCTACATGCAGTCTCACCATATCCGCTTGCCTTCCCAAGAGAGCCTTTGCAGTCCTGCGTTTCTCGCTATTAGTACCAAGACTCGTAAGGTATTGTAGTACCAGACACAGAGTAAAGCAACCTGACTCACCTTTGAGAATGTCAAGTCCCATGCTTCTTCAGCATCCCCGCTACAGTCGCCTGTAGTGACTCGATAAGCCTTGATAGCTTTGTTGCTGAATCCAACACATCCACCGCTTGAAGGTATTCCGGAACCACCAGAAAGCATGGAGTAGTCGCTGCTACTTGATGCTTCACAATTGTCTTTATAATAGAAGCACGCCTTGTAAGAGCTCTTTGTAAAGCCGGAGACTTTGTAAACGGAGGTTGAAGCAATACTTGTGCATCCCCTCTGCGTCTTTCCGTACTCATCTACAGCCACAGATTCACCACAATCCTAACGTCGATGGTTAGTCATCCCACTCACGAGAGAACTGCATAAGGCGTACCTTGTCCATGAACCGGAGTCCAAACCTGTCATCCGGTGATCCTGACCCTGTTGGCTGAGGCCTTAACGTGGTTGGCTCTGGCTTTGACGTCGTTGTGGTAGTGGTGGAAGTGGGCGGCTTGACTCCTCCTTGGGGGTCATTTCCATTGCGGTTGGGGTCCTTGGGGTCACGAAAGTCGGGCGGTGGTCCAGGCGGATTGGGCCGACAATAGTATCCGCTACAAAGCTTTCCACCACAAGTCGCCTCAGCCCGCTCAAAGAGTCTTCTGATGAGACTGTTTGCGCTGCACTTTGGCCCATCAGGCCCTGATCTCCATGTTATTCTCTTGGGAGAGCCTCCTGGGCTGCTAGGGCTATCTGGTAATGTACTCAGGTCTGGGGGGAGCTCAGGACAGCCATCAGGAGGAGGCGACTTGCCCATCAAGCAGCTTTCGCCACCAGAATGACCGTTCCAGACAACGTGCTTTGACACATAATCATCAGGCCCCTCTACACGGTTCGACTCCCATCTCGCAAAAGGGCGACTCAGACCCTTGATCAATCTTTTGACAGTAGCTGGTTGTCTAAGCTGCTCTTGATATGACTTGTTTGGAAGAGATCGGAAATAGGCAACCAAGGCAGCAACAAGCGGGGCGGCTTTGCAGTTATAGTTAATAATCGACCTGTCACTAGGGAGAGAGGGCCTAGGCTGTACTCACAAAATGAGGTACCACGTCTCGTCTTTGTGGCTGTGCCCGAACCGTCAGGTATAAGTACTCCATCACCAGGAGCATAGATGATGTCCATGAAGAAATTCTCTTTGCTGATAGGAGACAGCCATCCTCGTTCGTTTGTGGCGCCTACGACTATCAAATCGTCAATAGCAGGAGGGCCGTCTGGCAAAGAATCTGCACCAAACGATGGTGGCCATTCATCAATAGTACGACTGGGGTCCTCTTTAGTTCCTCCGTTACCAGCACTCGTCACGACGACAGTCTGGGTCTTGCCAAGCTCAATAATAATCTGGTCTGAGTAATTTAATCACAACGTCAGCGGATCATGGCATCTACTTGAGATAATATCCAGTAGCCTGTTGGAGGAGGAAGGGCAAGGGGTTCTTACATAGGATCCCCAGAAATGCGACATCGGTATCCTTGGGAAACACTACGCTGCTACTGACGACAGCGTTACCCCGGCGTTTCTTCTTCACGATGTCCTTGAGTGTGGCAGCCCAGGCACTTAAAAGCATAGCAGGGCTTCTTCTCTCATGCCATGGTATATTCGCCATGACCAGGGTGCTCTTAGGGCTCATACCCATAGTGCGACCAACTGCCATTGCGGCCACTCCACTCCCGTGCTCGGCGTCTAACGTGCCTTCGTAGGGTAGTTCGTGGTATATGGGCAAGTCGAGGTATTCTATATCTGCGCCCCTGAACTCCTGGTATATGTCAATATAATCTACCTCTGAATTAGTACTGCTATAGGCACTCACTTCATGATCTGTATTGATGGCCTCTTCCCCGACGACATACACATATTGGCCTGAACCCAGCTCAGACTCAGAGGAGATCAGATAAGGGTCAGTTTGGAGAGGGTTGTATTCGATGCCGTTCGGGTCTTTCCAAGCTTTGCCTTTAGGGAGAGTAATTTGTGAGGGTGCCCAAGACTTTGACCTTCTTGGGACTGTGAGGTCTTGACCACCTTGGCGTGCAGACAGGAGACTCTTGTCGTTTTCAATGTTTCTCGACTTTGCTTCACCTGGGGTTTGTTCTTCAGAGGGCCGAGGAATCGTCAGAATTCTGAAAATGCCATGGAGCTGCGTGATGAATTATTAATTAGCAATCACATGGCGCAGAATGGTAGTATAAACATACCTGTGAGTTTATCTTGTGTCTTGTGGCCTCGCTCATATTAGGTATCCACCAGTATACGTAGAGATCCTTGGTGTCATCTGCATCCCTGGTCATGACAGTCTTGTATGCTATTCCGTCTGCATCGAGCATTGATGACAGCGAGGTTCCATCTTGGTGCAAATCATATGGTATCGCAACAGTGTCTTCGTAGCACCCAGTATGTGGTATCGGATCTTTTCGCTTTGCAAGATCTCTGATCAAGTGGCGCTTCGGAGCAGCTGTTGGCCGAGTGCAAGGTTTCGTCTTTGTCAACTCGGTTTCCCAGTCTGTTAGACTGCAACCGTAAATCGTCTTGCAGTCGGTGTCTGAGTTGGTGACTGTAGATGTAACTGGGCCGATGACGGTCGGAGAAAGTGTTGTAGTCGTCCAGCAAAGTGAAGCTGAGTCCGTCTCGCACTGAGGTTTCGGGGCGTACGTGGGCTTTCTATCTAGACCAACACTTGGTCTGGTCAGCTGCGTACCTTTACCTTGCAGCGGCACGAGGCAGGACTTACGTGATGCGGGGCCAAGGAGGATATCTAGGTGGATGTATAATTCCAGGTACAGGTAAATTTTTTAAGAACGACGGTGGTGGAGGACTCCTGTGTGCATTTTGGTGTTAGATCAGAGACTTTGAAGATATCTAGGACTTCCCTAAAGATGACGACTTACGGTGGAAGAATGCCGGGACCGATTTTCCACTTCAGACCCTTGAAGCCCGGGAAACATAACTATAACAGACTAAGTATACATCAAGGCTTGGGCTTAGACACTCACCTGGAAGAACCACAGTTCGCATGGCGTTTTAAACCCATCATCGTCAGGTGTCGGCTCCTTGATTTCCTCTTTTATAGGCTCGATCCTAAACTCAGGCGGCCATTGCGTGTACACAGGTAGCCCTGATATGGTTTCCTATCCATATGTAAGTAAGTGCTCCACGGCTCAAGATGGCTTGAACCTAAGATATATATATATAAGGGAAAGCGAAACCTACGTCTGGCGTTTCTTCGGCACCTATCCACGGCGGTTGCGGTGTTTCCACTTCATCCCAATCAAAGGTCGAAGTTCTTGAAGGTTGTGAATGATTGCTGGATCCCCCTGTACTCTGTGCAGAGAACGGCCATGGAGGCAGTGTCAAGGTACGAGTTGTTGTACCTCCCTCACCATCTGGAACATGAACAGGGATATGTGGTAGCTTGATGCTGGGCCTCACGACCAGGTCTGTAGGCTTCTGGCCTTGGGTGATGTTGACGTTGGAATACATCATGCTGCTGGTGACAAATATCGGTACATCAACGGTGATGGTGGTAGCCTTGGTGACGAATGCTGTAGTCTCTTTGCCGCTGATGGTGGTTTTTCCGTTGGCTCCGTACTCAAGTGAGGTTGTATACTTATTGAGTTTGATGGTTGTTGGTTCTGGGAGCTTACTCGGCGGGAAGACTAATATGCAAGGAGCCTCACAAGTTGCCGATGGAGTTTCCCACACCTTGGGATCGAGGAAGACTGGCCGGCCCGACGTATAGCGCTTATCGTAATCGCCTTGAAGGTCGATAGCCCAGTCCGTCGTTCCGCCAAAGTTGAGCTTCATGTAGTCTCTCATACGACGAGATTTGGTCACCTTGGACATGTAGGCGACCCATTCGTCTCCGTCGTAGACGAGATAATCTGAATCAGTCGCCTCATCATACCATTTCTTGATAGCACCTCCTTTAGCAATAATTTCGTTGATTTCAAAGTCGGATATATATCCGGCAGTGTTGGTACAGCGACCTTTCTTTGCTTTGGAGTCGTTTCTGCCTCCCAGAAATGTACCTTGAACAACGCATTAGCTTTAAGAAGAAAGGTATTATAGAAATGAAGGAGTCGTACACTGAGGGCCGCGACAAGTAGAACTGGACATTTTGAATGAACGTCCGTAGCTGCTGACACCAACAACAACCTTGTGGGACTCGACTCCAGCTCGCGTGATCATGATGAGGGCATCCAGTGTTTCGGTGGAGTTGACGTGAGAACGAAGACAGTTTCCAGCTGGGCAACCTGGACTCACCCACTTACTACCAACGTCCCATTGTCCTATACGAGGTGGGTTAGAGAAACAATACATGTAAGAGGTAAAGAAGGGACATTCGGTGATCATACCATGCAGGTCATATGTCATGTAGATAACATAATCTAGAAGACTGATCATCTTTTTGATTGGGAAGCTCTTGAGATACCAGAACGAGGCTGGAGCTGCGATAGACAGCGATTTGTCTTTGGGAAGCTTCTCTCGCACAAGCTTGAGGAACTGATAATAGTTCTCACCGTCGTCCTTCTGTCCCGGGTCAGATCCGGGAATATCTGTGGCACCCGGATATTCCCAGTCGAAGTCGACGCCATCCAAGTTATTTTCAGTGGCAAATTGCACAACACGGCTTGCAAACGCCTGTCGATTACTAGGGGAAACAGCCTTGCGAAAGAGACCTGTGCCAGTCCCCTCATTAGAAAACGCCCACCCTCCAAATGCAAGAATCTTCTTGGCCGAAATGTCGGTTGTCTCGATGAAGGAATGGAATTGCTCTTGGACGTTTTCGGGAATAACAACGTCTAGATTGTACGAGATTTCAGCAAATGAAAAGTGAATGTGTGAGTATGACTTGTCGATATCCAAGACATGCATATGGAGGCAAGGCCGGTCGTAGTTCCATGCCTCAAAGTAACCAATCTTACGGAACTTTTCAGGGGCTTTGTTGTTGTTTGTTAGTGTCCGCTCACAATTGGAGATACAGCCAGCCTCTCCTGGCTGACCTGTGCCTGGATTGGATTTTGACTTGAGGCAAAACTCATCTGTCTATATGTAATCATTCATTAGTGTCGTCAATACCAAACACTTGGACTGAGGAATACTGACCAATCCACACATACCCCATCTATTACAGCATACATTGAGGGGACACGGGTTCAAAGATGACAAGTCTTCACCTTCTCCTGGAGGCCCAGTGTCGTTCCTAGTCGGTCCGCACTCGGCATTCCATACTGAAGCAGGCAGGGGCGGATTTCCTGCGCTGACACAAATTCTCACGAATGGGTTCAAGTTGCCGCAACCATCCCAACCCCAAGTCTTTGTGTTCCATTTCTCAAGATCGTCGACTGAAATGTCATGAGCCGCAGCAATTGTGTCGCAGATGTCTCCCATTATAGTCTCGTAGCTTGCGCAGACTCCATTTGCTTGGACCTTTGCCTTGCGGCTTGGAGAGGTTCGTCGAGTACTGGGTGCTATTGCATATCCCCAGGCAGAGCCTCGATCAAGCTTGTTGATTTTGCTGTCGTGGGAGCCAGCAACACATTTGCCTTGATTCCAAGACTTTACTACAGCCTGAACTGCGGCAAAGTCACCGGTAGGGTCAGCCACCATGCCAAACACACCACTGGCAGGGCCCTTGTCACAGGCTTCAATAGCAAAACGAGTGTTGGAGCCACCTTGAACCGCATCATTGAGGGTTGGAGTCAGAGATTCCAACGTCTTGCGCTGGTCAACTTGAGATCCCGAATAGAGACCAACAAGTGTACCTCGAAAATAGGCAAACAGTGTAGTCTTGCTACAGTCCGATCGGGATCGTTCAAGGTATGCCTGCAGCTTCTTTGTCGCGACGACGGTGTCTGCTCCTGGATGATTGCTGATAGGCGCAAGTTCACTATTCCATGATGAAAGGGATATGCGAGTCTCTAGCCTTTTTGAAGGACCACTGCCACAAGTACTGTTGTCTACAGCAGCTCGGCGACGAACAGTATCAAAGTTCGTTTTCCCCATGGCGTCAGAGTCCACAAACCCCTGCTCAGTAAGAAAATTGGTCTTTGTTTTGTCATTGCCCAGTGTACACGCATAAACTGGGTTTCCTGTTCCCCCGTCTTGGAACGCGGTGTTGAGGCCAAAGCCCAGCAGCATAGGCTCCGGACAAACAGCAAGCTTATCAGCCCTCGGGTAAAGAGCCCAGTCGCTAGGTCCTCTGTCTTGACAAGCAACGGGGCATGGCAAAGCGTTTTGCTCAATCTGATCCAAAGAAGTCAAGGCAGAGGCTGAAGCTGAAAATAGCAGCAGCTTCGGCAGAGAGCCGCGAAACGGCCACAGCATCATTGAAATTGCCAGGAACTAGCGAGAATAGAATCAGAAGTATATTTTTTTGCAAAGTAAAGTATTATGCGAGAATGTTAAGAAACAGGGTAGACTGGCCACTTCTAGGGGACAATAACCTCCTTTAAAAGAATGCGTAATATATTACAAACAGTCTTTGGAACCTGGTGATCGATTTTGAGAACTTTTTCTGTCTGCTGTGACACCTGAATTCAGCATAGCGAGAACCTTTGTCCATGCTGTATTATCTGCAGAGCGCGAGATACAGAAACATAACGGTGGAATGATCCTGATAGGACCGACCCTGAGCTCAGCCGCAATGAAACTGTGAAGCTGACTGCATATGCCAGGGCGCATTTTGCGCTACAAATGAAAGATCAACCTTGATGAATGGAGCAATTTTATTCTCCCTAGCAAAAGAAGTAGGTCAGCCTTACCCGAAACGTTCGTTTATGCGGGAAGTGGGGTGATACTTGCCCTGCATCTCAAGCAATGATTGCAACGATTTGCTTAACTTGGGTATTATTTTCGAGGTTAATGGAGCGTGATCACTCGCAAAAAGAGCGCACCATATGTCTTAAAACATAGTCTCGATTAAGCTACATAGACGAGCTGAGTCAGACTCCAAATTGCGCTGGAGATGAAGCTTTTGCGGCACAGATTCTCAATTAGGCAGTTTACACGAATTAAGCACGTGGGTAATACTCGTAATACGAACTCCGCAGAGCCTCAAGCATTTAGTGTGGAGAGGATCGGAAAACAGACCTTCCAAACTAGGTATCTCACCTCAGCATGGTTGACTGGAGCAGCATCGAGTTCAGCTGCCCTAGGGTAAGGCTTAGGCGACATATACTCCCATTGGGGGATTCTTATCAAGGGTCTTGACAAAGGTGGATCCGAACAGTCACAAGGCTCTTTAATCAGGTGATAAGTTGGAGCCTCGCGCTCTCTACTCAAGGAATTCGAGTCCTATGATTGAATCTTTGACAATCGATACGGGATGAACGTTGCGAGGTACTTTAATAATTGTCTTAGGTCTGTGATGTAAATGAACTTTTGCACATTGCTCACCCTATGCAACAAGTACCATCTATCACTACAATGATATATGACTCAAATAACCGAATTTGGATTAATCACGCAGAGGCGGCGCGGTCGCCGGCAGGGTTCTTAAGGAGGAATGTGCAATAGGTGTATTACTAAAACAACGCTCACTCACTTACCCTCGGGGAAATCTTCGTTTATAAAGCTTAACGATGCCCAGGCCACGAAACAGCACTTTCCATGCAACAACCACCTCTGCAATCATCCCAATACTTAAAGCTCAATTGGTCAGCACCATGAGCTTTTATAACTTCCCCCCAAGCATTATCAAGTTAGCCGCGGTGCTCCTGGCGGTACAGAATGCTCAAGCTGTGCCATACAGTACTGCCGCTGGTGTTATCCGGTACACCAACACCAGTACAACCGTATCGTCGCACCCAGTGCCAACGGATACCAACAAAGTCGAATTAATGGACATTGATCCTAACATGCCACACGATCCAGATCCAGAATGCCAATTCTGGTGGGACAATGATGGCTCGCTCTCTTGCAAGGACACGCCGAAAGCTTTTAAGATCAGTCTCCAAGACTGGCTGCGATGGGTAAGTGTCGCTTCTCGGCAAAAGGCCTTTCATATGTATTAATAAATCATAAATACAGAACCCATCCTTGACAGAAGATTGTAATAATTACATTACTGGCCGTTCGTATTGCATCGAAGGCCCAGCCGCCCCTCCATCAACGACCACTCAGCCGCTGCCAACTACCCCCGACCCCACTGCCGTTGTGACACCTTCTCCCATTCAGTCTGGAATGGTTGACAATTGTAACAGGTTTCATAAGGTGGAGAAAGGCCAGCTGTGTAACGACATCGCCGCCGAATTTGGCGTGTCTGAGGATGATATTAAGAAATGGAACCCTGGAGTTAAATCCGACTGTACAGGCATTTGGGCCAATGTTTATGTATGCATTGGAGTCATTGGTGGGAGCACACCTGCTCCGTCGCCTACAGCTACAACTACCGGAAATGGAATCTCGACCCCCTCGCCCATTCAGACCGGGATGGTCGATAATTGTAGCCACTTCTACACAGTACAAAAGGGGGACACATGCGATTACATTGCTGAATATCATTCTATACCTCTAGAGGATATCCTGAAGTGGAATCCAGCTGTTGGTCCGGAATGCAGAAAAATGGTAGCCGGCACTTGGTTGTGCTGGCAGACGATCGGTTACGTCCGCCCAAAACCCACCACTACAACCAACGCGTCACCCACCAGCCCCGGAAATGGCATTGTTACCCCTTCACCCACTCAACCCGGTATGATCAAGAACTGTGAGAAGTTCCATTACGTTGAAAAGGGCCAGAACTGCGCCTGGATCGCTGCCAAATACGGCATCGCGCCTAGCAGATTGGAAGCGTGGCACACGTCAATTACCAACGGCTGTGACGGGCTCTGGGCCAATTCCAATGTCTGTGTACGTCCCCAGCGGTATAAACCTGCCACGAAGCTTCAGTGCTTCAATGATGGTTGGGACTGGGGTGGAAATTACCAAGCTGCTTGGGATTCCGTGAAGCAGTGGTGTGATGGGAAGGACAATAGTGATGGTAGCTACGGCTACCAGCCTGGTCAGGAAAAATATGGCTGCTTTAACACCCCGATTGGCCTTCACACGATCCGGTGGATGGGGCGCAACGACTTTGGCAGCGGCGCTTCTCTCGAGCCGTCTACGTGCGAGGGAATGCTTTATCACCTTCTCCAAAACTGTCCTAAAGGAGGCAAGTCGTGGTTTGAGGGCTGGTACATTGAGTAAGTCTACATACGATTCCCGCCTTTTCCAAGATTTGAAGTTGACAGGCAAATTCTAGAGGTTCTGTGCCCCAAGGCCGATGCTAAGATTAAGGCTAAATGGGAAAGGAAGAGGCTTTCCGTTACCTTCGTCTGACTTCTCAAATCAGATAGCTAGTGTCTGAACTGAACAATCCTATATAAAAGGATATATCATAAGTATTTAGCTACGGAATTTCATGGCTGTTTAATCACTGAGCTGACGCGATCTTAACTATCTTAACGATGCCCTTGACCCTTGTTTCTGCCGGGCTGGCCACTATTACCTCGACCCTATAGTTTAGGCATTCTCGAGAGATTGATGTTTTATTCTAGCTATACAAGCCAAGTCTGGATAACTGCTGATAGGCTCAAGCTCACTTTCCAAAGAACTCTGTTGGGTATCACGAAGTAGGCGGGGATAAGAACTTCTGTGGCGAGGGGCACCATTGGGAGTCTTTTAAGTTTCTGGCCTCCCTTGGACAGACGGCGGGCAGATCAAACGCAGGGTTATTGTCGCGTTTGGTTGAAATGCCAAAGACCTGGGAGATGATTGTTTTTGTATTATCTTGCAATGCTGTCATCTTCATATTCTCATGGCCTTAAGGATTTCACGGGTTTAAACAGACGCAAGTCGTGGGGGAATAAGACGCACAATCTAGATTGCCATTCAACATACACTCTTTTAAAGAGGAAATTTCTGACTCAAGGGTCACTCATTTGGGTAAAAATAAAGAGCAATCAAAGCAGTAATTCCTTAGAGTAAGCCCGCAGTAACTGCAACTGATGATTCCATAGCAATTCCATGGCAATTTTAACTAGCAATTCCAAAGCAACTCCAGAGCCATGCCCAAGTCCATCGCCTACCTTGTCCCTAAAAAGCGAGTCCATAGTCCATACCAACGCCCACGAGCAATTCCAGTATCGTTTCCTCGGAGAAAGAATAATGCAAAAACCGCGTGCCATAAAACAATTATTTTTCGTGAATTAAAAAGCTTGATCATTCCGCAATTCGAATGTTTGTGATGCCTGTAAAGTTCTTAATGTCGGCAAAAACATGTTCAATAGGTGTCGCAAACCCATATCCGCGATCAGAGGAGTCGACGTGCTTGTGGCCCCTAAACAACAAGCCAACGATTCCACCATCCTCATCGAACAGAGCTGAGCCCGAATCTCCATGGTCGCACAGCTTGCGGTAAGGCTTATCGATGTCGTCTCTTCGCCCAAATACCTGCTCCTTGGTTACAAGACGGTCGTCACCGAGATGGGCGTCGTAGTCCATCACAACAGTCTGTCTCTCCCACTCATACTTGCCACATGTCGGTCCAGTGATGGTGCCCACTTTGAAGATGTTGCCGACGACGAATGGGTTCTCAATTGAGCGCTATGGGTCCTTGGGTTGCATCGGAATGCCATAGGTGTTGTCAGGGTGCGCTGCTACTTGAGGGTAATTCTTTTTCCATGCGTCAAGGTCTGGCAGAGTGTTGCTCCATGGTCGAGATTGGTCGAGCTCGATCAATGCCCAGTCCATCTTTCTTCGTTCAACGGAGCGTCGGAATCCAGAAGACGCAATGAGTTTGCCCAAAATCTGCTTGTTTTGATCAAAGAAGGCGACTTGACGGAGCTTCTCGGCTTCCAAATCAGCTAAATGAGCCTTCAAGCCTCGAAGGGCTTCTCTCGCTGGCTGTTTGAACTTGGCAGTTTTCAGGGCCTTTTCCTTCTGGCTGACTAGCTGCTGTTGATAAGCGGTGCCTTCGTCGAGAACAGCAATCGTAAAGTTGTGCTTTGTTCGAGATGGAGATTCGAATGGAGCGACAGCGTGCTTGAGCTTCGAGCATAAAGAGTTGTAGCCGTAGTAATCAGCGTTCCACAGGTCACTGCCAACTGGTGGATATACTAAGATGACAGCTTTACCATTGCGTTGAAGTCCAAATCCATTGAGAGCAGATCTGACGACGTGGTGATTCGTGAGAGCACAAGTTCGCCATTTGGTGTCGAACTTGAACTTGACTTGAACGAAACAAGCAATGCTTCCGAACCCTGGATTTCCGCGTGACTGGTCACTGACAGGGACATAGCACGATGGGCTGAAGTCAGCGCCGATACAAACTGTCTCGTTGTAGTCACCCTCGATGCGTTTGTTGGAATCGATGCCACTTGTCTGTCACCGGTAGCTGGAAGTAGGTCGAAGACGAACGGCATATTAAGGTTGTGCTCGATATGGAACTGGACATGTTTCCATCCAGTATTGCCATGAGCCATGCGTTTAACTGCAGCAATAACGTCATGCCAGTCGGTTTCTCGAGAGCCGTGATCCATGGACATATAGATTGTCGGTGGGTTCTTGTCGATGACTGGGTCCAGTCCATACTTCTGAAGAGCAAGGCAGGTGAGATGATTGCGGGTTGTTTCAAGCGCTTGGAGACGCATAAAGATCAGATCGCTCATTCGATCCCACTGCTTGGAAAGGGTTGCCTCCTTAGCTGAACCATAATATCTTGTCTGGCAAAGCTCAGCTGCAATAAGTTCGCCCTCAATCTCAATCGCGTTGGGCAGCGCTCTTCCAAAGTCAAGCAGGTAGTCCAGCATTTCTTGTGCAGCGTGCACAAACGAATCGTTCTTCTCGGGTGACCAGGAGGCAGTCATGACAATGGTAGGTTTCCCCGATGCCGGATCGGATGGGTCTTGCCTCCATCCAAGATAGATTTCGTTATCGTAGCAACCATCGGAAGTAGTTGTAGTCAGCAGCCTATGCTTTGCTAGAATGTCTTCTGCTTTGGCCTCAACGTCGGTTTGGATTCTACACCAAGTCTAGTTTACGACAGCCTCATATTCCATCACCGCCTCCCATGTCCCCTTCACATAATCATCATCAGTAAAGTCACAAGGCCATGCAATTCTCAGCAACGCCGCCTTTGCATCCTTCCACGTCTTCAATCCCAAAACCCGACTCTGCTCCCGAGCAAACCCTTCAAAATACGGCCTGATTCCTGGTTCTTTCGCGAGGTCACCTTGTTTCTCGTGCATCTGCAGACTTATCACCGCAACAAACGACTCCCAGAAGAGTAGATCTGCTAGCTGTGGTGCATCTGGCTTGTGTAGAGCATAGCCGAGATCGCGCTGGAAGATCCTCATGGTGTAGAGATAATTTTCCCTTGTGAAAGGTCGCCAGAGTACCACTACCTGCTCCAAGTACAGCTCTATTGCGATTAATAATCCAACCCATGAAGCCTTCTGCTCATTCTCGTCACCAGTGTTGGCTTGGGATTTATGATTTTTGGGCACGGACCGTTTGTGTGCTTCAATAAGACCGTCGTACAGCATAGCCGACGTCTCCGATTGCCAGAAGTCGTCCTGTATTTGGCGAGCGCTTCTGGGTAATGGTTTTGAATACCCATCGTAGAAGTTTCGCGTGAGAATTCGAAGTCCTGGGAGCACACGGACGAGCGGAATATCCTGAAAGATTTCTCCGCTGTAGTTGAAGGTCACGGGGAACTCGCGAATAGCTTTGAGTGCGACGCTATGAAAGTAATGGCCCCTATCTGTGATATGCCAATTGTTTATGCGGCGAATACCGTCCGGAGATACTGAACCGGTCGTGGTCTCAGTGAAGCCTGCAGGTCGGCGGGTACCGTCGAGGGCCGTCGTTATGCCATGCATAAAGGTAGAAGTTCTTATAGTGTCAATATCAGTTAATGGACAATATAGACGGGTGATGGTGCGTACATTAGAAAATATCGGTCTGACAGTTCTTGGTCCATAGTCTTGCCCCCAGTGGTCACTCGCCCTTCTCTATGGCGTGAAAGAGCGTATATGGCGTTCAAATGTTTCTCCGCCATCTGATGATCACCACGGCAAACCTGCAGTGGCTCAGTACTCCTCCGATTATTATGATTGGTAGCTCCATACCTCTGTGTACGCCAACGTTGCCATCTGCTTCGTGATGGCTGCACAAAGCGTGAAGTCTCCCTTTGCAAACCATTCCTTTACTAAGCGCACCGTCTCGAGTGTGTGAAAGTAAAAAGTCTGCTCAAAGTTCTTGAGGTTACCAAACTTGAATCCGAAATGGGTGGCTGCAATTAAAACTGCACTTCGAAGTGCTTCAGGGTCTGATATAATGTACGCCATGCTGTTCAATGTTAGTTTTTTCTGGTGATGAAGTAAGCCGAATAAACAAACCGTCTTTGGCGGTGGTCTGCAGGTGATGCACCAGCGCTTCCGCCTGGTTGGTAGACTAACAAGAACACGTTAACAATGACCTGTTGGTCCTGGATGAAGGGCCTCACAATAATGAAAAAGTTCGTGCGATTTGAGCGGCATGTTAATCGACAAACAGTCCAGGTTCTTCTTAGAACTAGATAAAATAAGTTGATGAACCAGACTCTGCGTATTGGGCACCTCGGGTTGCTTCGAAGAGGTTGAAGCGTCCCATGGTGTAGGTTCCCACGGCTGAGCAACTCCAGCTCTCTCCAGCGCTCTTCTTTCCCTTAAAGGAATTTTAACAGGTGGATATTCACAAACCCTTTGACTCTTGATACAGTTTTGACTACGTATGTAGTCAGCATTTGAACAAATAACAAATTGTCAGCTCACCATGTGGGACGATGTTCGTCACATCTTACTCGTCGAGCTTTACACTCAGCACAGCCCGTGCGGCTTCGGGTATAGGCACGCCGCTGTCGGACTTTAGCAGGCTTTTTGTCCTTGGACGTCATGGTTTCAGTGGTGTTTTCGGCCATACGTGGTATTGTTTTGTGAGGAGAGGAAAACTGTCAAGATATCATGCGGTTTTTTTGAACAGTCAGCACTAACCAGGATTGTTGATAGGTAGAAATACGTCGTGTTTTGAGGTTCCAGACTGCGCGTTAGAAGAATACTTGTCAGATTTATGCCAAGAGGTAACTATCGTGTTAGTCTGGTGGGAAAATACCTCGTCTAATTTACCTAAAGTGGTCTGATGAGTATTGCATTAACACCCTGTATGAGCGATGATTCCACATTTGCTTGGCTGCATGTGAGACCTGCGTGAGACCTGCGACTTAATAAAACTCTGCTATGATATGGGCCCTAGGATTCTAAGGAGTCACAACAGAAGTGGTCATACATAAACATAAAGCAAAAAATCAAATAATATCTACTTAAACACTCAAGGAGGGAATCAGCACTTAGGTTTTCAAGACCACAACCAAGATTCCTTATTTTATATAACTCTTTCTAGAAGCTTAGCATTGGAAAGTATGAAGATAAAAAAAGATTTTAATGATTAGATCTATATTCCTGTTGTAGCTACTTGTTAAACTCAAGAAATAATGCCATCACCGTTCGACCTTGACGATTTCCTCTTATAGATTAGTACAGTTTCTAGAGAGCGTAACGATTCACCAATTTGGCTAGCGTTAATAAACTATCCCATATCGTCACGAGGTTTGTGCGACTGGATGTGAAACGCCCCCGTGCTTTGCCGTCAGGCATATTATTGCAGATATTAATTAGGAGCTTCTCAAGTTCGCCAGCTTTGCTAAATGAGATCTATTGTCAGTTGAAAATTACAATATACTGTAGATTATAGTGTTAGCTGTGATTACAGATAAATGGAATAACGATTAGTTATCAATATTGAGTTTTAGGTTATCTCTTTGACCGGCACAAGGCTACAGATAGGTCACGACATGGGGCGGGCGCCAATCAAAATGACCGTGACGATCGGTACCTTCAACCACACCTAAATTAGCGTGTGATAGAAGTACCAACAGTCAGCATTGTTACATATCGCTACATCACATACTTTGCAACCGTATCGGGTCCTCCGAATTCGCTGATTTCCTGAAATGGGCTTGAGATAGCCTCCTTTTTCCTTCCTTTTTTTAAAGGGTCGAGGCTGCCCTTGCCGGCAGCCTTTGCAAGCTAGGCAGGCCGAATTTTTGCCCCTTCTGACATGATTGATATCTCTTTGTAGGTGAATTTGCCGTGCTTCAAGATCCTCGCTGTCTTCTTCCTTCCCTGTACGGCATCTCTTCCTTATGCCGCTATCAGTGCCGTACTTGTTGAAAATGGCGTTGTAAATAGCCTCTTTCCAGTCTCGAAGCGTGCTATAGGGCTTCCAATGAGGCTGCCGGGTCTTCTTCTGTAAAATGAAGCTATTCGCAAGTGCAACGTTAAGGAGGAAAGACCAAAGCAACGCCTGCCAAGGACCGCGCCGGAAACGATGCTGATATGAGGTATAGGATCTTATCTGATTGCCGCGATCCATATGATTCATTTTATCGTTATACTGAGCGGCAACAGAAGGAATAGGGATTATCCTAGCCTGATCTCCATTGAAGACCTCCTTCAGGCGTTGTGCCTCTGCCTTTGTGCCTCTTTTGGCGAGCAACTTCCTCTCTTTTGGTGTGCGGTTAAGAGGGGTTGCGCTGTGTATAGTTAAAAGGAAGAGCACTATAGAGCTATCTTTCCAAGCGATTTAAAGGACCTAGAGGGAAGGAAAAGAGATAGATTAGTAAGGGAAATACAGGTAAAGTTATCTATACCTGTTTATCCTTCGTCGGGATCAAATATACCTTATTAAATAACAAAGGCTTGCCATCAGGAAGCTTCCTGGTCTCTTTTATCTGCTTCATTACGGTAGTGATGCCGCAATTAGGGCATGCTGTGCCTGTGGCCCCGTGACCAAGCTGCCGAAGGAGGCGGAAGAGTTGCGGTGATGAGAAGAGGTTATCTGTAAAGACATGATATGTCGCCGTTGTTAGCCTTTGCAGTAGGTGAACCACGACGCTCTGTGTATTGCTAAGAGGGATCTCGGTCCGTAGGTATCCCTTCTTGCCGTATGGCGTCGGTGCCTCTAGCTTGACCGTTATAGCCGTAACTGGTAATGCCTTTATATGCCAAAGCCACTGCAGAAAGTAGCCCTGTTGTGCAATAACCCAGATTTTAAACCCTACTGGCGTGGGCTTTCCCTTAATAAGCGTTATCTCTTTTGATCTGCCTGTAAACGGCACCATACACTTATCTACAGTCAGATTAGTCCCTGGAAGATAGAGCTTGATAGATACCCTTTGTATGTGCTCAGACCACTCTTTAGCCGCTTGGAAGGTCTTTAGAAGATCCCTCTTATCGCTTATATCGAGATTGGTGTAATTAAAAGTGCGGAAATACCGTGTAATTAGCTCGAACTTCTGTAATGGCATGAACTTTGTAAATGGATGAAGGGGGCGCTGATCTCCTAGGCTAGGGGCCTTCTAATGGTCCTTAAAGGATATTTCCCTATGAATTCCTAGGTAAATAAGGATACTAAGCTATATATAAGCCGTTGTAGTGGAGATGCCTTCCTAAGCGTGTAATCGGGAGTGGTCGGAAAGGGGGGTATTCTAGCTATTAATAATGCTGTTATTAGCACAAAAAAAAGCCTAGTTGTTGGTATATCCGACCTATGACTGTACAAGGGAAATAGGCACGAAAAGCTGGAATAATTTAAGTGGTTGCTGGGGCAGAGGGTTGATCTGAAAATCACGATATTCTAGATTGAAAGGTTGAAAATCATTACTGCGGCCCTCTTCGGGCGGAATATTAGGTGCGCCGGTGGGGTCATTAGCAGCTACCGTAAAAGGCGGGCTATTAAAGCTATGATTATCTAGTATATGTATCTCTTGGGAGCTCATTGTTTTAATTGAGACTCGTTAAGGTCAATTTATATAAGGATTTTAATGATTTTGGTGGTGTTAAAAGAAGAAGCTGTCTGACGGGAACTTTACGTACCCTGCAGGTACCTGCAAAAAAGCGGGGTGAGTTACTTGTTGTAGCCTTGTGCCGGTCAAAGAGATAGGTTTTGACACTTATATACAATCAATCCGGAAACCCCTTCCAAAGCATAATCACGCCATGACATTTATTTACACACTAAAACATAGACATAGGGATATCTAAGAATATAGAAAATTTTATTTTATTTAGATAATAGCTTTTAATCACCTGATGGGCTTTAAATCGGTTATGGAAATTAAGATATAGTGGCTATAGGGTAGTTGTTTATCAGAGTCGTACTTTTACCCCTTGCCCACTTGTACCCAATCAGATATTTGTTTAATATGGACGGTATCCCTGTAGTGCGCTCCAGAGCTAATGAACGCCTGTATAGTGATTAAAATCTAATCCTGCTTTGGCCCATTGGAATGAATTCAATTATCTCATACAAAGCCTTTCCAAATTAGGCGCGCATAGCTGACATAAGATAGCACCGGATCGCGGAACAGTTAATCCGCATGGAGCATTACGTCGTCCTCATTAAACCTTAACACAATAAGGGCTAATACCCCTATCCACTTCTCAAGTGCTTGTGTATTTCCGGTTTATTCCCATTACGTTACGAGACATTGACAACTGCGACCAACAACCCCGGCGAATCACGTCTGTATGCTGATTAATGAGAGGAATGAGCTCCGTTTGAGGTAGATAGGTTGGAAATTGAAGCTATTGGTACCCCGCTTGTACTGCCGTAATAACAGGGATAGAGTGGGGCGGGCTGCGCGTTGGAGGCTTATGACCTCACAGGAGATAATAACTTGAAATTTTCATAGACTGTAATCATATTCTTTAGCCGGCACTTGAGTTTCATTGATATTTATTATCCTCCTAATTATAGTCCCATTAGCGCCATTAATCTGAAATTAGATATAAAAGAGTTCCTAATAGTTTTACTAATTTTCATTAAGCGTTCATAGCAGCGATTCCTCCGTTTTCAGGCCCTCTCTGTCCATATCCATAGTCTTAGCAGTACTTTCTCCTAACTTGGTTGATACTGTTTTGGTCCGGTAGAGCATTATAAGAACATTGTACATTGCAACCGAAGATATTTAAGAAAGAAATACAGGAACCTCCTGTTTTCTTCTGCGCTTTTTCAGCTAGTCCTGGACAGTCATCTGTGGAGCAACCACTCAGATATAGTGATGCTGCGTAAGGCGGATCAGGTGTAAAGACGACGCAGTCATAGCACTGTGGCGGTATATCACCTGACACCAGATGCGCAGTCAATAGCGTAGACAGGCTAAACCATCCGGAGTACAACATATTGGTGATGTAGGTGGTGCGTGAGCAAGAGGATGTGTGAGCGTATGACCGGAAACGTCTCTTGATGTGTTAGAGCACGTGGGCTTGAATGGGTGCGAGGGAGAGTGTAAATGCGGAATGCCGTGAGAGAGTATCTTTATATGTCGGAGCGAGAGAAGGAAGAATAGGTTTTCTTTACTTTTCTTTTCTTTTTTGGTGTGTTTGTGTGGGTTTATGCGTCTATGTTCGTGTTATTTGTGCTTTGTATGATTGCATGGGAGGTAGGGAGAGAAAGAAGTTGGACAGGATGGAGATCTTTGCCTCAAGCCCGTTACTAATATTTGTTAGCTACTGATACAAATGTCTGGGATAAAATCTTAGATTCACCTTAACTAACTTTAAGTAGTTAGATTGAAAGCCCCACCATGCACGATTAAGTTTGAGGCTGGGGCGCATAATACCATAAACACCTTAATACGAAGTTGAGGCTGTTTAGAATGGGCTCGACTTACTGAGTGGCTTATCTCTTCAAGCGGCATATACTGTTGAACAGGTGCTGGGGCCTCACGTGCAAGCAGGGATACTTTAAGATTACAACCGAAATGGTAACACCTAGGAATTATTCACAGGCGATTTGACTCAAATCGTGTAATAAATTGGGTGACCCAGCTGTCATTTTGGAGTAATATTGTTTGAAGTTGGGCCGAGTCGTTGATTTGCCGAAAATTCCCAGATCCCAGTACTTGGGGTTAGATCAGTTGTGCAAGTAGGGATAAATAATGGGTTTAGGTTGTCGGTTTTTGTTATGTTTGGAAAGGCTTAGCTAATTAGACCGTGAATAAAACGAACAGTCTCCACCTAGCGAGCGATCCCTGCTCAATAAATGGTAAATAATAAGATATAATAAGATAAGGGGAAAACCTAAAGAATATAATAAAATATTAATCTAGGCTAATCTAAATAGATATAACTCTTATTCTTAGAGAAAGTACCTCTTTATTTCCTTTATATTTTAAAATCATTCTTATTTAATAAAAATCCTAAAATAAAATCCTAAAAGTTTTATTTTTATAGATAATTTCTTAGATTTTAATAAGTAGTTAAAAAAAAAGAATAAATAGTTAATTTATAAGTAGATGTTTTAAACTATATAGGGGAAAAATTAAAGTAAAAAGGGCTACTATATTACAATCTAGCTTAACATTTTTAATAAGAAGTAATAAAATAAAATTAATTTTAAACTTAAGAGGCTACTAGTATTTAAGGCTTAGAAACCCGCCTATAAGAAAACACTTTATTATATTTTTAGAAGATAGGTTATTAGGCACTCTTAATTAAAGAAAAGCAAGCATATACTTAAGAACGCATATAAAAGCAAAGGCTTAAGCAGCATCTAAATATTAAAGGCAATAAAGCAGTTATGCCTAATAATATTTATATTAGTTAGGCATCTACTAGGTAAATAACGCTAATAATATAACCCTAGTTACTAGAAGTATAATTACACCTAATCCCAATAACGCTTTCCCTATTACTATTATCCCTTACTTTATCTTTATCTTTAGTTTTATTTCTATTTTTATCTCTTATACTTCTACTTATATAATTAACATTTTCTTTTAACTTAACTCTAGTATAAATAAGTATACTTTATCCTTAAAAAACTACCTTATACCTATATAATACTTTAAAAGAACTATAAGATTAAAATAATAAGCCTATAAGAAATACAGCCCTATAAATTAATTAAGTAATATCCTTTATCCTTAATTTAAAAACTCCTATAATAATATATACTATTAAGGATATTGCTATATTATTATTATTATTATCTATATAGCTCCCCTTATAATAATTACTTCTATAATTATATTATAATAGTTAGTTCTTAACTATAGATAAACTAAGCTATACTAGGTTTATTATTAGCAGATTGTATAGGGCGTAATGCTAAGCATTATTAAAGTATTATATCTCTTAATAGTAAATTTAATATATATTAGGCTTAATTAATATAAAGAAGTTTTATTAATAGCTAATAAGCTAGAATTTATAAAAGTATTAATAAATATAATTTATATATTTAAGGTTATAATAAGGACTAATAATAAAATAAAGTTAGTTCTTTATAAATTAGTAATATTTATATATTAATTTAGGTAAATTATTAAATAAGAGTTATTAGTCCTTATTTTATTTATAAACTAAACTATTTAAAAGATTAGTTTAATTTAAGGGGGATAGGTTTATTCTTATAATTAGAGAAAAATAATAGGGTTTATATAATATAACTACTAGGGTTATAATATAATCTCTCCCCTCTATTAAGTCTTATCCTTAAGACTTATATATTTATCCTTTTATTTATTTATTAGTTATAAGTCTAAACTTAATCTTATTTTTATTTAAATATTAATAAAATATTAGGTTATATTTCTAAAAGTAAATTATATCTTAAAATACTAAAAGTAATTAAACTTTCTAAGTATATTATTAGATTTAGTAATAAAATAATATTATATTCTTATTATTTCTAAAATAGTCTTTTTTATTAAGTTAAAGGTAACTAGTCTTATTAATACTAAAACTATACTAAGGCTAAAGTAATATATAATAATTTAAGTATTACTTTTTATTATAAGTTCTTATCTTATTTATTTCTTTTCTTTTTAATTCCTTAATAGTTAAGAAAAATATAAAAGTTTATATTAAGTTAGAAAAGGAAGAGGAGGAAACTAAAGCAGTTCTAGAGGCTATTATAGCAAAGTTAAAGCATATTTATAAATAGAAGTATTTATTAAGGCAAAAAGGTAATAAGCTATTTATATAAGGAATATAATCTTAAGAGAAGTTAAGTAAGATTTAAAAGAAATTTATAATTATTTCTAAGGCTTAATCCTTAAGTATTATAAACTTAATTAATTAGAACTTAGTTTTAAGTAATATTCCTTTTAAGCTTATTAATAAAAGTTCTTTAAGAGTTATTAGGCATTAGTAAGGTATTTTAATAGTTTTTAAGTATTTTTACTTTTTAAGTAGTCTTTTTATTTTATTAGATATTCTTATTTTCTATTCTTTAGTTATGTTTTCTTAATTATTTTTACTCCTTAAACCGAGAAAGCGCTGCTGGGACCGCCAAATCGGGCGGAAAGTGTCGCCATTTTAGGCGGCGCCAGCAGTGCGGGGAGTCCAACGACCAGAGGTCGCGGGGCAGGTATTATATACTTGGCCGGCCCGCCCACGCCCAGGCTGACATGGTGGGGCTGTCATGGCTTACCCACCCAGGGTCCCAGTTTCGGTCCCTGCTGCCTTCATCACCATAAAGGGCGTTCTAATTTCGACACCCAACGCATCTGCTTTCTGTTTGTCGTCGTCCACAATGGACCCATCCCTTGTCGCCCAGAATAGCCGTACCTGAACTGACATGGCTTCTTCAGTGTATAAGTGGCAGCGTTGCCTCTGCCTTCGACGCCCTCTACTCCCCCATCCACGTTCGCTCGAGACGGTTCATCGCTGATTGTGGTCTGTCTACCCTCTCGACCAGATTGTCCACCAACACGATGACCGCACCGCGATCTGCGGCCGCAGGCGGTCTACACAAGAACAACGCCGCCTTTCTTCAAAGCTTTGCTGTTCAGGAGGCCGAGAGGCGAGCGGCGAAGCAAAAGCCGACGCTCTCGATTGAAGAGCACGCTGCGCACCGGGCGCAGTTGACCGACGTTCTCTTCATCAAGCCCAAGTACTCCGGTGAAACCGAGATCAATGTCAGCGGCATTTTTAGAAAATGGCTGCGGTACGCAGAGCTATCTTGTTGAAACCCTCTTCGCAATTGCTGTATTTGCTGACTCCCCTTACTTCAGGTACTGCACCGATCTAGAAGTTGGCGACTGGAAAGCAACGATCCAAAATCTCAAACGCGAAACGACGCAGGACTTCGTCCTCTACATGTGCGAACGATATAACATCACATCATGGGGCAGCGTCGAGGAGTATATTCGACAATTCCAGCAGCTCTACACGACTGTCAACGGACGGTACATGGACAGGAACCACTCCAAGGAGGTGTACAAGGTGTGTTGGGGCTTGTCGGTTCGGGCGCATATTGGCATTAATCACCAGCTGGCTGCCCGATCTAACCGACTTGTTCGTTATGCTAATACACAGCCAGTATTATCGTCGCGTTTGCATCCCTCGATTTAGCCATCGCCCACCGAACATCGATGGCAAGCCGGTGCTCAACGTGGACAACCTGCGTGTCATTCTGACGTTCAACATCGCCTTCGACACCTCGACCTTCCCCGGTGAACGGCATCGCATCAGTCTAGCCGGCTGCTACCAGCTCTTGTGCTATACCGGAGCACGACCTGCCGAGCTGGTGGATGGCGAGCGGAAGAAGCCAAAAGACAACTCTCTGGAAGAACTCTTTGGCCATAAGACTAGCCACTCGTCTTCCGCGGAAAACGGTGCAGATCCTGAGCTGTCTTCCGATGAGAAAGCCAATCTAGTTGAGGGCCTTCTCACGCAGGAGACCATGGGACGCGGGCGTCCTAAGGCCCTCTGTTACGAAGACATACTGATGATGATCGTGCGGCACCCCGTGACCGGACGGTGCATCCCGGCCATGGCCATCAAGTTCATACATCACAAAGGTGCCGATAACAAGCCTAGGCCGTAGGTGGTTCCTTGTGATATGATGCATCCGGTTGCGCGTGCTGACAGTCTTTTGTAGGACCATCTTCTTCTTCACTCCCACCAGGAAGCTCCTCTTCTGTGCTGTTTCCACGATCCTCGCCCTTGCCCTGCATGACGACGCCTTCGATGCGCCGAGCTTGACAACTGCCTCAGCAATATTTGGATCGAGACCGCCATCCTACATGGTCTGCACGCCCCTCCGCTGGAAGGCGTCCAAGTTGAAGATCCCAGTCTTCCGTCGGTATCGTGGGGCGAGCCTCTCCGAGGACGAGGCCATGCTTTATTCCAAGCTCCGAGACGACATCGGTGACCAGAGTCTCAACTCAGGACACGAGAGACGATGGACACCTAGGTTTGCCCGGAGAGGTGCCAGCAATGCTGCCAACGGTACGTTCCGCTATGCTGTCACCGTTAACATTTTCAGAACGCTATTGACCTGACTTTTTCCTCCAGGAGACGCGCCAGATTCGGTGCGTGACCAGATGATGCGTCATGACCCTCAATTCGCGACATTTCACCACGCCTATCTCAACGAGATCGCCAACTTCGACCTCCAAAATGCATTTCTGGAGGAAGAGAAGCAGAGCCAGCTATTCCGGCTGTTCGCCCACGTGAGTCTCACGCGCGATCCTCGAGCTACCGCCGACATGGTCCCCGAAGAGGTGTGGGCAAGTCTCCCGCCCGATCCGGAGATTGTCAAGCTCGAAGAGGATCGCGCCGAACTCAAGCAGGGCAACTATCGGATTGATGGTCACATACACGAAGAGAAGATCCGGCAGCTTACCCAAGAAATCCGCAAGAAGGGTGCGCAGCGTG